AGACAGCGATGTCGTTTTCCTGGGTGTGATAGCAAGCCGGTAATCAGATGTACCAAATGCGGAGTATATTTATGCTTAAACAAAGCCAAAAATTGCTTTGCGTGGTACCATGGCGTATATTAATGACCAACAGTACGGTCCACTGAACATTTTTCTGTTGTCCGATTTCGTTTATTTTGGATTGAATTTGTTATATTTCCATTCGTATCAGTCGCAATACGTGTGAGTATTGACACAATAAATTCATCACGTGGACGAGTGTATCGATTTCGTGACAAAATTTTTTTCTCCCAAATGGGGGGTAAAATAAAAAAAATAAGTTTGAATTCGTATTCTACGGCCTTGAATTAGCAAATAACCGAAGCGGCGATTTTTTTCTCTCAGCGGATCATAATTCCGGCATTAAGTGGATAGTGGTGAGGCGAAGTCGTGAAAACTGCGGTACCGGAGTCGACTGTGACAGATTGCATACCCGTACTACTTCGTTTGGGATTTCGTGTTCATATATTTGGGCATCGTTCCCTTAATTTTTAAATGCCTATCGTTTGTGCGCTGTGACAAACGATAAGGGCGGTGGCAAGGGGTGAGGGGGGATGACCTTCACTACTTTATGAAATTAAATTTACCTCTTTGTTTTATAGACTAGGGAAGGAGTATTCGTTTCAGCTTATGGTGATCCAGAAGTACTTGCAGGACAAGGAACCGTTGGGTATGTAATTTAAACATCAGCAACAGATGGGTTGTAAATATATATACAATTGAATTACTAACCTTGTGAGTCTCAGTCATTCATATAACTATTTGTGACGCAAGGTACGGCTGTCGGATATATCGGCTATTTCTGCTACATATATATATTATTAGCTGATAAACCAGGCAATACTGCATACTGAAATTATATTGAGATTGAGACGCTTGTAAGTGCTTAGGAACTGGAGTCGCAACATGGCACCCATTGTGGCCTATGATTTCAGCCTTCAATTTTGTCATCACATCTATACTTACTGTATTATTACTCAGTTTGGAAATTATCTCCGAGTTGAAACACGTCGATGCCATTTTTGTGTCTGTTGGAGGTGGTGGGATAATCGGTGGAATATCATCATATGTGAAACATATTAGTCCACATACTAAGGTAAATGGAAAGATTACACAGCAGTCAACTTGGTCTAAAAAGACTTGTATTAGACATAAAACAAATGTATTAAATTTATCAGGTTATTGGATGTAGCGCAGAAGCTTCAAATTGTATGGAACAATCCATAAAACATGGGAAACCCATCAATATTGTGAGCAAATCTACTTTGGCAGATGGACTTGTCGGTAAAATCTAGTTTATTGATGCTAAATTTTACTAGAGCGTGATGCAAAATCAAATTCAAAATATAAAAATTAGGATTGCTGTCATTATAATCTTATCCTGCATTTACACGTTATATATATATGAAGATTGTCCACGACAAGTAAGGACTTTTTGTTCTATAAATTTTGCTGCGAATTTAGAGAATGTCGTCGACCCGCGTTAAATGTTATTTCAAACCTTAAAATTCTATTTTAAGTAATATACTCGAGGGAGTGTTTGTGTCGTTACTTCGAGAGAACCCATGTTTGAACCAGTCAACAATTTATATTCTGACAAAATTGTCTCAGGATATTATTTTTTGTTAGACACATATTGTCACGGACATTAGCATACAAAAATATCTTCGATATTTTTTTTATTCAGGAAATATCGGACTTGATAGTATAACTTTTTCTGTCTGTCAACGCAACGTTGATAGATGGATCACTGTGACGGAAGATGAAATTTACAAAGCCATGTTCATAATGCTAAATGATCATCACAAGGTAAGGTCAACGCTCAAGAAACAAAAAGTAAATCGATATCTGGCAACCCCTTCAGAAAACGTTTTGCCTAATAATCATCACAAGGCAAGGTCAGCGCTCAAGGAACAAAATGTCAATCAATATCTGGCAACCCCATTAGAAAACGTTTTGCTTAATAATCATCACGAGGCAAGGTCAAGGAACAAAATGACAATCAATATCTGGCAACGACTTTAGAGAACGTTTTGTTTTGTATGTGGCTTGCAATATATGCACTTGGGCTGCCCAATTGCTGTTACAAGTGAATTCAACGATTTCCTACCAAATCAAGTATATATTTTGTTACGCCACAGTTTTTTTCCAATTTTCTATTCGACTTAAACAATTTTTGATAATTTTAAGGTGGCAGAAGGGGCAGCTGGTGTTGCACTTGCTTCTTTCCTGAGAGTTCAAGAAGAATACAAAGGCCAAAACGTTGTTGTTCTGATTTGTGGTGGTTACGTATACGCAGACGATCTGGCAAAAGTGATTGATTACTGCAAATAGAACAAAGCTGCAATCATTGAAATGCTCTAATTATCTTGTGAACCGGAATAGATGTTTTCCTCAGCGACTCTCTTGTTTAATACCGTTTTTTTTTAAATTTAAGTGCATAATGGACAGAATGGCAACGGTGACATAACAATTCAATTTTATCACTTTTATTTTCAGGCATGGTAGTAAACATTACTTCGTTTTGAATTATGTGTGTTATCACTCCACCACTAATAGTAACAACTTGAATCACATAGGTCATAGATTAACATCATATTTTCAACGGGATTTCTGAATAAAACATACTTTCACCTTACTAACTGTTACCGATTTCCCCCCAAAATAAGACCTAGCTTTAATTTAAAAAATGATTTTAATATAAGCCCTTCCCATCAAATATGACCTAGTCGATAGCGCAAATTTTTTTTCTTAGTCGATAGCAAGAGACTAGTTATTCTCTACTTTGGAGTTTTGTTTCTGATAAATGAAAATAAAAGTTATTTTATAAGTGTTATTTTTCGAATAAAAATTGAAATGAGACACTGTCTTAATTTCGAGGTATTTCAATTAGTAATTTTCACAGTTTTCATCTAGTATTTTTACACTTTAAAAAACAACTTTTAATACACAATCACAATAACATTCATTTAATTCGTCAAGTGAATTTTTTTTATATCATATAATGTTCCTCTATCAGTCTATCACATAGTATCTTATAGCACAAACTGCAATTTTAAAACCCATTTCCAGCCCCGTTTTAATTTTCGATATATAATTATCTCGTTAAGAAAAATAAAGTACAACGAAATTTTATATCGTGTGTGTGCCTTGTTTTTATATATCATTTAATACAGCGGTTCCCAAAGGGTGCGCGCGGCGCATTAGTGCGTAGTGACGAGTGGATAGGTGCGCCGCGAAAATTGACAGAATATTTAAGATAGTGTATTTAAAATGTTGTGTATATAAATCAATAAATTGCTTTTTTATGTTGTTTACTTCCTGTTACGTAGGGTCTGCATCTAATGTTACGTAACAATAGAGGGATAAACCACTTAGTGCAATTTCGTGAACTGCAGTTCATATATCTACTGAACAGAGTTTAGCGAATATGGGTGATTTTCCCAGCATTTCGAAGGGAAATCGAGCAGAGATGAGAAAGAAGAGTTGACCTTTCGCCATTATTCCTTATGTCTATGTGTTTTAAAACTTTATAATGCATAAAGTACACATTAGCGATAACAAAATTGACTTTTATTTGAAAAACTGGATTTTGTTCGTGTAAGTGCGCCTTGAGTTTTTTTCCGTAATAATTCGGCGCCGCATGAACAAAATGTTTGGGAACCGCTGGCTTAATGAATAAATTAACCATCAATTGTGGGGTGTACCTGTTGTTTTATACAGATGTCGAATAAGTTCTGAAACAGCAGCTGACAGATTTCAATGCGCTGTTGTTAAAGCTGTATGCAGTGGTGGGATTCCAATTTATTGTCAGCCGGTTCCGTCAATCCGTAATGCTAACAAGTTCGCTGATCTTATAAAAATCCGTGAGACGGTTCTATAGAACCGGTGCTACCCGGCTGAATCCCACCACTGGTTGTATGGTATATGAATGACAATCTCATTATATCTCAATAGAGCAGAAACTGGTATACAATGATGATTGAAATGATTCCTATGATGCAAGTTATATGGAGATATCTCGATTACTTTACACAACATTCAAGATAAAAGTTAAGATTTGACTAATACCGTGAGGTGGGCTTTATAAATTGAGTAGGCAATGCCGAACCGAAAAGATTCCAAGCCTTCCAAAATATAGTAGCTGCTTGTGCAGAACTACGTTTGGCGCGAAAGGCATAAAAATATGCCGTGAAAATACGTGAGAACATCAGATAGGATGTGGAACAATTATTTGGACAATTTTTTTTAACCCCCGCTTTCACTTCTGGTACGACATATGATCTCGCTTTCATGAGATATCGCGTGCATCTAACAGACAGATACCTATCAACATACTTTGTTTCGCGTGACTTAAATTGTTTCTAGGAAATCATAATTATAAATTTGGGAAAATTAACTTTGTTTTCGTAATTTAAACTGAAATGGGGGTAGATCCCAGACGTGTACAGTCGTGGTGAATTTCTTCACATCCGTATCGCAACTGACTACCATAAGGTCCACTTACCGATCAATATTCTATGGTCACTGCCACTGCAGCCAGGCATATTTTTTCTCTGGTAGTACAAACAAGGCCTAATATTTGAACTTACAATAATGATTTTTGATAATCATAAAATGAAAGTGGAAACCTCATTAATTGAGATTAGGATTTATACTTTAAATTTCGCCAAAATACTCCTAAGGACTAACCAAGGGACACGATTGGCATTGCTTACTCAACCAGAGTGAGAAAGAGGGCATGGAATTTGAAGCCTAGATTTTCAAACTGCAATGCCAACAGTCAAATCTCTATCATTATGCCATGGCATGGTATTCAGTAACCCACCAAAAATACTTCCAGAGCGCATAAGTATGTTTAAAAACCAAAACTAATTCATGCCCAGTACAAAAAGCTTCTTTCTGTTTCAGCTGCAAAGGTGATTTATTCTGTCGCTGACACTGCATACAGCTGCAATCCATAAGATATTATTACTATATTTAGAAGAGTAAGGTCTAGCTTTTGTAATATAGATCAACCAAAACATGAACTTCAAAATCAAATGTAATCAAAACCATTCTCATTAAACTTTATATCCAATTAAACTTCTTCTTCCGATTATTTCTCCAACAAAGAACCACATCAAAATCTCTGTGGCAACAAGAGTGTTTTGCCATCCTTGCTAAAAATAGAACAAAAGTTTCACGTCAATAGGAATTCAAAAATACCTGGTAAAAAAAAGGGTATCAATCGGATCTGGCATGTATTTATTATCATAGGAATGGCCAAAACCGAATATTCCACTATTTCGAATATATTCTGAAAAAATATTTTCGAATATGAAAATAGATATTTTAAATATGGGGCGAGTGCATGTGGAAAATTACATAAATCTCTATATCTTTATGTTGATTACATCTAAAACAACATATATATAATGGGGGAACTTGGATATTGTGTATTGAACTGCAGGTCCTTTCTCCTTGATTACTTTCTACTTCGGATCCGTATGTGGCACTCACCACAAGGATGCTTGAACGAGATAGTATTAAAGTAAAAATAACATGATCTCTTTCAACGAAATAGTAAGTATATTTGTGAGCTTTCGTTAGATCATGGTCTAACTTCTTCAAACAATACAAGATATAACTTAATCAAAACAGCAATAAATATAATGTAATGCAATATATATAATGGTCATTGTTTTCACTATGTTTGTTATTAGCAAGGATATCATACATTTCTGTTTATTGCTCCAAAAAATAAAAAGCTCATATTAATTCGATCTTTTGTTATGTGCACGTGTAAATGTAGGCCAGGGAAAATTTATAAAATTGACTCGGGGTCTCATCTCTATTGATTTATTGAGGTATTAAACACAGGCTTGGATAAATCACATGAATCATCATGACTACATTTTCGCAACATTAAAAGAGTAACAAAAAATAATAACATTAGAATGTTTATTAAATTGGAATACCCATTTTCATATCTAGCGACTAGCATAAACTTGTTCGAATACACAAACAACCTATAACGTTGGATATCTAACGTTTGTTAGCTAACAAAAAAACTTAGCCCAAACAGTTGGTATAATTCTACCATAGGACAATGTTCTGGACAAGACTTCATTTGACTATCATTCTAAGATAAGGCCCTAGGGCTTTTTAAGGGATGCCTCACATAAAATGTCTGACAAAAAACAAAATTTACTAATTTAGATGATTTTTTTCACTCATCTTTTCTCATATAAAAATCTAGAGAAAATATATTTTTCATCCAATGTGGCAAAGTCAAAATAATTTCCGAAAAACCAAGAATCACCTAACTGTCACTACTTAGGTTTACACGTTTTGATGCTACTTGAATGTAACCCTAACTTTTGTTTCATAATTTCCAACTATCAGCGTGGGCAGGAGACGCCCTGTGATAAAAAAGTCATGAAAATTTATGCGGGCTCTTATTTTCATCTTAGTAGGTATATCCTACTTATTATATCATCTGGAATTTACAAAGTTGTGAAAACTGTGTTGAAACAATTGTACAAAACCTTTCTGGTATTGATTTTTTAATAGCAATTATTGTTATACTGACCTTGACAGACAATTCCATAAATTTTCCAGATATTAAACTTTTTATTCCTTTCTGTGCATCTCCAACTGCTTGACTCATTTCACCAGGGGTTGGAGGACGAAGTTCTACTTTGGCATATTTATAAAATGTTTGCAATTTGGGTCTTGAAAAGCTAACAACCGCTGAAAAAAAAAACAATTAATTTGAATTTATCCAACTAACAGAGCCACTGTGGTGACCATTATCTTGTTATCATAAGTTTCCCCATTTTTAAATAGCCTATAAAGTTTAGGATGGGATTTACATATTTATCCCGAAGAAAAAAAAGCAATAAGGCAACTTAGTCATATGGCGAACAACGGCCTCTTGTTTGGCAAGTCTGGTTACCAGTCCATGTCGGGTATGGGATTAGGGTGGTGTAGCCAGTCTGCGGACGATTTCATTCAAACCGCTATAAAACAAAAACCAATATTTCTAACCCGTTAATTTTTTCACCGTAGGTGCATTGGCATTTATTCTACACGCTGAACTTCGAATTAACATTCTACGACCAGGGGTTAAAGCTATACAAACCACCAAAGTACGACACTCTGAAGACGTATTTGCGACCGAACGACCAGTGTGCGACCACGGATTTCAAGCCTTGAATATCGTTTCTGCTGCGTCGAGACTAGGGCATACGCAGCCATGCGTGAAAAAATGGGCTTCTAATTGCATTTCTGACCGTCATATATTTTAAGAACACGGGTATTTCGAACAAAATTCTTCAAATTATAAACAAAGCACCGCATCACAGCAATCAAACAGACAAAAACACGGTGGTCGCAAATTAGTTGACAAAGATATTATTGACGTATTGAAAATGCGCACCCCCCTACTCCCCCTCCTTTGAAGGTAGAAACGCGAAACTTTAAAGATGGTTAAAAGAAACACAACTCTACCCACCTGCCAAGTTTCATCTCTTTATCTCTTATATTTGTATGGATTTTCAACCTTTTTTGAAGGAACAATGGGTAGTTGGCGACATGGTAAAATGGTCCGTTTTTTTTCTTCGGTCAGGTTTTCGGTCGTAACTTTTTTATTTGTGGCCGCATTTTAGTGTAATTTCGTAGAGCTACGAGGGATAAGTGGACGATAACGCGTGAGAAATATTGGCGCGGTTCGTTAATTTTTTCGGCATTAATTTAATCGATGAAGTTGATGGTCGCAGATAGGTCATGGCCGCAAAGTGGGTAAGCCACCCTACTTGGCCAGTAGTTTGTTTTTCATATGCAGGGTAGGCTACTACAGTACAGCAGTACTAATCATAGGTTCTGTGGCATAGCTTCTCATGCTTGGCAATGAAGACACACAATTTGAGTGTTTAATATGGAATTATACCCAATTTGAAATAAATGTAGAACTAGGAGTAGGCTACTTGTCGTACTAAACTATACTAGACCCAAAACATTGTCTCAATATTGCAATATATTTATATTAACATATTTGTCATCACTCTTATTCCTACGGGCCCTTTGCCAAATCACTATTAGAACACATACTCACCTTTGCTCCAAACGGGAATCTTTGCTGCCAGACCAGCCATCTTTTAATTTGAATAAAACGCAGAACAAAACTCCACAACCAAAAATGAATGGACGTCAAGAACACTGGCAAAGAGAAAAATCAGAGTTTGCAGAGGTTATCGATGCGTGTCGGTGACATAAGGTCACAATTCGCCGCATGGTGTTCAAAGAGCATTTATCTGCCATAACGACGTTTTCGTGGCTTTGATGCCTATTTGTGTTTACTTGTGCCTTTAAAACTATTAATTGGATCAATTATCATTTTATCTCACAAAGAGTTCCATTACAGTTATCAAGAATCAGTCTTAGAAAAGATTTGATAGAAAAATATGTTACGTTCAAAACCACATACTACAGGAATTTTAGAGTACCATACACATTATATGCCACATAGTTTTTAGCACTTCAACTCACGTCGTGTATTTTGTTGTGAAGTTGTCTCGGAATGCAGGAAACATCTTGATATATAATTTTGTGGAGTACTCATTTTGACAAATATTTATCTTTTTTTCTGTGCCCATATTTGCAGCGGCCTCATTTGAATTAGTCACTTATTTGAATATCAATAAAGCGTGGTCACATGAAATTGCTAAATACTAATGAGAGTAATAAATAAGTGAAAAAAATGAACTACCATTTGTAAATATGGTTTTTCCCGTCAACCCATGAGCCTCGATATGTATTTTAAAATACTGAGTTTATATTTGCTCCGGTTGTTGTGACTTCCGCTCCGATAATAGCAGCATTAGCTCCCCCATTATTTTGTGCTTTATCGGTAGTTACCGACGACACACTGCAATGTTTTCAATATAATACTACCATTGATTATTGGACACGTTTAGTAGACATAACGATCGTTTTGTTGTTATATTGTTCTTTGACACTTTTGGACACCTAGTTTAGTGGAAATAATAAAAATCCGCTTTTCTCTTTGATCACTGGACCAATTGCTTTGAAATTTTAAGTGGTTAAAGATGAAATTTTTCTCCTGAAGGGTATTACTTTTATTTATTTCAAATATTTCTGTTAGCTCTGTGAGATTTGCTTTTGTTTGCTATAACGTCACTGAACGTTCTGCGGACTGAATATGCAGTCACTCCTCTTTTTGATCACGCGCCATCGAACGTTGGCGTGACGGCGGATTCTGAAAGTCGTTGCAAATCGCAAGGTTTTCGAGGTTACCGGTGATGCTAAAGGTACGGTAGACCGTACTGTACTGCCTCGCTTGGTGTGAATATATTTGTAGACTGTGGTCTAGAGCAGGGCTTCCCAAACTTTTGAGCTCGCGGCCCCTTTTAATATTTTTCGCGGCCCTTGTTCACGTTAATAATGCTAAACAGTACTGTAATAACATTTTTAATATTTTATTGACACAGCTAATTCTCAACTTTCAGTAGGCCTACTCAATAACAAAAACAAGCACATATTCACTCAATTGTTCAGTGTAATGGGTGCAATTGTATTTTGCTGCATAGCAAGTCCAGCCGTGGCTCAATGTTTGTTTATGCAGACCTAAATGATGAATTACGATGTCTGGCCACAGGCCACCGACGACATGGTTCGTATCCGGAATTGTTACGCACTCTTATTGATCAAATTTAGCATAAGGCAACGGTTTGTGCGACGCCAAATTATCAGGGACAAAAGTCGCGGCGCACCTACACGAAAAATACGCTGCCTCGAAACAAAACACAATTTTGTCATCGTTAATGTGTACTTTATGCCTTTTGAGGTTTATAAACATGTAGGCCTAATGAATGAGGCAAAAGGTTGACTTTTGTTTCTTATCTCTGCCTGGTTTTCTTTGAAATGCTAAAAAATCACTCATGTTCGATAATCTCGGTTCAGCAAATGAATAAAAAGCAGCCTACGAAATTGCAGCTTTTCTGTTACGCAGCAATATACCGTACGTAACAGAAATTAAACAACATAGAATGGTAAAATGAATTTGAATCATAAACACATCATTTGCAATGATGAGAAAAAATAATACATTCAGAATAAATAAAATATGTGAAATATGCAATCATATATTAGTTAGTATTTAACACAAATAGCCTAATTTTCGAGGCGCACTTAGCAAATCTTACTAAAAAAAAATTTAAATTGTTATGCAAGCGCGATGATTCAACCGCGTTTCTAAAAAAACGCATTCTAAAAAAAAGCTTAAAAAAAGACTTCGGCGATAGCGCAATTTTTTTTGACCTAGTCCCGTGGTTCACATAGCGCGTCGTTTCAATTTCGATAGGGCAATAGGATAGGGCAAAAATTTGGGATTCGTGAACCTTTCAAACAACCCATATCTTCTACTTTTACTGAAAAAGGTGAGATTAAATGATAAAGTTTAAAGTTAATGAAGTTTTGATAAAGAATATAAAGCCTAATTCTGAAAATTCGGGTTTCTGTAGATAAAGATTATTTTTCCTTGGTTCAAAAAGCGTTGCGCACTCCCATCCCCTTCGCGATTTCGTATTTATATAAAGCAGGCTTTTCTACCAAGGCCCATTAAATGTGATTTCACTGACTGTCGGTGAGTTTTGTTTGATCGTTTATATTAAACTCATTGCAAAAAAGGTGTTTTATTGAAAGGTATAAATACGTTTTTTCACGGGGAGACGCAACTTGAACATATTTTTGGGGGGCGTCAAAATGCAATGAAGTTAGAGAAACACCGAGTCTTAGTTCATAGCAATAAATTTTTGCTACTTTTTACATGGTTAATAATCTTTATGTAGCAGTTTTTTTAATGAAAACGTGCTATTTATAAGTAAATAGAAATCGGTATTCATATTTGGCATAAAAAATCTCGTTATTCTCAAAATCACCCACAAATAAGCCCTAGTGTTATTTTTGAAAGAAAATCGAAGACACCATCTTATTTTCGGGGAAACACGGTATGATGATGTATGTATTCGCTCGTAATCGTTAAATTTTTGTTTTACACTATTTTTAATGATTGTATTTCAAATCAAGAGTCTGAATTGTGTAAATTTGGAGTTCTCTTTGCAGCCCCCTTCGAAGGCCGCGGCCCCTAGTTTGGGAAGCCCTGGTCTAGAGGTACGGTAAAACGTACTTCACTGCTTCGCTTGGTGTGAATATATTTGTAGACTGTAGTCTAAAGGTACGGTAAACCGTACCGGGACCGGTACTGTACTGCTTCGCTTGAAGTGAATATATTTGTAGGCTGTTGTCGAAATTCTTCGCTTGGTGTGAATATATTTGTAGACTGTGGTATCTGCTGTTATAATACCGTGATAAATCGAAAGAGTTAGTTTTGCAAAGAAGAAGCGTCTGGCATTACAGGTAGAAGGGGGAATAGGGGGGTGCGCATTTGCAATACGTCGATAATATGTTTGTCAACCAATTTGCGACCACCGTGGTTTGTCTGTTTGATTGCTGTGATGTGGTGCTTTGTTTATAATTTGACGAGTTTTGTTCGAAATAACCGTGTTCTTAAAATATATGACGGTCAGAAATGCAATTAGAAGCCCAGGTAGTTCTGGTACCGTAACACAGCGCGGTGACACTGAACTAACTCGTAGCTGTCAAAAGCTTGAAAATCCAAACAAATATAAGAGATAAAAAGATGAAACTTGGCAGGTGGGTAGAGTTGTTTTTAACCATCCTTGAAGGTATTGCGTTTTTACATTTAAACGAGGATAGCGGGGTGCGCATTTCCAATACGTCGGTAATGTCTTTGTCAACCAATTTGCTACCACCGTGATTTTGTCTGTTTGATTGCTGTGATGTGGTGCTTTGTTTATACAGGTACTGGTAAGTGACCGCATATGAATTTTGGGGAATTGTTCTGCGTGTCCATATATTTGAGCATTGCTCTCTTGTTTTATGGTGCGAACGTTTTGAAGAATTATAGTGTCACCAAACAAGTTTCTGCGTCATAGCGGCACACCTCCTCAATCTCACTCTGGACCTCCTGAAGTATGCGCACCAAGATGGCGCACAACCTGAACTCAGGTTGTGTACCAGGTTAGGATTCAGGTGCGCATACTTCAGGAGTACCCTCACTCTTCTTTTTTGATTTTTATGCGTATAATGTTTCATTGAACATACGATTTATTGTCATTCATTTTATCATCAACAATAGCTATATATGTAAATATATATATATAAAGTGATGACAAACTATGCAAGATTACACAATTTTATACGTTGTACTTTGTTAATATTTGGCACAATTTATTGCAAATTTTCGGAAAATTTGTGAACATGATTAGCAGTTTGTTAATAGGAAATATTTCGTGAAATATCATATATATTTTAAGACATATTTGTCTTAAGTTCGATTTGCATAAGTAGTCCAGTAATCAATTTCTTTAACAGCAAGATCGCTTCCAATATTCGGAGCATGATCCAGAATTAGATATTTTCCTTTCTTCGAATATTTAGGCCACTCTATTCCCGTACCGGTGGTTTTATTATTCGGATTTCTGCAAATTTAAACGTTTATTTCATTTCAACTATCAAGGTGTGTGATATAAATGGTGACCGTACATTTGAACCCACAACATTTGAACCCATGCGTATATCCGCGGGTTTAATCTATATGCGGGTGCTAAAACCCATGGGTTAGGGTGAGTATGGGTTTAAATATCCGTAAAACCAAAAAAAATTCCATAGGTGCAATAGTATGCAGGTGCAATTGTCATGGGTTCAAATGTACGTGGGTTCAAATGTAATGGAACCGATATAAATATATTTCATTGTTACATTTGCATAATTAGTCTGCAAAGTGTTTTGAGTGTAACGCATTTCGGTTAAAAATAGAATTCTTTTCTTTCTTCAATTAGAAAGAGTAGGGAAAATGGGGCACAATTAAACGTCGATTCCAGTCATTAATTAATAATACATACCCATATCTTGCAAAATTGGTTATAAATTTCATACACTTCTGGCTCAATTCTTCCTCTTCCTTGGAAAATACTGCCATGTTGCGGAGGTTTCCGGGAGTAAAAGGCATACCAAGCATCATATAAACGTCATCGCCATGATCACAAAAACACCAAGATGGTTTTCTTGCTTCTTTTGGACCGAAATCATCGTCATGGTGAAAACGGAGTTGAAAAGAACCATAGTAAAAATATACATCGTTGTTCTCTATAAAAAGAATCGTATTTTTCAGAAAATACCGAAATTATTTGCCCTATATCATTAAAATAATCTTTCATATTTGTAAAAGTGGCAAACAATATGCCCTTTTCACGATACAATAAATATAGTTAATTTCAAAATATTCACCTGCATAAAATGAAGCGGTAGTGACCGCCGGTACAACGAAGATTACATCTCCAATAACCCGCCCAAATAGCTTGAGCAAATTTTTCTCATTATAAAATTCTCTCCATTCTTTTAGATCTCCATCTTTCACCTGAAAGAATACTAATAACATACGAAAAGATATAATATATTGTAGCGTACCGGCAGTCCGGCAGTCTATGAAATAATTATCCAAGTTCAGAATATCTTCTAATATGGTCTGACGTCAAGTTTCCTTTCAATATTCACTTCAAGTCATGCTATTTTATTTATTAATTAACAATCTCAACACAAACAAATACTCCAAACAAAACGACAAGCATACAATAAAGCGACAAGTACCGGCAGCACAGTGCAAGAAAACTGAATATACACAATAAAAACACTTTTGAACAGTACTGATGATAGCTAATTCTCTGACAACAACCCAAAATACAACGCTAAAATAACTGCAATGGCACTGTACTGAAACAATAATATCAGCCTAATGTCTAGCAGAAAAACATCTAACAAATCCCCATCCCGCAGTCACAAAACCACAAACAAACATCCCTGATAATCCCTCGGAAACCAGAGGCACTCCCATAGACACTCATGACCAGAATCCAGCCGAAAACAACCACACTCAGACAACTGCACCTTGACAACCACAGCACACGCTAACAGGCACACCTAGAAAAACAGATCCACAGTGTCACAACGTCCCCCAGTGTCTTAGAGTCAGAATATTGTATGTTTACGTTTAATTAATATTTCTCAAATTTAAATTGAAACCACTCACAGGAAAGTATAAATATTCCGTAAATTCTTCTTCACTCAGTTCTTTATTTTCAAATTCTTTGCCGTATATGGATGAAGACATGATACCCATTCCTTCCGTGTTATTGCATCCTATCATGTAAGGTACGCGGTCAAAATCGCGATCACGCAAGGATTCTTCCGGGCTTTTCACAAGAAACTTGCCATCAACGCAAGGCAAAAAGAGTAACTCGTCCTGCAAGGTGCAAGAGACGGATAAACTCCATTATTCAGATTAAGTTTGACTTGGCCTAACATTATTTGTTAATAGTAAATGTGTCGCATAGCAACACAACAACACCGGTTTAAATGAAAAAAAAATTATTAGATTAAATTACATATCCAAAATGTTTATGGGCTCGATGTAATACCGACGCGGGAATGTTTTGAAGAATTTGCAGAAGTGCCGCTTCGTTAGTTTCCTTAATTCCCAAGAATTCCAACAATTTCTTTTTGCCTTCGGCTGGTTTCTTTGCAAAATATACTTGAGTAAACAAAAAAAATATATTAATAAAAAGCGTAACATGCACGTTACACATGCTGTTCAATTGAGACGAATTTTCAAATATTTTGTATTAACAGCGGCCTAAATTTTCACTTCTCCGTCTTCTCTGTCAAAATATGTTTGTCAGTTTTTATACAACGAATCTATATGACTTACAAAACCCTACACATTTGTCACAAAGAATAGAAGTGAGTGACAAACGGAATGCAGTTTTGTATTGAGAGAAGCATGGGGGGAAGAATGGAGCCATCACCTCAAACTCACCATGGGAATTGGCCTGACCACTGTGACTGATAGCTCTGTGGAACAATCCGCGAGACATAGGAGAATTCACATGATGATTAACTGCCATCCCACCAGCGCTCTCGCCAAATATTGTCACATTATCAGGGTTGCCTCCAAAGTATTTGACATTTCGTTGCACCCATCTGTTGAAAGGAAATTGAGGTTCTATTGCTAGTGGCTCAGAACTTTTCACATACATTTTAGGCCGGAATCTAAGGTTAAGATGAACAATTTCAGAGACGAATATCCACCAATTGGCTCGAATGAATTTGGTTTAAAAAAATTGAGACGAAACATGATAGAATTTTTACGTGGATATAGCGTGGGTACAACACAAAAATTGAATGAAATATGCAGAAACCCCGTAGAAAATAAAAGCGAATTAACACTCTAACATAAATTAGTTTTACCCACTTTAGCGCCATCATTTGATCCAACAAGCCTGCGTTTCCTGGACACAGCGAGTCTTGACCGAGAGATAAAAATCCAAATACATTCAATCTGTAGTTTGGAATAACCACAACAACATCATTTATTCCAGCCAATGCGCTTCCGTCATACAATTTTTCTGAGCCATCTTGAAAGGATCCACCGTAAAACCATACCATTACCTGAAAAAAATACATTGAACTTTCATTCACTCTGCTTTCGCTTCCACACCGACGTTGTGCTTGCAGATTTGGCCCTTTATGGAAAAATATAAATAAAACTGCGCTCGCAGTTCAATAAATTACAAGTATTTATTTCGTTACCGCAGTCGATGTAACCAAATATAATAAAATTCATTAAATGTTTGAAAAAAAAATATCTACCGGCAGATTAGTATTACGATCCAGTGTTGTTGTATAAATAGTTAAATACAAACAATCTTCATCCATGTCTTCATCTTCACCAGGTGATCTTTTCATTGGAAACTGTTTTTCCTCGGCTTTTGGAAATTCCAGGGGTTGAAATGGAATTTTACTCAAAGTACTGCCATCACGGACTCCCTCCCAAAGATTCGCCCTGAAAAAAATATTTTAAAAAAATTGACACCAAGACACAATAATACAGTACGCTTCAAATATACTTGAGATTGGACAATTTATTTTATTTTTATATATACCGCAATATTCAAGCCAACAAAGACCTCTTTCTTAAAATCATGTGATGTACCACAGTCTTTCACACTTTACCAGTCCGTGTCGAGCTTGGGGTTTGTCAACCAATTAATCGATCCAGAAGTTATGTCTACCAAATGATCAGTTGAACCACCCTGGCGAGAAGATCAGTAATCTTTTCGCACCTCGTTTGAACTTGTCTAGTCCCTTAGCAAACGAGTTCTTAACGCTTGATCCAGTGCGCCAACCCACACGCCGATTTAGTACTTTTCTTCCCACCGCTAACCCGGCTTTCAGTTGAAAGACTTTTTGTTTGAAGTCTATGAGCAAATTTGAGTCGTCACAAAAAGTGGGTCGTCGTTTGAGTCGACACAAAAACTAAGAACCGTGCGAGAGAAATATACTTTTTTCGGGGTGAACAAAGTCACGAACACTAGAGTCTAGTGTTTAACAATATCTGTGAAATATGGTTATTTCGTGATATTTAGTGCTTGAGGCACCCGATGTGGAAAATCAATGGTTTGACTAAAGCAGGGATAGGCAACCTTTTTTCGGTCCGCCTTTCAAGATCAGCTAAATTTGATCACAAAATTCATCCACGTCCCAACCGAAATTTGTGAAAACATACTACCGACATTTTACAAAAATATATGTCAAGTGCCCTAGAGAAATGATAAAAATTGCTCTAAACAGTGAAATCACAATACAACCAAAATTGAATTTATTCACCGTGAAAACAATGGTTTGCTACTTCCAAAGCAAAACATGAACACTAGTTTTAGGCAGGTATTAAGTTACTTTTCAAGAAAATATCAGTCCGAGTAAGGTTTTCATCACTAGATTCTTATGCTATATCATTGAGAATTCAGTTGGTGCATTACCACTGACAGAAGTTTTACAACGGTTTTATATTTTGTAACATTAGAGGAATACACGATCTACTAGTCAGTCGAACAGCTCCTATTTCGAAACTTAATAAAGTGTTCTTAAGCAGGTGTTCTTAACCGAGAACAGAGACTCACCAGCATAATATGTGGATGAAAACATGGAAAAAATGCAGTTGCAAAGCTTTGTAGGCACGAAAATTGTTCAGAAATGGCATTCCAAGCTCGGCAATAGTTCATTTTCTGCACGTCTCTCTTGTATTCCTTTCTTTAATCACGTTTTTCAATACATACTAACTTAACTATGAGGTAAATACATTTTTGCTTCCATATTGAGCTACTCTGAAATTCAATCAATTTCATTTCATATTTTTCCAAAAGAAACAAACATCGAGTTTCATCACTTAAATAAAGAGTTTTAAAAGCTTCTTTATCTCAACGGGAAGGAGACCGTTCCCGAGTCCTCGCTCGCGTCCCGGATTGCCGTGATTGAGTGTCAAGTTCGGCACGCGAGCCAGGGGTTTCCCACTCCTGGTCTAGGGACTAGTCTAGTGTTGTGACTAGACAAACCATATAATTTTCACAATGAGTGCCGCAATCACTAAAGATAACAGATTAACTCCATTTCCTATTGTCTGTTACAAAAAATTCGGCATGCGAAAAGTTATACAATCTGCTATTCAAAACAAAAAACACGAGCATGGAATGCACATGAGGCTTAGTTATATAGAATATAGTTTTTTAATAATTAGCATACTCACATTTGAGGGGCCTTAAATCGCAGTTTTCCTGTAGGTGGTTTGGCAAATGGAATATTCCGGTAGCATAATACTTGTTTAGCATTGTCTACTTTCAGCTTTACAATATCCCCAGAAACTTTTCCATCTGCGCAATCGGCCACAGGACAATACATCCCGTGTTATCTTATCGATGAAACTAATTTGTCAATACTTAACTACTATGAAGAAACTTGTAATATAGAAAGAAAATAGTAAAACTATATTATGGGTGACACTGTTTTTGACAAAAGTTACAGTCTGCTAGACGCCCAGTGCTGTAATATTTGACTGACTATTTTTCCTCGAGCTTTAATATAAATTTGCCTATGCTAAAACTTACGCTACTTTATTCGGGATTCGTAACTCAAACAAAAACTTTGTGCACCAAAGTTAAATATATAGGTGTACTTGAATGCTGATTGGTTAAAAGGTTCCTGGTTTATAATGTTCACGAAGCATACCATTCACGGCTCATTTATTCCATGTCCTTCATCGAGCAATCAATTATGTATTTCCCGATAACGACGTCACCGCGAACTGGAATAGTTCTTGTAATTTAATCTTGTTCAAACCTTGTCGTCCTATATTGGCACTCTTAATCTGCACGTGACATATTGTCCACATAATGAGCTCCCCAGGCTGCAGTCGCATGCAAAACGCGTGTGTGGTACTCGAATCTCTCGTTGCAGTATAACAAATTGTAAACTGCAGGTTACAAATTAACAACGGCTCGTTTTGCTACGGGCAATACGGATATTCAAACATCCTGTACACCAGTTCATGTATATTTGATAAAGCGATTACCATCACGAGTCAAAATAAAGGCGTAAGTCAACCGTGACGGAATATCAAATTTAAAGTTCGATAGCCGTCGTGCTTCAACAACAAATAATGAGCGATGCGACTGCATTAAACTGATATTTTATTAGGTTATTATTCCCTCGTTTCACCAATGGATAAAAGTATATCAGTAATTTTAGCTTTATAATGATATGCACATTATAGGTAATGTAATGCGAATGAAACACAACAACGGCCGGAGGCTAAATCAATTTTTAAAAAACTTGACAAATTACGTGAGAAGAAATGAATCCCTCCCTTGCCAATAGTGCGTGTCCCAATAATGAGCAGAAGCCATAACAAATGCAAAAAGTGACTAAGTGGATTTTTCAACAACTGCAGCTCCAATTCGAATCGCAACTAAATTCTCAAAAATACGCCTTTCACTTGGTATAAAGTTTAATAATACATTGTTTGATTTGTTCAATAATGCCATAGAAAACTCAACTATTTCCATGCTCTACGGTGCACCTAACGCGGTACAAGAAATGCATATTCTCTTCTAGTTTGCTCCGAGTTCATCTAAACGTAAATAGCTAACTTTTGGTACATCCTGATTTTCAGACTGCTGAAAATGAGCTTCAACTGTTCCAGTTTTGATTTAAAGCAGGGTCGTCCAACCCGTTGCCCGATGGCTATATACGGGGCCCGCAGAAGCATTTAGAGTGTCCCGCGCTGTATTTTTCAGAATTGAATAAAAAAAAAATGAGTAAAACTATTTTTCGAGTGATGTAGTATACAAAGATGTGATACAAACGATTTGTTTATTTTCCTGAAATGCGCTCTGCCAGCCCTTTCAGACGAGTCATGAGTGCTATTTTGAATCGAAACCAACTGGGAAGAGATGCCATAGTCGCTTACACACTTGGTCTTTTACTACTCTATATGACGTTGTCGGAAAACAATCGAAGCCATTCTCCGATTGAGAATTCGTTAAGGAATGTATATTATGTATTGTTCGGGTTGCCAAGGTTTTACTTTCGGAAATAAGAGAGGTTTTTGCAAAAATAGCTTGTCAAGACAGACCATAACTCGTCGTGTTGAAGAGCCTAGGAAATCTATAGCGGAAACTTTAATCGCAATGATGAGTTAATGATGATTTGAAATTACTCGCAGCCATTGTCCCTATTAAGGGTACGACTGGAGGAATTGATTTGTTGGTAGCTGTGATAAAAATGATCAAGCGTCTTGGCTTGCCTTTGGCGAAACTTTTAGGAATAACCACTGATGGCGCCCCATCAATGGTTAGGAAACAACAGTTTTATTATTCTAATAATCGTGAAAGTTTGGTGTGAGGGTATTGTTTGTTTGTTTATTAACCTGTAGTCAGTGTAGCAAAATTAGAACATAACTACCATGATAAGTGGCCCGCGCAATTATTAGCAAACTACATGTGGCCCTTCGACCAAAAAGGTTGGCCGACCCTGATTTGAAGGATCTAAGGATCTATTTAAGGAATGCCTCTACAACTGGTTTGGATATGTTTCACGTTGCCTGTAACTTGATCTGTAGTATGTCTGTTGTATGATAATTCATATTCGTAATTTGGGTCGTAATTTTTATTAATTCTGAGTGAGCCAGATTTGCGCAATATCAAATTAATTCTGCGCGGACAGAGCAATACCCTGTCACCATTTGTGACTATTTATTTAGTTTATTAAACAGAAAACGTATGAACTAAGATGAGCGTGATACTTCCGTCACACCTTCCCTGAGGTCAACAATTTTCGACATAACCCTTCGGCGCAGACTACGATGAACCTCATCGGACGATAAAAATATGGCATATTAGGAGAATCGTAGTCTACGTTTTGTGATCACACATATCTATTGGCTAGTTATTGCGAGGCCAACTGAAGTAGACCTTATTTAAGCCTAAGTCAAAGACAGACGAAGGTAATTCAATGTATGCTCGGACGCTTAGCTGAAAAATACATAGATTTGAAAATAGACGTAATTTAAATTAAACGGTTATGGAATAACAATTTTAAAATTCACAATCTTGTGGAAGCCAGGTTTCAGCCGAAGCGGGAAGGATCAATGGAGGATGGCTGGCTATATTAAGAGGGTGGCCATATACCCATTTTCCATCGCTTTAAAATTTAGTACTCATGCATTTATGCATTACTTTATTGTCAATCTTATTCCAAGATATGTTAGCCAACTTTGAGATACTATTTTAGGTAGATATTGGTATAGGATCTGGTTCAAATCGCATGTGATGAAATCATGGTTAAAGTAATAGTGTTTTACGGGGAATATAATGATAAATACTAAATTATACTTCTATACATGAGCCTTCAACTTACTAGAACGGATAGAGGTCTGCCGTTTTAGATTCCTTATGTATATAGAAAACGACGAAACATTTTGGCCAAATAGTTGGTAAATGCTCGATAATTGGGCGGCTTTGATAAAATTCACTTTGGCATGTACGCCGCCCATCGAATCGGAATTGGTGTTTTTAGTTTATGGATTGTCATGCTAATGTATAGAATTTTGTTATTAGCACTCTCCACTCAAACATCTGAATATCCCTATAAATCAATGGTTCCCAACCGAGGGCCCCTGACCCACCAAGGGGCCTCAGAGCATTTGGATAAGGGACACCATGCCAGACGCAAAACTGATTTTACTTTTACTAGAAAACGCCCCGTTCTTCCTATTCACTTATCGATCTCGATCGGTAAGTATGTTGATAGGTATTTGTCTGTCTGTTTAATACACGCGATATTTCACGAAAGCGAGGTTGAATCTGCTCCAAATTTTGCATGTGCATTCATCATATATTGGACCAAAAGCCTATTGATTTTGTATGAATAATGTTGTATAATTAGCGAGTTATTAATTAATTAATGATGGGACACGCGGTGTCTCTATTGAGTCAGAGAAAAGGAATCGAAAACGCAGATCAATAAGTCGGCGGTCTGCGATCGCTATCTAGTTTCATTGATTGATAAGATTCACAGGGTGTTTTCCCTGTTTGAATGAATTATTTGAACAAAATGGGATTTGGAATCTATCAATCAAAGTAACACTATAAATACTTTGGAATTATAAACATGAATGCTAAAAGCCTCCGGAAGAGGGCTGCGAGATATAAAAGGTTTGGAACGACTGCTATAAATGATCATGCATACCCAAGATTGTGGGTCTTTACCGACATTGTTGGCCTAATTTTCTTTTAATTGAACCTGTATGTCATTTGATTCCGACAAAAAATTTTCTTTACATAAATAACACAATTTTTTGGAATTTTATATGTAGTCCAAATGATTTAATGCAGAAAAAGTTTTCGAAGAGAAGTTGATAAGAATAGAATATGCAGACTTTTGGATAATTTGCTCACAGGTTCGCAAATAAAATGGGTAGGCCTCTGGGCCATTATGCGAGAAGAAAATTGTTGTGCAGGACACTTAGTATTGCTTATGTGAACCTAATTTCATGAACATTTGAGCTGAGCTAAGTGCAAAAATTCCAATTGACATATGGAAATTTTTATTTGAAATTTTTTATACATCCGGACTGAGCTAAATGTAAAAAGTGCATTTGCTCCATGAGGGAATTTCCATTTGAAACTTTTACATATTTCCTGCGTACTTCAAGTGAATCATATTTGACGTGTTCGAGCATCATAACACTATGCATCGTGCGTAATCGAGCTCGGCCACTGATGATCGCAACAATGTTTTGTCCTAATATTTTCCACACTCCACTATATATAATATATTTCAACAACACGTAAGCAGCGCAAGCACTGCTAACAGCGTTTCCATGATTTCGATGAACAATGTAGAGAGTGAAAAAATGCAAAATGATTTAGTGTATTTGACCCTTCAAGCAGTCAGCTAGCATGGACTCTAGTAGATTACATTACAAACCTTGTTATAGGAGTATAATGTAATAAGAGGAACTGTGGGGAAACTTATAGTAGGCTACCGTGGCACCGCGATGCGCCTATAGAAACAGAATCTGAATCAGAATTATTTATAAAAACAAAACAAAAATCATCACTAATTTTTATTGATTCTGGAAAAACAAGATTACCATAAATACGTTGGTATTTAATAAAATTGGTATTTAATTAAAATAAATATATATATAGTCTCGCAGTCGATTGTAAGAATTAGTCATAGTTGAAAGAATTTCATACCTTTCGGACCAATCACATGACCTCCTGATCACAGTGAAATACTCACAACGAAACCGACATTATTCCTTTAAACGCTATAATGTATTATCGGATAAAAACCCACACGGTTGCAAATTGAAATGTGCAAAAGTACTTCTGCTCATTTTCCGTTTTATATTTTTAACTTAAATCCAAATGAATATGACTCACAATTGTTTTGGATTTAATATAGTTTGGTCATAGTTTTCATGCATTTGTACTTTTTGTTGGAGCTTCAATGAAGGTGAAATAAAATGTCTCAAATGTACGGTAACGCCGTACAACCGCAGAGGAGACAAACGAAAACGTGTATGAGGAGTTTATACATCCCACCGGCTCATATGGAGCCACAAGACAAGGTATCAGACAAACCACTGGAACACCTATCTATCTATTGCGCGTCTAATACATATAACGATTTTCTTCCAATGCCAAATTGATTGTGAAAGTACCATTTGTACCACCAAATATTCCAACATTGTATACTTGTTAGATAAGAGTATGTTAGTGTCTCATTATCAGCATAATACAATAAAGTTCACAAAATATTGCTCCATTTGGTGGTAAACTGACCAACCTACAAATTATGAGTTGATACCACAAAACTGTCATTTAAACTTCTGATGCTGTACAATAAAGTTTATAAAATAAAGCTTTAATTAGGGGTCTAGTGGCCATACAAATCATTATATTTTGAAACCAGATAACTGTACCTTAAACTAATGATAAACTTTTTATAGATGATGCTTGCAAGAAAAATTCGGAAAGAAAAAAACCGAAAAATCATTTGCTACAACATTGCCATAACTACAGCTCTCATCTTAACTTTTGGACTAGCAGCATGTGGAATGTTTTTCGCTGTTCAGGTAAATACTTAATGATCTCTTTCGTACAAATACATTTGTGGTTTTAGACTACATTTGACTGACTGAGCCATCTCAGACAATGAGTATATATATATATATGCGTGTTGACATCTAATCTCTTTATTTGTCTTTCTTTCAGAATAATAATAGAATCCAAAAACTAATGGAAGGTAAGTACCCTTCAGTTCAAACTTACTAATTGTCTTCGAACAACTTTGTATTTAGCCGTATAGATTTGTATACTATTGTAACGTTACTTTAATTAACATCTAGTGAAAAGAAATATTGTAATGCGGTATATTGTTTTCAATAGTCGTCCTAAATGCTACATTTGGTTTGTGATAATAATATAAAAACGGATTTTATTTATCATTTTAATTTATAGAATTGGAAGTGAAAATTGAGAATCTTACGACCAGAGTGATGCACAATCATGAAGGTTTGTTCAATTAGAAAAGAATAGGAAAATGTCATAACGATTTCAATGTCGCTCATAGCTTGGCCACGACCTTCGAAGAGAAAAATGGTCGAAAGAGGAAATGCGATTCATGCATATTGTCATAAACTTTTCACAAACGTTAGTGACGTGAGGACTTGATTCATTGACTCGCTCGAGTTGAACCAATGCCCTTTTCTCCCGATGGTTTGAACTCGAAGTGCCTAGCGCCATCTAAACAAAATGAATTGACTCGAATTTGAAATATTCTAACTACCAGACAGACTTGATCTAAGAATCAAAGATAATTTTGAGTGAGTCATTGAGTCATGGCAAAATAAAGTGATAACTTGCGATTTAATAATTCGATTATTATTGCTTTGATAAAAAATTTGAATTCACTGGCCTGTAACAGCAGTGACTAAAACGATTCCATTTTTTTGTGAAATCTTCCATGACACGGACTCGACTTGTGACTCGAAGGAGCAGCGGCTCGAATTGATTGATATTGGAAATCGATTTTTCAACTGTATGGGATTCGAAACCTCGATTTGTATTGTCTTTATTGTCATTTGCATTGAGCATTTGCCAAAATTAATAATAAGCGTGTATATCTTTTTTAAGTTTTATTCTAGAATCTAGATAGTGATTCCATTTTCAAATTAATAAAAAACGCCCGTATTCTTTATTTGGACTTACAGAATTGGAGATGAAAATGGTAACAATGGGAGATCGCATAAGAAATATTGATACTGACTCTAAATTGATCCGCATCAATCATGAAGATTCGTGTAATAGGAATTATCTCATTTTTATCCATTCGATCAAGTGATTGATGTCTCAATATGAAACTTCAATAGAAGTAGGCTTATTTGGTTTTCATACTTTTTTAAAATAATATATAAGACATTATTTAGAAACAATTCTTTTACTTTTGTGATGTTCCCGTCAAATATGAATAAATTAGAATGCATATTTTTTATTGGTTACAAATGCTGTATATTTTTCGAGATATCAATATAAAAACGAGCTTTATTTTTTATTTGAAGGTATAGAATTGAAAGTGAAAATTGAGAATCTTGCGACCAAAGTGATGAGCAATCATGAAGGTTTGTTCAAATTTTCTTTTTTTTATAGATGGATGTACTTTATTTTATTTTATTCAATCTTTAGCCATCTTAGTCAATGAGGTAGATGATAGCTCAATACGAAAATTGCTTATGTATTCGTTCGTGATGCACAACGTTCTTTCACGATTGTAAATATATATATATATGTTATCCGACTCGCAAAATGCGTTTATACTCATGCACAACTAGTCTAGTATGCAAACGTAAAAAGATTACGATTAAAATGGCCATGTTTGCAATATTAGATTCCGAGGAAATGCACGAGATAGCATTTTATTTTAGTTACTAATTATAAACTCTTGAACACATAGTTAGCATGATCACAGAGTCTCAACTGAACAACGAGAATATCGGTCAGAGACCGAAGACTTATCGATCGAAAGTTAGGGGATTCCCCAAAACAGCGCTTTTACTCCATAGTGACGCTTTGTGTCCCATCACTAATTAATTATTTACTCGCTAATTATGCGACCTAATTTATCCGAAATCAATAGGCTTCGGGTCCGACGTATGATGAATGCACACGCAAAATCTTGAGCAAATTCAATCTCGCTTTCTTGAGATATCACGTTCATCTAACAGACAGACAGAAAAATACATATCAACATACTTACCGATTAAAATCGATAAGTAATAAAGAAAAAAACAGCAATGCACCCAATATAAAAACAAACCAAGGTGAATTGAACCCGGGCAGTGGATATCACAAATGCACGCCTTCCTGTACTGTAGTATAAATTCAAATTTATAAGCGCTATGCTAGAATCTGAGATACAAAAACTTGAAAGTACTTCGCCGAGGTTTTTGCCTTTGTGACGTCACAATAGACCTGCGGTAACACTGATGATTCAATATGACAAAACAAATGTGCATGTCATACAAAATCTCTATTTTTATGGGTTTCGGAATTCTTAAAATAAAGTCTTAAGTAAGAGTTAACAGACAGGTGCGCCGCATTACATAAATACCTATTTTATAAAAAACTCAAAATCGCCAAATATGACTTTCGCCATTCGGTTTTAGTCTGACGCGTTAATCTGTCACAGTAGACTACCGCTACTAGCCGTCACGATGTCCTAAACAAAATATCAGATCTCACAGAAAATTCAGGAACAACTAAAAGTAACAGCCTTTTAGCGAAAACTACAATTAACAACCCCGGAAAGTTTCAAATTGGTTCATTAGTGAATGATAAAAGCAATTTTTTTTATAAGGTAATACTAATAAGAAGAATAACAAAACGACCTATATGTCCACTTCGTGTCCAACAATCGTTGTCTTCTTTTGATGCACATTGTTCGTTCATCTTTATGTGTGTGTGCTATACCGCGCATAGCAATCTCCATACGCGTTAGCTCTCCATAATATATCGAACCGATCTTGTTGAATATACAATTAATTCCTGGTTTTCCTGATGACGATGTGCCCAAATTTTAAAATTGTATACCTGTATTGTCCCACGGAATGCTGATCTAGTCTATATGTTTCATCATTTATTTGAAATTATTTGTACGAACATTCTTTTCTAGATATTTCTTCGCTTCAAGAAATGGTTTCTTCTATAAATGTTTCTATCCATGCCACGAAGCATCAGATAGATCGTTTAGGTGAGATATTCATGTTTTTGAAATTTTCTTAACATATTTAAATATACCTTGGTGATTGCTTGAGAAAACATTCAAAGATATACCTTACTAACATTAATCGTCTAATTCTATGTTGCTGACAAATATAATCAAATATATTATTATATTTAGTAACCGTACGTTGGATGGGAAACAACTCTTATCGCTCTGGTCGTGTTGAAGTTTTTCACACCGGTAAATGGGGGACGATCTGTGATGATCATTGGGGACAAGAAGAATCAAACGTTGTCTGTCACATGCTCGGTTTCGGAAACGCTTCAAGATATTATGATCGTGCGCGTTTTGGAAGAGGAAGTGGGAATATATGGCTCGATGACGTCCAATGCACTGGAAATGAAAGCGACATCACTCATTGTCAACATAATGGTTGGGGCTCGGATAATTGTAATCACGGCGAAGATGTTTCCGTTGTCTGCGATTACCTACCGGAATCATAACCGAGATAATATTTTCTATTCACACATTCCTAAAGAAAGACGCAATCTTAACGAAACTACTATGACGAGTGAATAAATAAAATTTCGTTGGAAAATTATTTAACAAAAATTTATAAGACGGTAAAAATAGCGATAATCCGTTTGAAAAAATAAAAGATCATTCAATATTCACATTCAAAGGGTTTGTAAATTTGAAAAACTTGCAAATGTGAATAAACTACTATCATTTTATAACAATGAATATTAAACATACATTTAAGTAAGAACTTGAAAAGATTTGAGAATGCTATTGGTAAAGTCTGTCCAAACTCAGAATATGTATATGTTTGCGTTCTTCAAAGATAATTTGTGGGTTGCATTTTTTAAACGATTGACATATTTCAATTTTGTCTGGATAATTATTTTCCTAAAAAATATGCAGTTGTTTTTCGACGGATCACATATTTTCTTCAAATAAATTTTAGACTAGTATTGAAAAATTTACTGTGTCATACAGGAAATTGATTAAAGCATCGTTTTTTTTTAATTGTTATTCTGTTTCATGTTCTTCTGGACAAAAAGCGTTGAATTAACAAAGCAATCCTTTTCTGCTTTTCTACTAGTTACAGATGAAATTGTTTTCCAAGACAATTACGATTATATTTTCAATTTCAAATCTGTGTACTCTAGAGTTGTTTTACTCCAAATTATGCTGTTGAAAAAGAGTTTGATCCCATAGCATTTTTTCTTCGCAAATCAGATATGCTATCCAGGACTGTTATGTGTAGTCTTGAATCTAGAGAGAAGATCGTTTCCGCATTTCTCGCGACGTCGATGGGCCATTATGCAAGCAAACATTGGGTTTCAAATCTTGTTCTGAGCCACGTCGTGTTAAAAGTATTGCTTATGCAAAAAAATTACTCATATGACTGTTAGTGAAGTTTGGTGTAAAATTACAATTGCCGCAACTCGACTCTCCGTTATAGTAACAAGTCTTGCAGTCGGTGACCGTACATTTGAACCCATGTACATTTGAACCCATGCGTATATCCACGGGTTCAATCTATATTCGGGTGCTAAAACCCATGGGTTAGGGTTAGTATGGGTTTAACTATCCGTGAAACAAAAAAAATTCCATAGGTGCAATAGCATACACGTGCAATTGTCATGGGTTCAAATGTACGTGGGTTCAAATGTAATGGAACCCTTGCAGTCGATTGTGAGGATTAGTCATAGCCGGAAATCAATTCCAACCTTTCGGTCATTTGGAATCACAATAAAATAGTTTGCCACAGCGAAACCGACACTATTTCGTTTCCAACGTTGTGATCTATTGTCGGATGAAAAGAGACAAGGTTGCAAATTGAGAATGTCCAAACGCATGTTTTTTCACGCATTTAGCACTTCTTGATGGAATTCAAATGAATCTGATTCACGTTTTCCGAAATTCCTATGAAGTGCTGTTCAAGTTTCAATACAGTTTGATCGAGATTTTATTCAGTCGCAATTTTTCTTGAAGCTTTAATGAAAGTGAGATAATAGGTCTCATATGCAAGTAAGATAATATGTCTCAAATGTACGGTAACGTCGAACCACCAGAGGAGACAAACGAAAATTTTTATGAGGATTGTGGATATCACACCGCATCATCTGGAACCACAAGACAAGGTGGCTGACAGGCTATCATCACAGTATTAGCTCTTACTCGTTAATATAAATAGCTATTTTCTTCAACTATCAAATTGCTCGTGGAATCGTCGCTGGCGCAAATATTTCAACAGAATATATTTGTTAGTTAAAGTAGTTTAGTGTCTCATTATAAATGCTATACAATAAAGTTTACAAAATAAAGCCTCAATTGGGGGTCAAGTGACCATTCAAATCATTATACATATTATGATACCAGATAACTGTCATCTAAACTATATGATGAACTTTTTATAGTTGACGTTTGCAAGAAAAATTCGGAGAGAAAGTATCGAAAAATCAGTTTCTGTTACATTGCCCTAACTATAGCTCTCATCTCAACTTTTGTACTAGCAGCATGTGGAATGATTTTAGTTGTTCAGGTAAATGATTAACGTACTCTCTCATCCAATCTGAGTTTATAGTTTCACAGTTATCAATCTTAATCGAGGAAACTAATCTAGTATCAAAGCCTTGAAGTTAATTATCAGAAGTACTGTAGTATCTAATCTCGTTTAATGTCTCCCTTTCAGAATAATTTCAGAATCCAGAGACTAATGGAAGGTAAGTAACTTTATTTTCAACTTACTTCTTATTTTCAAACAGATTTGTGTTTAGCCATACAGATTTATATACTATTCAGCTGATAGATACTCTCAGCTCAGACTATCGCAGATTTCCCGTGAGTAATTTTGATTACTGCAAATAAGCTTAAAACTCACCGGAAGAAAAAAAAAAGCTATTGAATTATTTTATATAAATTTCAAAGCTAGCGAATCCACTGAAAAACCTGATGTTTACAATAATGTCTAAAAATCTGTGAGAGAAAAAGTGTCTGCGCGGCTGAAAATTTTTAATTGTCAATCCACCTTTGATATCATGCTGATTAACCAATTTGTCACGGAAATGAACACGGAAGTCATTGGTCGAGGAAACATCGACAGTAGTCAACACCGGTAAATGAACATGTGACTTCGGACTATTCACCCAACAATAAGTTCATGCACGTTGCCATAATCCCCACAAACGTTAGTGCCGTAAAGATTCGATTCAAAAACTCAAACTCAAGTCGTTTTGGAAGGTTCAAACTCGAAGTGACTAGGATTATTTAAACAAAATGAATTGACTCGAAATTGAAATCTGCTAACCACCATAAAGACTTGACCTGAGACTCAAAAGATAATTTTGAGTTAGTCATTGGAGTGGCAAAAAAGTTTTGGCAACTTGCGATTTAGGACGTCAATTGATGTTGCCTGCCTTGGTGAAGACTTAAAATACAATGGCCTATTGATGCGGTAACTAAAAATCGAAAGAAAATATTGTTAGTTCACGATATAAAGATAGTTTGATTTTAAAAATATTGTTGGTATGAATAACGATAAAAGTCTAAGTGTTAAAATTGCTCATATTTAATCTCAGTTTGTTTTTTATGAAAACTAGCTGGTACTAGTACCCAACATTATTCACTAGAAGAATTTGCCACAAAAATATTGTATAATTTTCTATTTTTCTATTGTATTTTTCAAATCAATACAAAAATACCCATATTCTTTATTTGGACCTACAGAAATGGAGATGAAAATGATAATGATGAAAGACCATATCAGAGAGATTGAAAACAAGACAAATTTAATCAGCATCTATCATGAAGGTTTGTTCAATTAGAAACGTTTTATATTTATTCTTATCCATCTCATTCGATAAAGTAATGGATGGCTCGATACGACAATTCAATTTACTGCTATCAGTTATCTTTCTATAAGATGTAGGCATACTTGGTTTTCATATTTTTAATTATAATAGATGCGACAATATTTAGAAGCGATTTTCCCTCTCGTGATGCACATTGCACGTTAATGTGTATGTGCATTCTATTCCCACACAAGAAAATATCCAGTGTTCAAATGAAATTTTGCACCGATCTATTGAATATACATTGAAACGGTTAATTCCGGGTTTTCCCTATTAAAGTTGGCGATGCGGCCAAATTTTCAATCGTATCTTTTCTATACCTATTCCTTATATACCATACGGGATGCTTGTCTCTTCTATACGTCATCATTCGTGGCAAATAGTTATGTGTGCAAACATTTTTATTTTAGATTCTTCTTCTTATGTAAAGGATTCTATCGATACTATGCAACTAACTCTGCGTCATATAGAAAGTTTAGGTGAGATACAATTGTCGTTGAAATTTCATGAATGTATAGCCTATTTAAATGTATACATAGGATATTGTTTAAAAAATAACATTTAAAGATATGAATATGTATATATGACTAACATTAATTGGCGTTCTCATAGTATGTGCACCAAGATGGCGCACAAGCTGAACCCTAACCGGGTACACATACTATGTTCAGGTTGTGCACCAAGATGGCGCACGTACTACGAGAGCACCCATTAATCACCTACGTTCTTGGTAGATACAATCAAGTATATAATTGTATTCAGAATATCCGATAGCTGTGCGATTGTTCGGAGGAAACAGCACTCAACGTTCAGGTCGTGTTGAAATTCGTTACAACGGTATATGGGGAACGATCTGTGATGATAATTGGGGACAGAAAGAATCAAACGTTGTCTGCCACATGCTTGGTTTCGGAAACGCCTCGAGCTACCACGATGAAGCGTATTTTGGAGAAGGTAATGGGAATATATGGCTCGATGACGTCCAATGCACTGGAATTGAAAGCGACATCACTTATTGTCTACATGTCGGTTGGGGCAATAACAATTGTGGTCATTACGAAGATGTTTCCGTTGTCTGCGAATCTGTACCTGTACCTACTGTATCTGTAGAACAAGAAAATTATTTATTATGGACCACAGTCTAAACCAAACTTCTATGACGAGGCGATAAATAAAATTCGATGGAAAATTATTTAACAATAATTATCAAGCCAGTTATAATAGCAATAATCTGTTTGAAAAACTCAAAATATAATTATTCAATATTCACAACTGATTTGTTGATTAACAAAACTTTGTAAATATGACTGCACTAATATCGTTTTGGAACAATATTAAACCTACTTCTATTTGAGAATGCTATTAGTAAAATTCTGTCAAAGTTAAGTTGTTTCATGTATCATTTTTTTTTAATTATTATCCTTCTTCATGTTTTTATGTCATTGTTGGGGCAAAACCGTTGAATTAACAAATCAATCGTTTTTTGCTTTTCTACTAGATGGAACCATCTTTCAAAGACAGTTACGTTTATATTTTTCATTTTAAATCGAAATACTCTGGGAGCATTTTACTCCAAATTCTGCTGTTGAATAAAAACCTCACGTGGGTTACCGTCGATGAATTTTCGTCCTAGAGATTTTGCAAAAGCATGTCGGGATGCGTTAGTCCATTACCCTTTTGATGCGCTCGAATTTTCATTTTCTCATTTTTAAAACAATGCAGTCTAGTGTTCGTTCAAAATTTCACAAATATTTGAAAAGAAGCTTTTAAGTTCGGAAATCATAGTTATATATATATGGGTTTCCGGATCATCTGGATATTAGAACTTTGAATTTTGTAAGCTGCAGAAAGTGAATTATTACATGATATCACAGTGAAATTATTGAAATTTACTTACAATCACTCCGATTCCAATTAAACGTTATCTGTGTAGGAATATAAATCATGATGTATTGCGAATTTGAGCATTTTATATTAGTGCACTTTATTAAACGTCGGAATACAGTGGTTTAAAAAAATTCATAAATTAGGCTTATTAATCGTTTCCGAATAATATACTATAGGTATTAGCATAGTAGCTTTTCTTTGCATTTGTTTCCGCAAACATATTTATTAGAACATAAATATTATATGTTTACGTCTTAAAATTTAGCGGAATCTATTTTTCGTTTCATGTTTTTGTTTTCGAGTTTAATGTGAATCTACAGCAATCTTTGCCGAGAAACTTATGCTCAAAATTTATATAAATTAAAGTTCGATTGGAAATTTTGAGAATTTAATATACCGAAACGAAAGTAAAGTATTTTTTAATAGAAAGTTCATTCAAAGGAATATAGGATTGAATGTTGGGTAAATTATATCAAAGTTAAAATGATATGAGCAATTTTTCAGCCTTATTGCATTATATAAATCAAGGAAGCAATACCCAGACAGTAGCGAATCGGACTTTTATACAAGAGTCTACGTCAAAATATTTATACAAATAATCAAAAAGTCTGGCGCAGTATAATTGGTCCATTCGCCTCATCCTAGATTAGATGAGAATTCTAAGCAGATTTTATCTGTCATGGACAAACATTAGAATTTAAATTCAGTGTCGATATTAGTTGATCGTATTATTTTCGGTAGGTGATTCCCCCCTCCACCCCCCTTTTTAAAGAGAAAAAAAGTCATTTTTCCTCATCATACATAGCAATTGTTCGTAACTTCAGACCTCAGAGACTTTCACAAACCGACGTTTTCCGTCCTCAGGCCGAACCCGGTAGCTGTTCCGATCTATTTCATTTCTCGCAAATTTGATATGCTATTCTCAATTTGTTCTACATATAGTCTAAAAAAATATGCATTTCTCACGACGTATAAAACATTGGTCTGCAACAAAGATGAGCTATTATACAAGCAAACATTTGGTTTGAAATCTTGTTCTGGTCTACATCGTGTTAAAAGTATTGATTATGCAACAAAAATTACTCCTATGACTGTTTGTGATGTTTGGTGTAAAATTGAAATTGCCCCAACTCAACTTACCGTTATATTAAAAACTCTTGGAGTCGATTTGTGAGAATTAGTCATAGCCAGAAATAAATTCCAACCTTTCGGTCATTTTGAATCACAATAAAATTGTTTGACACAGCGAAACCGACACTATTTCGTTTCCAACGCTGTGATCTATTGTCGGATAAAAGGAAACAAGGTTGCAAATTGCAAATGTTCAAACACACGTGTTTTCACGCATTTAGCACTTCTTGATGGAATTCAATTAAATCTGACTCACGTTTTTCACGGAATCTGACTCACGGATTTCCATCAAGTGCTGTTCAAGTTGTGGTGCCCCTGAGCACTGAAGACTTTGGTGCCCCCTTATGTGTAATTGAATTATAAAAACAATAAAACACATAAGTGTATTATTATCAATTAAAAATAATCACAACCAACAGTAAATAAAACAACTTTTACAAACGTTTTTGGGTTTTTCAACTGTTATATATAGCCGATATATATATCGGCAAACACGTAATATCGGACCGATATATCGTCTAATCTCTAATCCTGAGGAAGCGTGACAATAAAGATTCATGCCTCCAGTCTCAACGTGAATCGAAATACCAATGTATACAAGTCGTCACAACTGTAGTTTGAAATTTTATCGGTACCTGGTAGTCTACCTCAGGGTGGTTCAAGGTTGCTAGGTTGAAGGACCGCAAAAACTTTTGAGGAGGTCTCGCGGGCCGCAAGTCGGAGAAAACCCAAAAGTGATCAAAATATCGCGAGTTTACTTACTTTAAATTTAATAAACAACGAGAGTTTACCGTTCTAAACAGACTATTATCATGTTGCATGGGTGGCGTTCTTTTAAAGAAGATATATAAAGCCTTCAGTCATCTTAAAGTTAATTCCTGAGAATTACCGTTGTATTTTGCGCATCTCGCGTTTAATGTCGATTCAAATTATATTCTTTCGTGACAGATATTACTTGAAATCATACCAGACACTGTGTGATGGGCGAGGAAATACGTTTCCACCGTGTTTTCCTTATGTCACCTTCTTGCGACACTCATTTTATTACGAATTGTTATATTGAGTAATTTAAAAACTTGCAGCGTGAGCAAGCTTAGTGTCATCGTCAAATACCAACCAAGTCCGTCTAAGTTGGTATTTCGGGACCTAGCTAAAAAAAAACTGGATTGCGCTGCGTTAAGTCGGCTCTGCCTTTCTTCACTACTGTCACATGGCCCACGCTTGGAAACAGAGGAGTGTTTTCACTAAAATAGAGGCACAAGGCGATAGAAAAAAGGGTTTGAATCTCGGGATTTCAACCCCAGTTGGAATAGCTTATGAAACTTAAAAACGTCCCTCCATTAGATACAAATATGCGCTAAATTGTTCTGTGAGCCGCACGGAATGTATCAGTATGACTGCGTTTGGACCACCCTGGTCTACCTTATCAAAAAACTCCCGACTTCGCTGACCACTAGATTGTTGAAGTGCGATCGTGGAACCGCCACATAGTGTAAATAGTTTATTGGTCCAATTGTTGAAGAGAAAACAATTTTTTCTAAAACAAAAATGCAGCAACAAGGAGAATACAAGAAAGAAAAAACAACAACAATTTAAGAAAACGACTCATAGGCCCATTTCGTGTCCAATAAATAAGTTTCAGTGTTTATTTTTATTAAAGGTTAATATGGTACTTGAAGACAAAAAAAAGGGAACAATTTGAAGTTTGAGTCGTCTGGTGAACTCGTAATATTTTAATAAACAACGATAAACTATATAAAATTTCTGTGGTGCCCCTCTTTGCTTGGTGCCCTAAGCACGTGCTTATATTGTTTAATGGTTAAACCGGCGCTGCATATACCCATTCTCCACCCGCTTTAAAATTTAGTAATGCATGACTTTATTGTCAATCTTAGTCCAAGATGTGTTGGCCAACTTTAAGATACTATTAGGTGTTGGTATAGATACTAGATGTTGGTATAGGATCTGGTTCAAATCGCATGTGATGAAATTATGGTTACAGTAATAGTGTTTTACGGGGAATATAATAATAAATACTAAATTATACTTCTATACATGGGCCTTCAACTTACTAGAACGGGAAGAGGTCTGCCCTTTTAGATTCCTTATGCATATAGAAAACGACGAAACATTTTGGCCAAATAGTTAGTAAATGCTCGATAATTGGGCGGCTTTGATAAAATTCACTTTGGCCTGTACGCCGCCCATCAAAACGGAATTGGTGTTTTTAGTTTATGGGTTGTCATGCTAATGTATAGAATTTTGTTATTAGCACTCTCCACTCAAACATCTGAATATCCCTATAAATCAATCCGAGGGTCCAACCGAGGGTCTCTGACCTTCACAGGGCATTTTCCTTTTGCTGAGCATGGAATATTTGAAAGAAACGGGATTTGGAATCTACCAATCAAAGTAACACTATAAATACTTTTGGAATTATAAACAGGGGGTCATGAGTGCTAAAAGCCTCCGGTAGAGGGCTACGAGATATAAAAGGTATGCAACCAGCCAACCACTGCTATAAATAATCATGCATACACATGATTGTGGGTCATTACCGACATCTTTGACTTAATTATTAAATTTTTTTTTAATTGAACCTGCATGTCAACTGATTCCGACAAAAAATTTTCTTTACATAAATACCACAATTTTTTGGAATTTTATATGTAGTCCAAATGATTTATTGCAGAAAAAGTTTTCGAAGAGAAGTTGATAAGAATAGAATATGCAGACTTTCGGATAATTTGCTCAGGTTCGCAAATAAAATGGGTAGGCCTATGGGCCATTATGCGAGAAGAAAATTGTTGTGCAGGACACTTTGTATTGCTTATGTGAACCTAATTTCATGAACATTTGAGCTGAGCTAAGTGCAAAAATCCCAATTGATATATGGAAAATTTTTATTTGAAATTTTTCATACATTCGGACTGCTGAGCTAAATGTAAAAAGTTCATTTGCTTCATGAGGGAATTTCCATTTAAATTTTTAAATATTTCCTGCGTACTTCAAGTGAATCATATTTGACGTGTTCAAGCATCATAACACTATGCGCCGTGCGTGATCGAGCTTGGCCACTGATGATCACAACAATGTTCTTGTCCTAATATTTTCACACTCCACTATATATATTTCAACAACACGTAAGAAGCGCAATCACTGCTAACATCGTTTCCATGATTTCAATGAACAATGTAGAGAATGAAGAAATGAAAAATGATTTAGTGTATTTTACCCTTCAAGCAGTTAGCTAGCATGGACTCTAGTAGATTACATTACAAACCTTGTTATAGGAGTATAATGTAATAAGAGGAACTGTGAGGAAACTTATAGTAGGCTACCGTGGCACCGCGATGCGCCTAGAAGCAGAATCTGAATCAGAATTATCCATTAAACAAAACAAAAATCATTACTGAGTTTTTCTGATTCTGGAAAAACAAGATTAACATTAATACGTTGAATAAATATATAAAGAGTCTCGCAGTTGATTGTAAGGATTAGTCATAGTTGAAAGAATTTCATAACCTTCGGACCAATCACATGACCTTCTGATCACAGTGAAATACTCACAACGAAACCGACATTATTTCCTTTCAACGCTATAATGTATTGTTGGATAAAAACCCACACGGTTGCAAATTGAAATATGCAAAAATATTTTTGCGCATTTTCCCTTTTATATTTCCAACTTCAATCCAAATGAATATGACTCACAATTGTTTTGGACTTAATATAGTTTGGTCATAGTTTTCATTCATTTGTACTTTTTGTTGGAGCTCCAATGAAGGTGAAATAACATGTCTCAAATGTACGGTAACGTCGTACAACCAGAGGAGACAAACGAAAACGTGTATGAGGAGTTTATACAATCCACCGGCTCATCTGGACCCACAAGACAAGGTAGCAGACAAACCACTGAAGTAGGCGTACCTATAAATGACGCGTTTGATAAAAATAACGATTTACTTCCACTTCCACTGTGGCTGGAGCGAATATTCTAACGTTGTATATTTGTTAGTCAAAGTATGTTCACTATCAATATTATATATTGAAATTTACAAAATATTGCTCCATTTAGTGGTAAACTGACCAATCTTAAAAATTGTGATTGGATACAAGAAACTTTTGATGAACTATTTATAGATGATTCTTGCAAGAAAAAATCGGAAAAGAAGAATCGAAAAATCATTTGCTACAACATCGTCATAACTACGGCTTTCATCTTAACTTTTGGACTAGCAGCATGCGGAATGTTTTTTGTGTTTCAGGTAAATGCTTAACGAACTCTCTCGTCCAATCTGAATTTATAGTTTCAGACTGCTTCAGACTCGGCAATCCTTAACGATGAGTTGGAAAAACTATATTCATTCTGTAGCCTCGAAGTTACTTATCAGTATGACAGTATCTATCTACTATAGTATCTGATCTCTTTATCTGTCTTCGTTTCAGAATAAACACAGAGTCCAAAAACTAATGGTTGGTGAGTACCCTTTACTTCCAACTTGCATATTGTCTTCGAATACCTTTGTATTTAGCCGTATATATATATTTAGATAAATAATTCGAGGACTGGTTGATGATTTCACAATATATATTTGTAAGTGGCTGATAGGCTATTCTAGGTCAAAGCCAACTGTAAACTGGTATCTCTTCCGCTTATGATCCATATTATTGGTTTCTGTTCAACTACAAATTTATAGCTATCTTCAAAATATCTTGTAAGATGCGTGCATATTTCCTGTTCCGCTGTATTGTAATTTGTTCTTGATATTTCTCTAATAGAGTAATACCACTGTTAATATATATTCAGTGTTTATTTCATCTGTCATTGATGTACCGACTCACTCTATCTATAATGCTTGTTATTGGACACGTTTAGTGGCCATAACGATCGTTTCAAAATTTTGTTGTTATGTTATTTGTCTCCGTCTCCATTTTTAAATAATCGCTTTTCTCTTCGAATACTGGACCAATTGCTTTAATATTTTCAGTGGTTAAAGATAAAATTTTTCTCCAGAAGGCTATTACTTTTTTTCGCTATGACGTCATCAAAATTATTGCCACTGGGTGGCGCTACGTGTCTATATATTTGAGCATATCTCTCTTGTTTCATGCTGCGCTTATGTTGGCCAACTCACAATGCTAGCCTACCCCCATTTATTTTATTGATTAATCTTGTTCTACTCAGATTAGAACACTTTTCATATGTTATGGTATGTATTCTAATAACTTATGACGATTTCAGCATCTTACCCAATCACTTTCACTTTTAATTCCGCACATTCTTTCCTCTTGATATATATATATATATCCAACAACCATCGTTAGCATGCTGCAGTATGAGTAACGCAGCAACGGTTTATTCTGTCGCTGAATTGCACTCTTGCTGCTGTTTCCATGGTAACTTGCACACCGGTGCAAGCTAGGTTTTTGTTTTTTGTGTGTCCTGTATCGGGCGTCTTCTGGAAACCCAGGTCGCCTCGACTGTAATTTCTTCCAATAATCCTCTTGCTAATTTTTAGACTTTTTTATGCTATCATTAATTACTGTTAGCTTTTTTCTCGGGTGTCGCTGCTCGATAACCAGTCCTGGTTTCTCACGTCTCCTTTTCACCTCGACTTATCACTTTCGCCTCTTTTAACATTCTGTATTCATTAGTGTACGATATTTTATGTATGGTGTATAAAATACTGATTACTGATTGGTATAAATAAACATTTAAAGTCCTAGTGTCATAATGGCTTATATTTATTGTAAAGTTGGAACGTGAATTCCAATCCACTCAACGTTGTTGTAGTGGAGTCCTATTTGCACCCGCACCCGCCTTGAAGTATTATGCGCGATCTTCCAGTTCCTAGTAACTGCACAACCAAAGTAGTAAAGATGCAACGAGATCCTTAGAAAACGAACTGTATTCATCAATCGCCACATAAGAGTAAAATGTTGCTACGGTACAGAAACTTGAAGACCAACGATAAAATTAATTTATAACGACACGGATGCACTAGAAATAAACAATGAAAGAATGATAAAATAACATTCACAATAACAAGCAATAATAGCCAATACTCAATAGGACCTAACCAAGCTAACTTAATATAACAGATTTCACGAAGCCCGCACCCCTAATAAAAACTATATCCAAGGCAAATCCCAATATTAAACGACACTTTCGCAATCCCACAGTGCCGTATAGAACAAAGTATCAGAAAAGCGTTATCTCAAAACCCGGAGAAAAAGTTTCACTCCCTATGTCTTCACTATGGCGCAATAATGAGTCACTGTCAACAGGAAATCAAGATAATAAAGATAGAACATAATTTGCCCGGGATTGTTAAGATAATAGAGAAATATAAATGGTAAAAAGTGTGAGGCGTGCGAGGTCAAACCTAACATTTATTCTTTACTTTGTTGTTCATAAAATCTATTCGGAACAGAAGTGTTCTCAATAGGGGCTTGAAACTGCAGTGACTCATGCTGAGACCTGAATTTAATAAATTGTGGTTCTCGGACCTGTGACTTGTCGTCACTCTAGAAATGAGGACTTTGTGGTATACTGTGTTATGGCTCCCATTATTTCATGCATGAGTGACCTTGGTTTCTGTCTCGCGCTTCTTCTTTTGTTGATGCTTCAGTCGATGACTGCGTTTTTCTGTAATACATTTTGAATATGTACAAACATCGTCTATTCTTCGAGTCACAACACAACAGACTTGTACCCAACATTATTCATCATTAGCGTTATGCACCATAATGCAGAATCGTGTATTCTTTTCAATTTTCATCTTATCATCTTAATTTCATTTTCATCCTAAATAGTGCTTCCATTCTTCAAAGTGATATATAAAAAAACATATTCTTCATTTGGACATACAGAAATGGAAAGGAAAATGATAACAATGGAAGATCGTATGAGAAAAATTGAAAACGAGACAAACTTGACCCGCATCAATCATGAAAGTTTGTTTAATTAGAAATATTTTATTTTAATTTATCGTCTTCGATGAGGCAAAATGGTGGCTCAATATAACAATTTAATTTTTAAGGTTATCAGTTATTCAAGGTGTAACCTATTTGGTTTTCATGTTTTTTATAAATAAAAGATGGTAAAATATTTAAAAACAATTTTTCCCTCTCCTGATGCACATTGCTGCTGGTTAATATGTGTATTTGTATGCATTCTATCTCTGCATCATGTGGAAAATTTAGGTAAGATACAATTGTCGTCGAAATGTTATAGATGTATTTATTAAATTCACATAGAAAATTGTTTGAATTCACTTCCAACTTACTTATTGTCATCGAACAACTTTCAATTTAGTCGTATAGGTGTGATTCGACTAGCAAATATATTTTTGTACTATTGTACTAATTTGCTACAAAAAAATAATTTAGAATTGTCTTTTTCAATTTTCATCTTAAACAGTGCCTACATACTTCAAATTAACAAAAAAAAACATATTTTTTATTTTGACTCACAGAGATGGAGATGAAGATGGTATCAATAAAAGATCATATGAGAGACATTGATATCGACACATATTTGATCCGCATCAATCACGGAGGTTTGAGTAATAAGAATTAATTTATTTTTATTTATCTCTTTCGATAAAGAAATTGTTGGCTCAATATTATCAGTTATCTATAAGGTGTAGGGGTAATTGGTTTTCATATTTTTATATTTAATAGATGAACCAATATTTAGAAGCAATTTTTCCCTCTCGTGATTGCACATTGCTCGTTAATGTGTATGTCCATTCTATTCCGCATTCTATCCCCTTGTTGAATATACAATCAAACGGTTAATTCAAGGTTTTCCTTATAAACTGACACCAATATGATCAGCATCAATCCTAAACGTTTGTTCCATTAGAAATATTTCATTTTTACTCTTGTTATCTATGAGCTGCAGGCCTATTTGGTCAATCCAACGATCCGTATGTCTGCGCGTGCTATACCGCGTCTAGAAATTTCCATTGCCGTTAGTGTTTTATAATATTTCGAACCGATTATGTTGACATACAATGAAACGGCTAATTCCAGGTTTTCTTATTGAAGTTGACGAGGCGCCTAAATTTTAAATTGTATCCTTGTATACCTATTGCTAATCTACTATACGGAATGCGGGCCTCTTTTATACTCCATCATCCCTGAGAAATTGTTATTTGTGCAAACATTTTTTTTTTAGAGTTTTCTTCTTCTGTGAAGGATTCCATCGAAACTATGAAACAAACTCTGTATCATATAGAAAGTTTAGGTGAGATACAATTGTCGTTGAAATTTTATAAATATATTTAAATAAACATAGGAAATTGTTTGAGAAAGTATTCAAAGATATAAAGGTGCTCCCGAAGTATGCGAACCAAGATGGCAGATATCGGAACGTAACATGGGTAACAGGTTAGGGTTAAGCGATATTTTTTTCCAATTTTCCTTATTTTAGTTCTAATATCAGTTCGAAGACTAGCCAAGAGCGTCCCGTAGTATTTATACCTAACATTATGGCCTAACCCTAACCTAGTACACATATTACATTCCGATGTCCGCCATCTTGGTTCGCATACTTCGGGAGCCCCGATATAAATATGTATATATATCTGACTAACATTAATCACCTACGTTGTTGTAAGATATGATCAAGTATGTAATTGTATTCAGAATATCCGATAGCTGTGCGATTGTTCGGAGGAAACAGCACTCAACGTTCAGGTCGTGTTGAAATTCGTTACAACGGTATATGGGGAACGATCTGTGATGATGAATGGGGACAAGAAGAATCAAACGTTGTCTGTCACATGCTAGGTTTCGGAAACGCGTCAAGCTACCATGATGAAGCGTATTTTGGAAGAGGTAATGGGAAGATATGGCTCGATGACGTCCAATGCACTGGAAATGAAAGCGACATCACTTATTGCAGACATAAAGGTTGGGGCAATCACAATTGTGGTCATCACGAAGATATTTCCGTTGCCTGCGATTCTGTGCCGGAATCATGAAGTACGAGAAAATTATTTACTATATACAACATTCTTGATGATTGATACAATCCTAACAAAACTCCTATGACGAGTCAATAAATAAAATTTCGTTGGAAAATTATTCAACAAAAATTCGCAAGGCAGGTATAATAGCGATTATCTCTTTGAAAAACCCAAAATAGAAATTATTCAATATTCACATTAAAATTTGGGTTTATTTATTTCAAAAAAAAAAAATATGTGAATGTGTTAAACTATTACAATTTTATAACAATGGATATTAAACCTACATCCATCTAAAACATTAAACTCGAGAATGCAATTAGTAAAAGTCTGTCAAAGTTTAGAATATGTACGTGAATGAATGTTTGAGTCTTACATAATTTGTGGTTTGCATTCTTTAAACCAGCGTTTCTCAAACTGTGTGCCGCAGATTTTAAAGGGTGCCGAGGAGCTTTTGCGAATTTTAAAATAAGCTTCTCGCGTTACACATAGGCATGGATGAAACGGGCAAGCTTGTGAGACTTGAGTATCCATAATTACTTAGACTGATAATATTATTGAGTTTGCCTTGTCGTTGTAGTAAGGGGGATTGTTCCGGCATATTTGTATTGTGATGTCATAATGTTTTTGTGAACGAGACATCCGCGTTCAGTTGGGCAACAGGAAAGCAAGTTTGGACGAGTTTTGGCTATCTTCTTACAAATTATATTCAATCATCGGCGCAAAGCCATTCAAATAATCTATCCACCATTTGTATCTCCGTGGCTATTTCTTGCTTTGACTGAAATCAAAAGCAAAAAAGGAGCGACGGAACCTTGGTTTGACTGTTTCTCAAAACAGGCACACGCATCGCATTCAAATTTGCAGAATAACTTGTTTAAGGAAAGCTCTATTTTTTCACAAGTGTGCCGCGAGCAAAAAAAGTTTGAAAACCACCTCTCTAAACGATTGACATATTTAGATTTTGTCTGGATATTGATTTTTCTAACAAATTTGTAGTTTGTTATTTGCCGCATCACATATTTTGTTCAAATAAATTTTAGGATAATATTGAAAACTTTACTGTTTTATTATTCATGTTTTATATTCATATATATACTAGGGCCCGATCGATATATCGGCCGACCGATATATCGGCCATGTTTTTTACAAATTTCGAACTATCGGTATCGGCTAATTTTACCGATATATATCGACCGATCACGTGACTGCCAAAGTGTCAAAATTACGCCGGGAAAGCAGTTTTATCGCTTGTTTAATTGAGAGCGGTTCTGCCTAATACTCTTTTTCTTCGTTACTTCTATTTATCTCTTATCAAAAAGCGGCTTTTGACTGTGTCTTATCCAAAACAGACGTATGACACGGGATTTAACTCTTTGTAAGCGAGTTTGCAAGCGTACTGGTGGCCTTGCAAATTGAAGCGAGAGAAACATGTAAAAGACTTATTTGTGTCAAATAATATACCTTGATTAATAAAGAAATCTCGCCGTTTCCACTTTCCACAGCTTTGGATTTCCCTTGCGCTTCCGTCGTTCAAAGCGCGATTTAACTTCTTGTATTGATATGTTATAGATGGCTGGTTCTAGCGGTAAAATCTATGTATGGGAATACTTGGTGTGTCATAATGATGGCGTAATTTGTAAAATATGCTTATCATTATCAAGTCAAAAGGTTCCGCCGATTAAAAAAAACACCAGTAATTTGTAGACCCATCTCAAATCAAAACACAAGAGCAAGTATGATTAGGTCCAAAGCAGAAAAGCATTGGAGCCAATCCAGAAAAACTCAGCCCAACTACATCTGAGACTGTTGAACTGGAGCTATTGAGATTTATAAGCTTCCTGCCCTTACAATAAGTGTTCTTTCTTGCCATGCACAAAATTGCATGAGTTCAACATTTCATTTCTTTTGCAAGAAAATTTCAACAAGATTCTCAGAGTGTTGCTTGTTACTGTAGCCATATTTGTAAGTGAGGAAACATCGGTATCGGTTTATCGGCCTACTTTTAGAAAACTATCGGTATCGGTTTAAAAAGGCAGTATCGGTCAGGCCCTAATATATAAATATATATATCGTTTTTGTTTTATCGATATTCTGCTTCATAACTTTCTATTTTTGTTGGGACAAAAAGTGCTTCACGTTTAATTAACAAACCAATAGTTTTCTGCTTTTCTACTAGTTACAGATGGAATCATGTTCCTAAAACATTTACGTATTCATCTTTCATTTGAAATTCGAGTATTCTGGGACCGTTTGATAAAAGCATTTTACAACAGCATGGGTGAATGTATCGGTTCATTAACCTATAGTGTCTAGTGTTCGTTCAATATTTTCATTTTCTCAGTTTGAAAATAATGTCGTTCAGAATTTCACAAATATTTAAAAAAAAGTTTCTAAGTTCAGAAATCACAGTTATATGGGTTTCCTAAACATCTGGATATTAAAACACTAAATTTTGTTCGCCACTTCAATAAAGAGAGAGTAAACTTTTACATGATATCACAGTGAAATTATTGACATTTATTTCAACTTATATTCACTTTAATTCAAATTAAACGTTATCTGTGTAGGAACATAAATTTTGATGTTTTACGAATTTGCAATGGAAATATTAGAGCATTTTATTAAACGTCGGAATACAGTGGTTCAAAAAAATCATAAACTAAGCTTTTTAATCGTTTCCGAATAATATACTATAGGTATTAGCATAATAGCTTTTCTTTGCATTTGTTTCCGCAAACATATTTATTAGAACATAAATATTATATGTTTACGTCTTAAAATTTTGAGAAATCTATTTTTCGTTTTATGTTTTTGTTTTCTAGTTTGTGATGTGAATCTACAGCAATCTTTGCCGATAAACTTATGCTCACAATTTATATAAATAAAAGTTTGATTGAAAATTTTGAGAATTCAATATACGGAAACAAAAGCAAACTATTTTTTAATAGAAAGTTCATTCAAAGGAATATAGGATTGAATGTTGGGTGAATTATATCAAAGTTAGAATGATATGGGCAATTTTTCAGCCTCATTGCATTATATAAATCAAGGTCTACGTCAAAATATTTATACAAATAATCAAAAAGTCTGGCGCAGTATAATTGGTCCACGCGCCTCATCCTAGATTAGATGAGAATTCTGAGCAGATTTTATCTGTCATCGCCGAACATTAGAATTTAAATTCAGTGTCAATATGAGTTGATCGTATTATTTTCGGTAAATCGACATAAATCAAATTATCCTGTTCAGAGGCGTATCCAGGGTTGAGTTTGTGATTCCCCCCCCCCCCTTTTTTTTTTGAGTAAAATAGGCATTTTCCCCCATCATACATGGCAATTTTTCGTAACTTCAGACCTCAGAGACTTTCACAAACCGACGTTTTCCGTCTTCCGGCCGAACCCGGTAGCTGTTCCGATCTATTTTATTTCTCGCAAATCCGATATGTTATCCTGGACTTTTATATATAGTCTAAACGAAATCGGATATGCATTTATCACGACGTATGAAACATTGGTCTGTTGGTCTGCAACAGAGATGGGCCATTAAACAAGCAAACATTTGGTATGAAATCTTGTTCTGGGCCACGTCGTGTTAAAAGTATTGAGTATGCAACAAAAATTACTCCCATGACTGTTTGTGAAGTTTGGTGTAAAATTACAATTGCCGCAACTCGACTCTCCGTTATAGTAATAAGTCTTGCAGTCGATTGTGAGGATTAGTCATAGCCGGAAATAAATTCCAACCTTTCGGTCATTTTGAATTACAATGAAATAGTTTGCCACAGCGAAACCGACACTATTTCGTTTCCAACGTTGTAATCTATTGTCGAATGAAAAGAGACGAGGTTGCGAATTGAGAATGTTCAAACACATGTGTTTTTACGCATTTAGCACTTCTTGATGGAATTCAAATAAATCTGATTCACGTTTTCCGAAATTCCTATCAAGTGCTGTTCAAGTTTCAATACAGTTTGGTCGAGGTTTTATTCATTATTTATTCGTATTGTGAGGAGCTTCAATGAAGGTGAAATAATATGTCTCAAATGTACGGTAACGACGAACCACCAGAGGAGACAAACGAAAATGTTTACGAGGATTATATAAATCACACCGCTTCATCAGGAGCCACAAGACAAGGTAGCAGACAGGCTATCATCACAGTATTAACTCTTACTCGTTAATATAAATAGCGATTTTCTTCCACTGTCAAATTGCTTGTGGAATCGTCGCTGGCGCAAATATTTCAACAGAATATATTTGTTAGTTAAAGTATGTTAGTGTCTCATTATAAATGCTATACAATAAAGTTTACAAAATAAAGCTTGAATTAGGGGTCGAGTTACCATCAAAATCATTTTATTTTGACACCACATAACTATCATTTAAACTATATGATGCACTTTTTGTAGATGATGCTGGCAAGAAAATTTTGGAAAGAAAGAATCGAGAAATCAGTTCCTGTAACATTGTTATAACTACAGCTCTAATCTTAACTTTTGGACTAGCAGCATGCGGAATGATTTTCGTTGTTCAGGTAAATACGATCTCTTTCGTACAAAATAAATCTATGATTTCAGACTGCATTTGACTGGCGGAGCAATCTCAGACAATGAGCAATGTTTGTTGCCATCTAATCTCTTTATTTTCTTTTTTTCAGAATAATAACAGAATCCAAAATCTAATGGAAGGTAAGTACCCTTTACTTCTAACTTACTGATTGTTTTCGAACAACTTTGTATTTAGACTATAGATTTGTGTACTATTGTGACATTACTTTAACCAACTTTAACATCTAGTGAAAAGAGTGGTATATATATTGTATTTATTAGTCGACTAAAACGCTTATTTGGTTTGTGATATTAATATGGGAACGACTTTTTTATTTATAGAATTGGAAGTGAAAATTGAGAATCTTACGACCAAAGTAATGCGCAATCATGAAGGTTTGTTCAATTAGAAAAATTGGGATTTTTTTTCTTTTTCCGTCCATTTTAGTCAATGCTTTATTGGCTCAATATGAATATTGCTTAAGTTACGTTTGTGATGCATGTTTGTGAGTGTATGTGTTATTCGACTCGTAGAAATATGTTTGTACTATGGTGCATATAATTCATATTTCATATGAAGAAGTTTTAGCTCCAATTCTTCTTTCTATATTCTGAAAACGTGTATACGTTACGAATAAAATAAAAGTTATGTATGTATGTTCTTCCGTGCAATAAGTTATCAGCAGATTAAGAAAAAACTTTAAACTTCAATGCTATTAATGTGTTTTCGGACTATTTACTCAACAACAAGTTCATGCATATTGCTATAAATTTTTCACAAACGTTAGTGCCGCGAAAACTCGATTCATTGACTCGAACTCAAGTTGTCTTCGAAGGTTCGAACTCGAAGTGACTAGAGTGACTCGAAATTGAAATCTGCTAATCACCATACAGACTTGGCCTGCGACTCAAAGATAATTTTGAGTTAGTCGTTGGAATGGCAAGAAAACTTCGGAAACTTGCGATTTAACACGTCAATTCATGTTGCGGTCATAAAATCTACTCGCTGGCGCTTGCGGCTGCAGTGACATGACAGCTGGAACAATCGGATCAATGACTTGTCTTGACTCGAGGATTAGGGACTAGTACCCAACATTAATCACCATTAGCATTTGCTACAATAAAAATATGAAATTGTCTTTTCCAACTTTCATCATAAAAAGTGATTTTATTCTTCAAATTAAAACAAAAAAGCCTTATTCCTAATTTGGACTTACAGAAATGGTAACAATGAAAGATCGTATCAGTGAGATTGAAAACGAGAAAAACTTGATCCGTGTCGATCATAAAGGTTTGTTTGTTCAATAAAATTTTTTATTTTATATTTATCTCATTAGATAAGGCAAAATGATGATTCAATATGACAATTAAATTTTTAATGTTATGTTTTGCAACCTATTTGGTTTTCTTGTTCTTATAAATAAAGGATGATACAATATGTAGACAATTGTTCCCTCTCTTGATGCACATTGCTGTTAATATGTGAATTCGTGTTCATTCTATATCTATGCAGCATATAGAAAATTTTAGGTGAGATACAATTGACGTTAAAATTTTATGAATGTATTTAAATATACATAAGAAATTGTTTTAAAAAAACATTAAAACATCTGCCAACAACGTAGGCCATCACCTACGTTGTTGGCAGATAAAATCAAGTATGTAATTGTATTCAGAATATCCCATTGCTGTTCGATTGGTCGGAGGAAACAACTCCCAAGGTCGTGTTGAAGTTCTTCACTGTGGCTCATGGGGAACGATCTGTGATGATAATTGGGGACAGGAGGAATCAAACGTTGTCTGTCACATGCTTGGTTTCGGAAACGCTTCAAGATATTATAGTAATGCACACTTTGGAAGAGGATGTGGAAATATATGGCTCGACGAAGTCCAATGCACTGGAATTGAAAGCGACATCACTCATTGTCGACATGAACCTTGGGGCGATAACGATTGTAGTTCTAGCGAAGATGTTTCCGTTGTCTGCGATTCTGTCCCGTAATCATGGAGCACAAAAAAATATTTACTATATAATACAACATTATTAAAGAAAGACACAAACTTAACCAAACTTCTGTTTGTTTGTTCGTAAGAAAACTACGTTACAAAAAAGTCTCGAATGAGTTATGAAATCAACGAATAATATGATATTATATTCTGATCCTTTTTCTGAACAAACATTCAAATATCTTGACTAATCGTGATATTACCACTTCAAGAAACTTTGAAAATGTGAATTTTAATTTTGTAAATTTTATTGCAATTGATATCAACCATAAATCTATTTCTGAACTTGACACATTTGAGAATACAATCGTTCAAGTTCCTGTGCAAGTTAGATATAGATATACCCAGCGACCAAGCTCACTTTCATTTATCTGGTTTTGTCAATAAGAAAACTTTTCGGTACTGAGCGGAAAGTAACTCCTACAGACCTACATATAAGACGTAACAGCGCGGTGTGCAGTTGCGAGTTTTCGCGTTTGTGGTCATATTTTTTGAGGAAACAGCGGTTTAAAGATGTCAAAACTCAAGATCCCTAGAGAAAATGCAACGATATTGTTTCAACAAGATGGAGCAAGACCGACCAAAGCCAAAGCCATTGATGCTGGATTGAAAGCTGCCATTTGCAAACAATAACGGGAAATGACTCAGAAGAGAAAACTGTACAATATGCTTACAAAATTGCAGCTGTATCTTGAAGGCCTAGTTATTCTAGCCTTACCCTGTATAAGAAAACGCATAATAATGGTTTGCATTATTTTAAACGACTGTGGGTGAATATCTTTTTATTTGTAATAAATATGACATTTTATGCTCCTTTTTGTTCTACGTATAAAATCAGTTTGAAACATGAATGTTATACAGTAAGCGTCAACGTGGATCGTGCTATGGTATTTTTGTTATGGTTCTTGTACGCGTTTTGACTTGACTAAACCAAATACGTGTTTTAGTTGTTAAAAATGATCGCATCTTCAGAAAGACATTTGCGTTTATTCCTTTTTTTTCGTGATGTATGAGCACTGGGAGACACATTTTAAGCCAGATTATAATTTTGAAAAATATCTGAAAAATATTTCATTTAAAAATAATCCTCCCGTACTATACATAAATTATGTGTAAATTCCCTCAAAATTCTTGAAAATCTGTTCTTCGTTTTTTGTGTTCTATTGTGTATAAAAACTCATTGAAATCATTGGAAACCTGATATAGACGAATAAAACAAACTGTTGTTTCAAGAAACATTTCAAATTGTGGGTAACTTTTTTTGGGATGTTTTTCGCAATTTTACAGCACCATTGCATTATCTGGGACGCATTTATGGACAGTAGCAAAGAGGAGTTTTACGAAAAAGATCGACATTAATATAATTTTATATAGGCAACTGAAAACATTGTACCATTCATCTTTGCATATTGACGACATAAAAGTATCTATAGATTAAAAATGAACTGATTAATGGAAAGACTAGTACTTAACAGTCGAGGTATGCTCCATGGTTTGTATTGCGTCCAATCATTATTGACTGAAAACAGGAATTCAAAAAGTGAAATTTGAAAACTTCAGAGAAATAACAATAATTCAGATAAATATAGTAATAGTCAAACCTGTTTTGTGAATTGTTTCCATTTTTTCATTATAATTTTTTTACTTGGGTTGCATAGTTATTTGAAATAAAATACAAGTTGTAATTGACTTGTCTTGTCGTAATTGTACTTCAACATATGAGTAGTCAATCAATGAATGAGACGATTAATACTAGAGTAGACCACAATTCAAGGATCGGTCGTTATACCGGTACTGTTTTAACAATGTTGGCCACGTCAATGTATCAACGAGAATATCGGTCGGAGTCCGAAGACTTATCGATCGGAGGTTAGGGGATCCCCAAAACAGCACTCTTACTCCATAGTGACACCGTGTGTCCAATCACTAATTAAATATTAACTCGCTAATAATACTTATACTATTATTATAATTCATCGAAAATCAATAGGCTTCTGATCTGAACTATGATGAATGCACATGCAAAATTTGAAGCAGATTCAACCTCGCTTTCGTGAGATATCGCGTGCATCTGACAGACAGACAAACAAACAAACAGACAAATACCTATCAACATACTTACCGATCTTAAGATCGATAAGTAATTAGGCTACAGACCTGCTCACGTGTGATTAGTGTTTTTTCTGATGATTGCTTTTATGAGTGTCCGCACACCAAATTTGCCGCCATGGTTTTGCGTTTGTTTGTATATTAAACCACTTATCACAGTTTCGCAGTGCCCAATATAGCAATCAGTGCAGTTTTTCGTGGCTTGGTTTTTCTTAAAGCTTTCATGGTTTCATGAGTATGACTGACTATCGTCGCAAATTTATTACATTCCACTTCCCACATTATCTTTGCATGATGTTGTAGGTATTGGGAATTATCAACGTAATTGTTGAAAGTACAACAGCCCAAAAGTTTAATACTATCGTGTATTTGTTTGTCAAGTTTGGCCCAAGCCTCATTTAATTGAGCTTGTATTTTTTGTGCGTGCTGGTGGGCAGGCACATGAGATACTTCTCATGTTTTAAACTTTTTTATAGGTTTTGCTTGCCCTCCAGAATTCTCCATTTTAATTTATGTTTGTTATGGAGATTTCGAAATAAATTATCTATCTATTTCTTATGGAAACCATATATCGTCTGATTCACAAGAACAGTTCTAACCGAAAACAGTCTCAACAATCAATTTTATGTCAAATGTGTTTTCGGCGTGAATCAGAATTACACAGACCCGGCAATTAAAAATACCGACAAATAGGAGAAATTCCTTTTTCAGATGTGGAAAATTTATCATGCATGGTCAGTGTTGAAATACGCCGTCTGGAGGCGACGTGGAGTAACCTTTCATGTCTGAAAAAATACAATTAACAGACGATAATAGAAATATATATATATACGTATTGCCTTTTGGCTAAATTTTCAACTCAAAATGAGGATACCAACATATATCAAGCGATTATTTTGGGCGTTTATTAATATTAAGCTGAGATATTACATGAAATTAGACAACAGTGACATCACTTCATTCGCTTTTCTAGATTAACTCGGCGATATAGTTGCAGGATAAATAAATACAGCCCGGAAGGGCTAAAGAATGAAATCATAAAAAATGAAAATATATGAAGATCTTAAACGACGTGACAGATCACTTAGTTTTACTCGAGATTAGGCGGTGCGGTTCTGGTAATAGAAAGTAAAGGATGAAATAGATGTTTTTGAGAAAGTATATATACTAGGCGTTTTTACACTAGGCAGTCGCGCAAAGTGTTTTGTGTTGTAATTAAATAAGCACAGAATAGTTCTTTGCTATTAAATGAAGTGATATCATTTTGAAAATATGAATCAATAAAATGATAATTACGGTACGATGCGTTCTAAAACTTTTTGGTACTATTTCACCTCTTTTTGTGAATTGTAGTTTGTCGTTTGACAACACAGTTTAAAACCTTATGTAAATATGTAAAGAAAAATGATTATATACTTGATAGTCAGAACATGCTGCAGACTTTTATCATGTATTGTAGACCCATATTGTTCAAGACTTTTACGTTGTTGTTTGTGGAATGAGTGAATTAAAGTCTAGTACTTCAATCCATTTTCTCTTTTCTGAGGGAAATGATTGTTGGATAAAAATATTGAAAACGATTTTAAAGTAAGCATCTCCATTACAAATTATGATAATTTTCTGAGATAGTGTACTTTGTCAAAATGTACCTGGTGGCACTAATTACCACTCACTATAACACAATGTTTAAAATTACTCCTTACTTTTGATAAATGATACGTTCAAGTCAACTAAGCGCCTTTCGGCAGTAGCGAAGCGTTAGAGAATGAACTTTGCCATTTAAGAGCCACAGATAGTCTGCTATTGCCGTTTGTGTCATAGTTGTTAATATAAGTAGGTTTATTTATTTACTGTGAAATGTCGTAATGCTGTTCACAAGCCAATACAAGTAAATCCAGGGATCATCATAACAAAGGAGCTATTTAAAGACTAAATAATAACAACTGGCTGTTTATAATAAGCTGTCACAATATAGAATAATATTTTCTTGCCGAAACATTCTCAATTCATAAGTCTTAGCGACATGCTGACAGGTCTGGAAAGGATAAGTCTACATAATAATACGAAAACAGAGAAGAATACATTTATGTATCTATTACAGTCATTCACATTCAGTTATTATTAATTACAAAACTGTTTTTGTGTTTCCCCCAAACAACTTATTATTATAACGTTGGTATATCCTGCTCAAAACGTTACCGATAGGCTATCGGCACTTTGATAAAACCTACCCAATACGTTACATGGATATGTCACGTAAAATGAGTCACTCCAGTCTTGAAATTGGCTTTATTTTCACAACAAAATAAAAAATTGTTCTCATCTTTATACTAAAAAAACAATCCGAAGCCTATTTCCCAATTCACTCGAAGTTAGTAAGAACTGAGCGTCTTGTAAAAATAAATCGCTGTTCTTATTGGCATAAAGCCGAGGAAACTTTTCTTTGGTTCTCATTCGATATCTGCCAGCACGGGCGATAGGTGTTTTCACGCGCCTGGGCAATTTTTTTCCTATTTACCGATCACATCTTTGGCGGTTCCGAAGAGTGAGCACTTCAGTGCTCTTGAAAACATTATATAAGACGCGAGAATTTTTTGTTTTATTAACTCATTGGAGCAGTGCGGTACAGGTGAAGCCTATTTAATCAAATTGATATTTAGCGATGATAGCCTGCATGGCTTTAAATGACGTTGGTCTGGAGTTGTACCCGTCACAATCAAGTCGATAACCAAATTGGACAGACTGACTTCACGCGCGATGCCCCCAACGCTCGGTGGCGTTCGAGAAAGTACCACTTCATCTGCAAAGTCCAGATTTTTCAGACGCGTACAAAAAGACAAAGCACAAGATAGGACGATCCATTACAACGAGTATAATCTCAACGAATTTCAATTATTGCACAGGGAATGTTTACGTTCGGAAAGACATTACAGAAAGACTCATTATTTCAATGTGGCCGCAATATTGCCGATGTACTCAGCTACCACGAAGACCGCGTTCCTCTACATTTTATTTCTCGTGATAAGCTGCCTAGCCTGTTTTGCGAAGTCAAGTGTTACAGGTGAGCAAATATTGTGATAGCTTTGTGACATAAAATAGGCGCTGAGTGCTGTTTACCAGTGAACAATAGATTTTCATAGCTTCTGTATTACATGTTTTAGGTAACGACGTAACATCAAATGGACGCGGTATCGAGGTGTCACTGCTTGACTATAACCATATATTACTTTCTGAATCAGACGACAAGACTGACGAGAAGACGCCGACAGCACGTCCACAAGTATCGGCAAACGGCAGTAAAATTCTTGGGCTCGAAACAAGTCTCCATGAGTCCCATCCGATCAGTTTAGACGGCTTCAACTTGCTGTGGTTGATCGCCTCGAAGCTTCGCGCTGGTGACAAGCTAATTAGGATTGAAAATGATACAAATATTTTGTCTTTAACAAAATCAAATAAAATTGTTGGTTGGTTGAACAACACCGACTTAGATGAGGTATACCTGGACTCAGCACGGCCACGACATTTTTTACGGTACGGTAAAAAGCTGGCGCCGCTATCTCGACTGATCTCTAAAGGTTCAGACACATCATTTGTTATGCCGCCATTGGTCATGTCGCATTTGTCAGACTATTTGGATGCTGGCCCAAATCATCACACACTTGGCACAAATAGACTACCTGGAAAAAATTTACATACGTCTTTCGATAGTAAAGACATAGTTCGTATAAACAGATTCATTGTTGGAAATTCAATTGGGTTCGAAATGGAATTTCGAATGGAGGATAATTCCGGAAGTGGGTACGTAAAAATTACCACCTCAAGTTCATATTTAAAGTCAAATATTTTTATACACACAAAACAGTAAAAGTACTGTGACGTAATAAAGTTGCTTTAAACTAAAAACAAATGCATATTTCGATGAATCTATTCATTGAAATGCTATCCGGTTATAATCGTAAACTGACTAAAAAGGAACGTGAAATACTCTCAAATTATACATATTTTACATTGTATTAAGATCTACGTTTTTAATTCAGATACATTATTGCTGGACGGTCATTGAATGGTCAGCCAATTTTCTCCACCGGTAGCCAAGTGAAATCACCAAACGTTACGTCTGATCAGCAATCATGGTTTGGATTGTACGCCCACACGCGCGCTACTTCCTACATACTACGATTGGAATATAGAAATTTTGCATGGGACCGCAAAAAGCAAATACAAATTCGGTTTTCCGATGACTTCCGGAAAGGCGAATGGCAAAAGTAAGTACTACCCGATCAACCACAATTAATGGTCGATGGCTTGAATACCTGTATTTTATAAATACTACATAAGTGTTGAAACGTATTGCAGTGCTCAAAATGGACAGATTGTTTACTGCCGTAATTTGTTTGTTGTAACGATTAAGTTGTAAATTCACATTTTATGACCAGAACCTTGAGTCAAGAAAACATAACTGCCACTTAGTCCATTTGTCAAATGTAAGGTTGTATTTGGTTACACAATAGGTTGAACAATCAAATCGTGTGCAGACACCGATTGTACAGACTGCACAGATTGTACCTTGACAGCGTTGCCATATAGAGATACACGGTGATACAAAGTTCGATCAAACTGTACTGTGGGTAAAGATGAAATATTTCCAAGGAAGTCCATTTAGATGTTTTGTTTCTTCCGTCATAGTTAGAGAGGTATCTATACCGTAAATAAACGTTTAAATAATTATCGCCTGCGCGCAATATCTGGGGGTTAATTTGGTTTAACACGTACAGTCAAAAAAGTGCGCTACACCAATCAATAAGTTAATATTATCGTAAGGAAAGAATTTATTCAAAGAGAAACTAAAGAAAAATGCTGCATTCTTGCAATATTGAAACAGAAATATCTCTAAATTTGCAATACGGGTTCAATGGAGACGCTTGATATATTTTAGAATCATCCAAAAATTTTAATATAAAATGGGTTTAAATTTGAACAAAATTTCGAAAATGATTATGAACTGAATAAAATAAAATTAAGCTATCAATATAATGTCGTTTTTATCATTGAGTTCATGCAAACGTACTGTGTTAAATGCACAAGAATTAATGCAGTCTAAGAAAAAATTAGGCTTGCATCTAGGTTCATTGAAAGTCAGTTCTTTGAGAAAATTTACTTATCTTATACACTTATCCATTTATATATACAAGCAATTTTAGCAGTATATTTGCAAATTATAATTTTATTTTATCGGTTTACATAAATGATAATTATCATTTGTGTAAACTTTTCAAATTAAGTGGCATAGAAAAATCTCTATCAAAATAATCCATGTAAATATTGCGAATAGGACGGCGCGACAATGTGTATTTAACAATGATACATCATATTTATATTCATACATCGTGATGTGGTTCTGCTGGTCGGTTGTCGGTTTTATTGTTCAATATTTGCCATTTATTACTCAATATATTTACTACATCTACTATTAAATGCGATACGTTGTGTTTGAATGATTTGTCATGTTGGAGTTATGCCAAATTCTGGCGGTATTTCAACCCCGCACTGATGATAGATTACATTTGAACGACGACATAATCTCCACAAATAGATGTAGTGGTGTATCAAGAGAAAAAATTAGCTTTGTATTATGACGTCACGTGCGGAGTTTTTTGCGGGCGGAGATTTTTTATGATAATTTGTTTCGTGCAAGATAATTAAAAAAAAAGGCCGTTGAGCAAAGTCATCGATGTCCAGTAAAATGCCCCAATGTTACTGTACACACCCAGAATTATTGTCGGGCATTACTCGCCAGTGTTTCCTAGTTGAGTCATACTGGCTTAGAGAGTAGTCGAATGAGAGAAATGCTTTACGGTAATGAACATCTAATACTGTCTTTATCACTGAATTCATGAAACTCTATAAATACTCTATAAAGAGACGATTCTTGATATTAACCAAAACTCAAATATATCTTTTTTATCTATGAAGAACACTTCGCTCTTGTGTGTGTATAAAGAATAAAATGGTTGATATAACATAAAAGTATCACAACCTAAAATTATTTTTATTTTGATCAAATCTTTTTTTCCGATTGAACGATGACGAGACTGCATTGCTGTGAAGCTCAATATGACGGATTGAAATTCTTCCCTATTAGTATAAAATAGTGCTACGTCTCAGTTTACCAATCAAACTTTTAATTCCTTTGAATGCAGAGCAAATATAATCCATTACATTTATCTTAAAATATATCTTATATGACTTTAATCTTTGAAGTGTGGTGGAATTATACGTAAAGGTTTGTAACTGATCGCAAAGGAGCGGTTGCGGAATCCGAATTCTAGGCGCCTGCTTGTTTTCAATTTTTATTTACATCTCACCAATAACAGGTAGAATGCTAATTAATATTTACCGTGGATAAAACGATGACACTTCCCGACTTTGATGCAATTTTTCTGCTTTGGATATTAAATAAATACATCAGGAATAAGAAAAAGGCCAGTTCTCCATTTTCTTGCGCGCTTTGCGGGCGTACGTAAGTTGCCCCCTTCAATGACTGATGTCTTTCTAAGCCCGTATACGATGGGGAAAAAAATGCGAAACATCACCCGACGTGAAAAAGCGTTTCTCCAACAAGCCTACGCGGAAAATACAAAGAAATATTGTGGCATAAGCAAAATTAAGGCGTACAAGACAAGCCTAAATGAATTACAATATTAAATACCACACTATCCGCATAACACACAGATTCGCTCTCCGTACAAGTATTTGTAGACAGAGTTACACTTGATTTGATGATGACATAATTGCTTACAGAACAAGGTGGTTCTGACTTCGTGTGGCATGACTTCAATTCGGTGGCTGTGGCTTCACTGCACTAATTAAGATCTAAACCAAATCGATACCCTGTAAGAATTTTATAGTTATGGAATCCCTAGACGACCACGTCGGTACCAAACTATTGCTTTTCTATCATTCAGGAAAAAAACTAGTGAGGGACTTTGTACTATCAATTCAACATATTTGTCAAGCTTGTAACGTACATATATACTATATTTGTTAAACATGCTTTAACTGCCATTGACTAATATAATTTACACCTTCTTTCCCCATAATTAACAAACAAATAATTGTTTCCAGTTCATAAGCATGTATGGCTGGAATGTTATTAGGTCGTTATTTCCAATCGCTTATGGTGGTTATCGGATACTATGTAAACAAAACATATTTTATAATTTTTACAATGAATTATACCAAATTATTGTCTCTTTTTTACAATTTTGAAACAATATAAATTGACATTTTAAGTAAGTTCAATCGTTTTGCAGACTTGCGGTTAACATTGACTTCAATGCGAACACAATCAACTATTGGGTGAATTGTTCGACTCGACCAACAGTGCAATTAAGGGCCAATATTTCTCATCCATCATCATTTTACAGCGTTTACAGACTCCTCCAACATCGACGACACAGTAGACTACCAGTAAAGGTATGTGATTTAATACTACATATCCAAACCGTTTTTGCTGAAATAATCACGATCGTGTGCGCGCCGAAGATATGACCACACGTTGGTTTTAAAATCATTCAGTTTCACAAAAACTATTGCTTTCCCGTGCACTTATCACATAATACCACGACATATACGTCACTAATATTGCTTCAGTGACGTCAATATATGTCTGTACGACAATTTCACCTATTTTTTCGAAATACTTCAGCAATGCAACTCAAAAACATATTTTATTGTCAAGTTTAGCCTTTCTCAATTTCTCCACACTTGTACACATACACACACATGAACATTAGTTATAGTACAAAAAATATTTGCATTTTTTTTTTCAGACGGTATATGCCATCCAATTTTAATTCAGATGAAATAGTTTCATCAAAAATCATCATTCATTTCAAAAAATATTAATTTTATTTGATTTACAGATGGCAAGGTTCGTTAGTACAGAGCAAAATAGATAGTAAATATGTTTTTTTGGTATTATCATATAAGAAAGTTCATTACGATATACAATACAGAATATAGCACCAAACCCTGAATTTTTTTTTGTGACATGTCTTGAATAAATTGTAAAAACATGAAATTTTAATAAAAAAAATCCACATTCGCTTTTACATGACCTATTACATCGGTGCTAATGCGGTACCTTATACCGAACGATTTTACAGGGGTGGGTAGACCCAAGGATAATAACTGAAAATTAATATTATGTAATTAAAAATAATTTTGTTTTATATTTTATGACCTTTTTATATTTATCGACATCGTGGGTAAATATATCACAACTATAGACTTGCCACGGGAACCCAGAGCCGACCCTGTCTTACAGCGAGGGCTATTGAGCACTCAGTGGAATAAGGGTTGGTGTTTGGGCTCTCATACAAAAGATGTACATTGACAAATATGCGCAAAATATACTGTTTTTTTTAGTACCTCTAGCCCTTCCTACTCATTAAAGCATGTTTTTTAGTGGTTTTAAACGGTTTTTGTACGTTTTATCATGTTTATGGTGATTTTTGGGTGTATTGTGGTGGTTTCTGAAGGGGTTTCATCGTTTCAGCGTGTTTTTTGGTGGAAATACGTTATATTGGATCGCCTCCAACAAAAACAGACGAAATCGAGCTCTCTTTCGAAAAAAATTGTAAACGGCTGCTATAAATATTTCTATTGTCAAGATTGATGAAGTCGTTAATTCCTGTTAAGACTCCTTATCTTAAAGCTGAAGTGTTGTCTTTATTGATGATAATTTATACAGGCTTGAATCCAAGTTCAACATGAATTGACCACTTATAATTAGAAATATAAATTATGTCATGAGCACAATCAACACTTCAAAATATATACATAGGGCAATTGTGATGAAACAATTGTCGAAAAGTGTCATCGTCACTTGAAAGAACTTTGAGACTCGACTTGAGAAAGTCTGGCGTCTCTACTGGAGTGGGGAAGATGTCTTCCGGACACGCTTTTCTCGTTAGCAGCTGTATGCTGTGACCACTTCAGAGTAAATAAACTATCTCTATTGTTCGTTCTATTCTGTAGTTCAATTTAAATCACTTTCACGTACTACTCATTGTTATCAGACAAATACAATTTTTACCGCAAACTTGACGATCGAGTTTGAATCAACTGACTAACGCCAGTCAAGTATGTTTTCTAATATTCACTACCGGGATAAATTTATGTCATAATATGAGCCATAAATAACGCGGAACAATTCTAGATTTCAAGTTTCGAATCAGACTTTGTCAAGAAAGATAAATCGTATTCTGATCTGTATAAAAAAATATTTTTCACTCTAAAATTAGCCACGGTAAAATTTTTGCGTTTTGTTTCTTTACCTATCGTGAGAGTCTTTTGAACGTTGTAATTTAAAAGTCGTGTTCAAGTGCCTGTTTCCGATTGTTTTCAGAGAGCGATTGCGAGTGCTAATTATAACAACCTTTTCATGTCACGTAACATTAAAAACAAAGCAGAATTATTTATATACCAATTCAAATTTTATAACCTTTCCGTAACGTTTTTTTAACGATAGAAAGAAGAAAAGCATTTCTATTTGTTAATGTTCGATGAAAAAGTTCAATTCTTCAACCTATCACTGACTTTTCAATACCCTGTTCCAAATTATTTTATATATTTGTTGAAAACTATATATTTTATTACTGAAATTGGAGTAAGTAGGTATTCCAAGTATTTATGTTTTTGAGAAATGAGCATATACTGTAAAGAAATACCAATAAATTTAATATAATTTTTAGTAACTACATTGGTTTTTGGGTGTTTCATGTTTGGGCAACTGATGTGATGTGTATCTCACTGTTTCAAACTTATCTCAATAAATTATTGTAATTTACAAACTAGTCTACATACTATGTTTTTTCACTAATGTTACTGCATTTTTGTTATAGTATGTTGTAGTCATATTTGAATCGGTAGTGTGTATAGTTTTTCCACATCATCAATTCCACCACTTCTTATTATTATTCAGGTGACATTCCGAGCAGTGATTGTAACTGACGGAAACCGCAGGACGGTTCCGAGACATTGTCAACAACAAGGACAAACAGGTAGTCACTAAAATCTTTTCAAATTTAAACGTTTCCAAAAATTTTAAACACGATTGGTACAATGGTAAATCGTGTTTATGATAAACTGTGTATTCTATTAAAAGCAATTTCTTATATTCTTGAAAGTGTCAATGATGAAAGGATGAAAAATATTACACTATGATAACAGATGATTTAATTATATATCTATATTTTTATTTATTTTTTTCAATTTGAAAAATGTTTGTAAATGAAATTCTGACTGCCTGCCTAGAACCTTGTCTGGAGCAAAATTACAGAATATCCCAGTTTTTGAAACCAGAACCATGCTAATGCGTTTATTATTTATTATTATGTGTCTATTGCTACATTGCTTTAACGCAGGGTGTGCAATCTTTAATACAGGAGGGCCAGATACATATAACTGGGCGAAGCGGTGGGTCACACCTTTATCAAACATAGGCATTCTAGTAGTCGCAGGCACAAAAATTTTGGTTATTGATCTTATGACATTCGTTGTTCGCAAAGAGTTTGGAATTCCTCGCGGACCCCACATCATTTAAAACTGGCACTAATCCGTGGGACGCACATTTTTTTCCTTGTGGCCCGCAGGTTGCACACCTCCGCATTAAAGAATACGATTCAAACCAGTCTAAAATGGCCTACATTTTACTCTGGAAGCAAAATTATTAAATCTATATATATGGTTATCCTGGTTGGGCCGTTTTAGGATAGCATTTCCGCTAATAAGCATAATATATATGTGTGTTATGTACAGAAAATTAGGAATAGAAATGAATATATAGTCCCAATCGCCAATTTAATGAACTCCTCTGTAAAGTGTGAGATATAATGCACTCTATTAAGTTAAAAGGTGACAGCACATTTGAACCTACGTACATTTGAACTCACGTACATTTGCACCCGTATATCCGCGGGTTCAATCTATATGCGGGTGATAAAATCCATGGGTTAGGGTTATTATGGGTCCAAATATTCGTATAGGTGCAAATTTCTATAGGTGCAATAGTATGCAGATGTCGTTGGTTCAAATTACGGGTTCAAATGTAATGGAACCTATTAAAATAATAATTAAATAAATAAAGTAATAATAATTATTTGATATATGTGAGAATATTCATGCCTAGTGAATATTAATGCATTATGCTAGATTATCTAATGGTTCCCTACCTAGTACGAGCATCTTCTATTGTGTTAGTGTTTGCTAGTAACTCTAATTTCGGTTCCCGTACATTTCAACCCACGTACATTTGAGCCCACGACAATTGCATCTGCATACTATTGCACCTATGGAAATATTTTTTGTTTTGCAGATATTTGAACCCATACTCACCCTAACCCATGGGTTTTAGCACACGCATATAGATTGAACCAGCAGATATACACATGAATTAAAATGTACGTGGGTTCAAATGTACGGTCACCCTGTGTTGCCTGTGGCCTCACAAAATACAATGTTCCATTAATTGACTAACGGATCTGCTACTATTTGTCTAGCCTAGTACATGCAGTGTTTACGGTATAACTTTACGGTCAAACCGGCTAACGGCTGAGTTCATTCCATTTTGTCACATTTAAAAAAAGCTTATTTGGGACAATCAGACAATGGCGGATTCCAGACTACTTTATTGTCCGCATGGTCGTTGGTGCACAAAAGTATTCATACATTTGTGGTTTGCCGTTGTATAGATATAAACATTTTAAACCGACAAAATGTAAATTTAGCAGACAATGTATAAAGGGGGTCGTAGGTTAGCAAGTATTTGAGTGAAATACCAAACGGTGGTCCCAATGGCCGTGATTCTGTAATCATCGAATCGTTCATACAAAAAATCCCGTTACTGAGTGTTCGGAGACTTCTGAGATTTTGTCGTGTCCATCACCGTATCATTACTGCATGGTGACAATTCAAATGTGTCAAAACTTCACTTTCACACTTATGTAATGAAATTAATTCTCTACTTACAAGTAATGACAATATGTACACATAATAGCAAAGTTGAAACACATTCTTGATAGTATTTAGCTTCCGCGATTTCGTCCAATTTACTTGTGAGTTTAGGTCTGAGTACCGGTAGCATATGTCAACCCATATTTGACGAGTGTTACATCTGCCAATAATATGTTGATTTCGAATCTCATTTATTCCTAGTAAATTCCATTAAATTATTCATTTTTACAGCAGTGTATTTGAAATCTAGTAATAATTAAAAATAACGCATTATTTCTACTCGAAGCAAAGCCAGGCGAAGTCACTCAGAAGTGAAGAAGACCGCTCTTCTGACCAAAGTTACGGTAGACTACTGAAATTCTAACTGATACTGGAACCATACATAATTATTGTCGTACAACACGCGCCACAAATATGTATGAATAAGAAAGGGAAAATCACAAACCCATTATAAGGTGCTTTACGTCGTCGCTCCATATTTAATAAGTAGTCTCTGATATCTAAAAGGATGCTATATTTTTTTTCTTTTGATATATCCCGCATCCGATTGTTTGGAATGAGATTGTTTGAGTCTTTGTACAGATGTGAAATTATTAGTTTCGTGTCATAACCGTCAGTGAAACCTAGCTCAGTTCTTGAGACTGATTCTTTGTTGAAAAGATGCTGAGAATAAAGAAGTATTTGGACCGATGCGTTTCCGTTGATTATCCTGGGAAAGTTTATATTTTCAATTTTCGAAGGAAATTTGATCCTATGAACATATTTTAGTGACACGTTTTGTCGATTTTTAGTCAACCCCTTTTGTCCTTTCTAATACCGGACAGTATATAAAGTAAAGTCTAATTAAGATTTTTGAATAAGTTTTGCGTATGGTATATATAGTTTATTCATTGAAAACCCAGCAGAGTTATATCAATATAAAATATAGTACTTTACGAAATAAAATATGTAAGAAATAAATTAGTCAAAGTAAGTCACTATCTTGGGACGGATGGACATAGTGTTTAGTCAACAATATTGCGGTAAGCGAATACCGTAAACTCTACCTCCCGCATTTTCTGGTGCATTATTTCTTTATCTTGGTTGTTAAAAATAGCAAAAACTTTTAACTGCGTTTGATTGTAATTTAACTCTTGCTCTTTTTGTGGGTTAAATTTCTGACATGTGTGATGAGAAAATAATAATCCTCTTTAGAAAATATAAGTTCGCGTTTAACTAACTTCAGCTGTTTGAATTGTTACTTATTTTCATGATTATTTTTGATAGTGTAATATCAGTACTGTACTGTAAATACTCTGGAAGAAGTTTTATTGTTTGTGCCGCAACAGGTCACTGTACAAAAGATTTGGTTTGAGTTTTTCGTTCTACTGACAATATGAGTAGAATTCTGCTGGGTGAGTGACGCACTGACATTTAACGCTCATGACTCGTACCTCTTTCTTTTTTGCTGATGATTTGGGCCATAAGCTTGATGTAACAATAATTTGGGAAACACCGTTTGGGTCGCGACCCAAAATTGGGTCGGCTGAAAATTTTCTTGGGTCGCTTGTTTTTTCAACAAAAACCCAAACGTTACTAGTTTTCTACTGGAATTTATTGTTTATTTTATCTGTGGTATTGAAGTGTTGCTCAAAAAATGATATATCCCTCAATAGTTAGCTTTATATACATTCCCTTAACACGTAAAGAGTGTTAAATATTGCGTAGAAAAACAATGAAATCACACAAAATGCCAGCGGCAATTTGGTAATTATAATATGAAGGCGCCAATTCACGGAGAATTACATTTGATCTTGATCAAATTGTTTATTATGTTACATTATCTGATATCTACGTATTGTATTTTTTCTGAGGTTTTTAGTATTTTGCATTTTTGATACGATAAATCTACCATCGTTTCCGTATACTCAAACACACATCCGACGGTCTGTCAATCATATGTTAACATCTATATAATCAACATTTCCGGGATGCGGATTCGTGAAAAAATCTAAAATGTGCTCATAGTTGACTATATGCTGTTTCGATGCTGTTTCGATATGCCATTTTCTGGCCTGGCCTTCCTACAGAATTTGTTTAAATTTTGTTGTTCAATATTCCGGATGTATTGTGAGAGTCCTGAAATGTATCCTGACAACTTTGCTTGAGAAATGTTGAATTCACCACACAAAATGCTTTATTTCAATGCATTTCATATTATGCATAAAGAAATAAAATGATGGTACTTTGATTTGAATTGGTAATTGGAATAATTATGAAAATGGTATTTTACCAACAGTGGACATCGAATAGAATAATTTGCTGTATTGTCATTCTGCCAAAAACTGAAAATAAAGCTAGGAAAATCCGAACAACCACCCCGGCAAAAAGTCGTAGTTTAGTGTGTTTTCACTGCAATCCGGAGTCGATCGGAGGTTTTATCGGATTTTATGGCCCTGACCACAATAAGATTAATTTTTTTGAAAAATCGTCTTTTCCTATCTTGTTAGCCAATAATGCAAATAATCGCCAAAAAATTACAGAAAATTGGTTCAAATATACCGGTATATACAAATGGGCTATTCCAAGTGACACTACAGGACAATTCCAGAAATTTTGGATGTTGTTAAATTCAATATATTTTCACATTTTCAGCTACATGTTTTGTTTCATTGTCCAATCATGCTTTATTGAATATGTAAAAAATTGCACAAAAGTTACACCCAACCTTACTAAGTAGATAAAAAAAATATAGTAAAATATGGCATGACACTACAGGACGGCAAATCCACCATGCGCTAACAGTACGTTGTGTTGTGCTGTAAATTTTTGCGATGGTACAGTAGGAGCCCATAATATTTTCTGGTGCAGTAGCTGAACTACCCCTCTATGTGTTGCTCAAGTTACTTAATGTAACACTGTAAATCCATACCAATAATGTGCATATTGTATGTGACACTACAGGACGTGACACTACAGGACGTTTTTCCACTTCGGAATAGCGGCATCTATCATCTCTTAAAATTCTGGTAATAAATCGTTAAATGGGTGAAGAAATGTTCTACAGTACTGCAAACATTCAAACTTTATTAACTTAAATCCAGTGCGTCAATTCCATATGAAATAACTGTATCACACAATCAAACACTTTGTGTCAGGAATCATCACAAAATATGTCAATTATACCAAAATTTCTACATTTCAGGCCATTTTTTATAAACCATCAAAAACCTGGGTGAAATTTTAAATTGTTCGATGAAATGAATGCAGTCCAATAAAAGTCCAATGTCTTTGGTATCAAAAATAAAAAAAAATTACTTTCACTACACTTTTTAAAAAATTGATGGAGTTCAACTTTTGCTTGGAATGGCCCAAATATGGTATGCTATTTTTAAAATGGATAGATTGATATAATTATTTACAAAATTGCGGCGTTTTCAGATTTGTTGTTTAGGATAAACACAGCGTTCAAAGGATCTAATTATGATGTTTATTCAGTTTTCCCGCATTCCATTATTACTGTGAAAACAAGCTGGTTAAATGTATACAAAACATAATTTCACTTCCAAGTTTTACTTTGGAATCGTTTAAAGTAGCTTATTCGTATGAATATTGTTGAATAAATATGTTAGTTTTTTCGCAGTACTGGTAGATTACGGACGACAAACGTCATTCACGTCTTACAAAATGCATAATAAATTCGTTAACATTTCAATCATTCTGAGAGTGCTCGGTAAATTATATAGTTATTACAACAGAAAAAATATCAACTATTTTTGGGTTAAAAGGTATTTCAAAATCATTCAAGGCTCATTTCAATATAGCGAGAAATACTTCTTAGAATATATATTAGGGTTTAATGTTAAAAATAAAAAATCATCCTTAATTAAAGAATCGAACTATTATTATGTAAGATTATGTTTCAAAAACTAATATACCTAAAGGCCACAGGATTGTAGGCTCAAAATTATCATCAAGAATTAAGCCAACATATTAACTAATACGTTTGAATTATTTGAATGGCTGTTGATTATGGCTGTTTTCTTGAGGATCCCAATTGTATTCTGCAATTCCTCCTCAGAACTGAACAATGTGTGTTTAAAACTGAACCATCAGTGTTTAAAACTTGTGCCTTAATTATAAATTTTAGTCACCAAGCTTAATTAACCTAAAGGAGTATTTGACCATATTGAAAATTTCGACAAAAATTTTAATAAGCGTTACCAAGCGTGGCTTGTAGATGAACCGAGTATAGTAGGTGGCATTATGAGGTGAAAAACTCCTTAAGATGCTCAAGGTAAACAAGATGTCACTTCAAGTCTTTCTCAGTTAAAAATCTGTTTATCTAAGACGTAGAATTGGCCATAGATGGAAACTGGCATTCATAAATACGTTCAAATGTGAAGGTTTGTGCAAAGATTTATTAGCGACCGCTTAAAATGACGATTGTTGTTGAGTTGTAAATAATCCGGATAATCTCTGAATTTGAGACCACTTGGATCGATATGGCTTCTTTGGAATGAAGAGTCAGTTGTTTTAAGAAAAATTTCAAGAATGAATTATTTAAACCTAATCAAAGTAACTACAGTTAAGATTTGGCGTTCTGAATTCCATTTGTGATTTTATGAGCGGAATTTTGTGACGGCCTAATGGTCAGATCGTTAGATAGTTTGTTGGCAACGCATAAGCAGGTTAAGAATCTAGTGTTAAAGTCCATGCCCAACCTGAATGTAATAAAATTAGGAGTAAAATTACAAAATAGCAGGCATGAGTGGCTTTTAATGAACAGTCGTGTAAAAAGGAATAATAATAATAAACTAAGCCAGCGATTCCCAACATTTTGTTCGTGCGCCATCAATTTATCAAAGAAAAAACTCGCGGCGCATTCGCCCGAAAAAAAAATGGCTGCCATCTAATAAAACTCAATTTTGTGATCGTCAATGTGCACCCTATGCTTTTTAAAGTTTGTAAACATGTAGGCCTAAAGAATAAAAGCAATCTTCTTCTTCATGTCTGGCGGAATTTTCTTTCAAATACTAAAAAAATCACTCATGTTCGCTAAACTCGGCTTAGCATATAAAGAAACTGTAGCTAGCAAAATTGCATCAAGTAGTGAACTATCATCCTTGTTACGTAACAATATAGGCAGACACTACGTAACAGAATGTACCTACGAGATGGAGCGGTTGAATAAATTTATTGATTCATATACACAGCAGTTAAAATAAGAAACAATGAAACAGTTAAAATAATTACAATATGTAGAATATTTAATCATGTAATTAACACAATTCTGCTAATTTTTAGGGCGCATCAGGCGTAAAGCGTAAAACCTTGTCCCTGTCCATATTCTACCGGCACCTCATGAATATCTTAATTAGATCGATCACCATTATGTTTATATTTGAACATGGTTGAAAGAAACAATGACTAAAAGTAGCATTCCTATTCGTGAGACACGATCACGAATCTCGATTAAACGAGTTGAAATAAATAAAGTAAAAAAAATCGATCTTCATATGGGTTTCCAGTGGTGGACTGTGTTATGATAAATTTACAATATTCTTTGGCATGTTTTAACATTTGTGAATCGATTTAAAATATTGTCGTTGTTGTGGTGTAGAAAAATCGCTATTCCACAATTAGTAGACCAATCAATTTAAAATAGATGGCACCTTAAGATTCGAGAAATTGCTAGTAAAGTGTTTTCTTGTGTTTCAAAAATATTTCTGTGACTTACGGGATCGTTTTTTTACATTTTTCTGTTTTTTACAATTCATGGGCACACCCTCATATGACATTCGGTAAAATTCTTTAGGATTTGGTTAGAATCTTGATGACTGTACGGTGGTCATGTTAGCCAATTGACCTTCGTGCTTATATATTTGATTGCTGCCCTCTTGTTCTTATGAAATCTCACTACACACCCATTACGTAATATAAATGCCCATTATTACATCATTTCCCTTTTCCACACACTTGAGCAATTGTAAATTATAATTATTTTCTCGATCCACTCCACCCTGTTCGGATATTGCTATCATCATCAAAGAATCATCCATTTTGTCTGTTTACACAAAATGACCTATCCCATATCGAGTGTTTAGGCCTACTAACCTAATCAGATACTGTCAAGAAGATCATGCTTGATCAAGTATGTGCCGATCATAAAACACAAAGCCACTGTTCGGTCCACATCTAACCACGGTTATGATTATGATTACTAATTTTGTGACCGGGAAGGTAATTCCAAATAGCATTGACCTCTTGAGTGGCAAGTTTCAGAATCATTGACATTTTGTCGATATCCGTCTCATTTCGAATTGGTTAGCTGATTCATGACTTCCAGAGACTTTGACATATCAGAAACGATCCAAGTTAACAGCTTCATATTAACATGTATTTATATTAAAATTTACTGGATATGGTATATTACTTGAGGTAATATTCTCGGACTAGATTGACTGACTTCATTTCTGTCGCCTGCACCTCCAATATCGGAAGGCGATAAAACAAGAGATGTGGACATAAACAATTGTTGATTATATTCCAAGTCCGAAGTGCTTTTACAAAACTCTTATGGGGTTATCAGACGAATAGCCCATTTCATTGAAATTTGCACATTCTCTTAAAAGCGATAAGAACCTTTGAACACTCCCGAGTTTCGTCGATTTATAAACGCTGCATTCTTCTTAAGTGCACTTCATATTTCAAAAGGTCATTCAGGTGCATCCGGTTCAATATACAATATAATAATTTGCGGTTAAGATAAAGAACTTACCGAGTGCACTAATACATAGAACTTTCATAATTTATTCCAAAAGATCAAGTTGCACTCTTATCCATGATAGGAACCTTGTCGACGTAAAGATACTCGAGTACGCTATCGAGAAAATCCCCTCAATTAACAGATCGACGTAGTGCGTACGGCGGTGGTAACGGACGTTCAGGACGTCTGTGGTTTTACTGACGTGTTATACTCGAATATTCATATCCGGGGATAGTAGGTACTCAACTGGAGTAGGGTATTTGATGAACAAATTAGGGAGGAACCAAAGTGGTTTTCATTTATTGTATCCTAGACCAGGGCTACTCTACTAGCGGACCGCGGTCCGAATTCGGACCTTTCGAGTATCGGATTTGGATCGCACCTAATTCTTTATTTTGAATCATTAGCCGCACTTTTTAAGTTTTTTTTTATAAAATGGCTTTTATAGTTTTGAATATATATGAAATGAACTATAATACCATAATAAACAATCTTGATTTGCTAATAATCATTAGCCGGTCGAGGAAGTGCGCGTTGAAGGATGCGGCGGGATGCCGGAATATAATTTCTGGAGAGACCGACACAAATAATTTTGAAGTTTTGTATGTTGATCCTCGGTAAAAATAGTTGAGTAGCCCTGTCCTAGACGATGTATTTGAAATCAAATATTTGATTGAAATTGAAGTGAATCCGCCATTTATTGGGTCAATGCATATAGTAAGCGATAGAAACCTGGATTGCAAGTTTTCTTTTACAACATCAGACCACAGCCCGGTCCGAATCCTAAAAAATTATCCATTGAAAGTCGGAAATTATTCCAAATAGTGTTTAAATCCTAATCGACTGTTAAGGTTTTTATAGTCTTGAGCGTTGTTAACATTTATATCGATATTTGACAAACTCTTCAAAGTTTAGTTTTGTAGATGGCATTCCAGTGGGTGTTTCTCGTTTTTTAAATTATTTTTAGCATAAAGATATAGTTGTAGCTCGCTTTTACCTTTTATTTTTTTACCTTTGAACTTTTATTTCAGTTTGTACTGGAGGGAAAATCTACATGCAATGCGGTCCAAGTTGCGAACGAACGTGCAGGGGAGCTCAAGATGCTGAAGTGACAGACGACTATTTGCGTACTTGTGCGATAGCATGCATCGCCGGATGTCATTGTCCACCAGGATTTGTTACGCACGCTGGAGTATGCGTCAGACCGGAGCAATGTCCGTGTATGTTTGGATCAACTGCACACGAAATTGGAACAAATGTCACCATCAATAACGAATTATGGTTGGTGAGATAATTTATTTTTCGGGTTGCGATTAGAGAGGGAGAAGCCGGAAGTGAAGAATGAGAAAAAGGGAAGAAAACCAAGAAATAAAAATGTGAGAAAGGAAAGATGTAGAGAGAAAAAATGAGGAAGATGGGAATTGAATGAAAATATTGTCAGAGATAAAATAAAAACTCAGGAAATTGTAAGAATTCGAAACGCCAAAAGTGTAAGTCAAACATAGATTAGTGAGAGTGGGTTTGGCCGAAGCTTAGGCTCTCAGGGCCGAGTTTTTATTTCGGGTTAAGAACTTATAAACCGCTATCTGACGTGGTATGTTTACCTAGAAATGACTGAGAAATTTAGTGTTATCTTTGAAGGAAGGTACTACTTTCCGTTCCATAATGAACCTCGTAAGCAATATTCTATAAATAATACTGTTTTATCACCGATCCACTCAGATCAAACGATCTTATGCTCACATATTTGTTTTGCTCCGTATCGCTTCTTGAGAGGTCTAGACCATTTCTAGTTGGTTTTACCAAATCTATACCTGAGCACCCCAAAATTGCTCAAATATTGAATTTCATCGCTTGAGTATGGTTTGAAGATATTCCACTCATTTTATGTATGTTTTATAGATAAACTATTCTTGGAAAAAACAAGTAGTTATTTATTGTTGTTAATCTTTGTTGTGGTAAGAATCGTGACCGCAAGCGGGTTTCTGATATCAAATGTTACTTTTATGAACATCAACAATAGACGTAAAAGTTGTTGGTTTGAAAGTAAAACCCACTGATTTGAATTCCCACGGTTGCAGAATATTTGGAAACAAAGTGAATTAAACGCCAAACGAATCCCCCGTTGTCTATGTTTTTCCAAAGAAAAGGTTTCTGAGCAGCTCGGCCGATACTTTACTTCAATATGAATTTGTCTCTCCCGTCCTTTGCTACAATAGACTACACTCATGCATATACAGGAAATCCAAAAAATGTCGCCCGGCCCCAAAGCAATAACAATTAAAAATTTTGCCCGCCTAGTAATAACAGTTGTAAGTTTAAATAAAGTTTATTTGATGATAAATGAGAACTAAAAACACAATAAGAACTATTAATAAACAAAGACAAAAAATTTTTTACAAAATCGGGCTAATTTTTTTGGACATTCTGTATATCGCTAGATAAGCTATTAATGTTTTTAGACGGTTTTTCACTGTTTTTAAGCGTTTTATCAAGGTTTATAGTGTTTTTAGATGTTTTTTCACTGTTTTTAAGCGTTTAAGCAAGGTTTCTAGTGTTTTAGACGGTTTTTCACTTTGTTCATTTCACCAACTTTCAATGTTCACGACCAATTTTATAACAAATTTGTTCAAATCACAGTACCTAGCTCTCAACTAAATTTGCAATCGACAATTGGCGACCTAAGATCGAAATATGATGAATGTTTCTCCTTATGCAATCCTGCATTGAGTACCTAACTATCTTTTTGACAGTACTTGCATCAAAGGAAAATGGAGTTGTTACGCCCTTCCACAATTCATATACAAACCAGAAAATTTAAACCTGAGCGCTGGTCGTACAGGTCAACTGAATTGCGCAGTTTCTGGAAATCCATTTCCAAAAATTACTTGGGAAGTTCCTCCTGGAGCAACGTATGATATTGGTGAGAAGACAGTGTTGCTTTGCTGATTTTTTGGATTGTTCTCAATCTGGAAATTTATTACTTATAACTTTATCTTAAATGGTACACAAATGAATATAAATAACAGTTGGACTAGTCACCTGCACAAATATCACGAGATACTTATTATCTACTATACTGTTCTATTTAAATCTAAAATCAATTTTATGATTTATAAATTTTGTGATTACACTCAAATGTTGAACATTGTCTATCAAATAACATAGATTATAGAACATTAAAATACAGTTGTGTTCTATTATCTGCTTAATCAATCTACTAGTGCAGACATTCCTGACAATCTATTTTAAATGGGTACTCCCGTAGTATGTGTACCGGGTAAGGGTTAGGCCATAATTTTATTCCAATTTTCCTTATTTTATTTCTATTGCGAGTTCGGGGACTGTCTGTGTTAGCCAAGTGAATATGCCCCTTGCCTATAGACTTCGTCCCTTTACACAACTTGATGCAAAGTAGGCAAACAAAATTAGTTACCTTCATATTGGTACACATACTTCTGGAGCGCTTTTAATGGATAAGGTAGATAGACAAACAATTGACTTCAGAATATGATGATATTTGACTATAGATGACTCTCTGAATACGAATTTGTACTTAAAATGTGATTGTCCATATTTTCCAAGTGACAAGAAGCTCTGGAAGAGTCTCAGTCCTCATCCTACGCAATGTAACCGGTAAAGAAGCTGGATTGTATCAATGCAAAGCAAGTTTACCTTCCGGAGTTTGGAATGGAGTCGAGTCTGCAATTGTCCGGATTTTATCGCTTCCAGTTATTACACTACCTCCTACAATACCGGTAACAAGGGGGTGAGTATATCGTGTAATTTTGGGAATCTTTTTCTAATAATCTGTGACAGTGGGGTCAACCGTTTTGACAGAGCGGAACCCCAATAGAACATTTCAGAGCCCTGGGGAACCCCTTGTGCAATAATTTAATCGTATTTTGTTCTCTGAATTAAATAAATTTCAAATATATATAGAAGCAAACCTAATATTGACAAAAAAATGATTTTTCATGAATGGAAAGTCTAATAATTGTGGCTATAGTTGATTATATTTAAGCAATCTGTATAATAATATACTCTCAGAGTTGAATAAACAGTTGCTGAACCCATGCAGGTGTCATAGGGTTCCCTGGAAATCTTGTGGAAAACCACTGTGGTCATACTGAAATAAAGACTTAGAACTGGGGTTTCCAATTAACTATCAGCTGTCAAGCAATGCCTAATGAGGCATACTCATCATCAGCATGGTCGGCAAGCGCAATATTGAAACAGTAACATATCAACAGGCAGGTAGGGGGTGGGGTCAACTCATTTTTTCACCGGCGCTGGTTCTGATACTGCCAAGGTTTCTATCGTTCACCACTCGAATCACTCGCTAAAACAAACCGAACTTATCATACTACATTATAAGGCATTACACCACACTTCATCGTCGTGGTAAACAACTCGCGAGATGAATCTTTCTTGTGTGGTTGCGAAGGCGGATGGACGAAATGTCTTATCTAAGCAAGCGGAAGATTGAATAGTGTTGACTAATAGTTAATAATGGTTAGGTAAACATGCCAAACGGAAAAGATTTCTTTACTGCGGTATATTTGCTATTGAAATCTGATTATTGAATATGTGATACAATTCATAATACCGGAAGAGCGCGAAAAATTTCAACTGTAAACGGAAAGACCTAATAGATCACTTTTTGTATATTTCTGATTTTTTTTATAAACAACAAAATTATGGATAATAAGGAATTCAGATTAATCCAATTTCTATTGTGGCCATTGTTCAATTTATTTGTTGGTCTTTTTTTTATCAACAGATGATTCGGACCTTCCATGGGTCATCGACATTTCCGAATTGAGTTACAGGAATTTACAGGAATAACGGTTATAGGAATACTTGTGAGCACTGTATCATTTTTGGCCTGACTATATCAGTATTGATAGTTGGAAATCTCGGACTCAAACGAACCTCTCTTAGTGGATGATTATCCAGAACCGTGTTTAGAAATATGTATTAATTACTATTTAGAAATAGTTCACATTGGATGTAGTAGTGAGCAGGGCTGAGCATTTCGAATTGAATAGTTGATTATTCTAATTGATTCAGATGAAAATTTCAAATGCCGCCATCTTGTTTTTTGTCCACCGAAGGTCGAGGTGGATTTCTCATGTTTTTATTGAAGCCCTATTTTTACAATGCAATTCTGACATATGACTCTTTTCTTTCTAGTGAGTTATTGATGAAACAGGTTTCTTGTTATGTGCGAAAGCTCAGCGAACTGTCTGAAAATGAATTTTGGGTTTCAGTTATTTATATTTATAAAAAGTAATCAAAGTAGAAATGAAATTGGTGCCAATGATTCAATCAGAGAATTTCAAATTTCTAGGTTCCTAAAAATTAATGGCTGCTTAAGTGCTTGTTTCGATATTGCATGAAAAATCAAAGAAGACCTAAATAGTGTTTCCGTATTCTTAGAATAATAGCCCAGTGTTCGAAACACAGACCGATTTGTTGTGATTGTGATGTTACAAACAATAAACAATTCGACAGTTTTTCAAAACTTTGTCTCAAACGGGCAGGATGATCCGTTCGTGTTTTTTTTATAACAACAGTGGTGTTAATAAGTGAAATACGAGCCAAATTCAAATCTCTTATTTTAGCAAGGTTATCGAGCTTATATTACCACTTCGTTTTAACTGCAAACAACGCAATATAACATTGATATATTTCTTAATCAACGTGTCTCACTAATCCTGATAAAGACCACCCACGCAGTAATGCACTGTTCTGTTAACCTCGGGCTGTCAAAATGAAGTTATTTTTCCCAACTTGAAGCTTTTTCATATTTAGCATTGTCAAGCTTAATTCGGGTGTATGTTACAGCCACTTAATATGTTTCATACTTGATTGCTTTTTTTTCTTGAAAAATAAAGATTGATTGGTTTTGGTTTGGCTACTTGGAACTTCTGTACTTTTCTCACTGATATTTCAAAGACTTAAATAAGTTCTGAACTTTAATCTACAAGACAGATTAATAAAGATTAGAATAAACAATGTTGTTTACAATATTGCATGCATAATCAGCGCTGAGTATATTTTAACGTTCGCAAAATATACCCTTTTATTTAAAAAAAAAAATGATGAGTTTTTTGCCGAAGTCGAAATTACATGTGAAAGTAATGCTAAATATTAAAATTGAATGAAAAGAAAGGTTTACTCAGTTCAGAAATAACAATGCCAGACAATGAATGGCTGTATATTGCTATATGAAAAAAATTTCGAATTTTAGCTTTAAAACAATATGAAAATATGGACATGTGAGTACTGTGTTTATTAGAATTCACCCAAAGCAAGAAGATCTCGTACACTCACTCAGAAGTGAAAGAGGCCTAGCTCTGAACAAAGTCGCGGGCGACCACTGGAATGCTACGAGCTACTAAATCTATTTACCCAGATTTGTGTCTGATACCGATTGACTGTTACGTATATAGCTTAGATTTTTCAACGTCATATTTTGAACTTACTCGCGTTAGGAGCAAAGTCACATGGCGCTTAGCTTTTCACTGACATGTGATTTAGGGAGACCTATCGAAGCATTTGACTGCGTTTGTTCCAGTGCCTTTCACGCCACCTCCGTTATATGTACAAGCTTCCTTCAAACGAGTTTCAATTAAATTTGTGTTGTCAAGTAAAGAATTTTTCATAAAAGAATCAGCAAATGCGGAATCGTGCGAGAAAAAATGTTTAAAGATAGCGCAATGTATTTAGACATCGTTAATATCCACAATTCAATTTTTATACTATTTGCTGTCATACAGAGCAAACACCCTCTCTGTATCAATCAACGAATATTCATTTCGGTGAGATATATTAATTATTTGACATAAAATGTACATATGGATCGTTTTGTTATTATGTTGTTGTTGTTGTTAAAATTCTTTTTATTGTTATTATGATAAAATCGTTTTCTAATTAACTACTGGACCAATTGATATGACATTTTTAGTGGTTGGAGACTGTATTTTTGTCATAAAGCTATTACCTCTATTTATTTTAAAAATTTCTGAACGCCATCAAAAATTGCGCATCTTGTGTCGGTTCCGCGTTCATGTCAAGTCGTGAAGACTGCGGTACCAATTGTCTACTGTGATAGATTGCGTACCAATACTACGTTGTTTTGGCCTTCTTGTCCATATATTTATATATCGAGTGTCCCTTGGAACTTCAAGTGATTTACCGTAACTCGACTGGGAGATGAATATCCTTTACCCATGAGCGAGTGCGCGTGATCCAGGATAAAAGTTTTATTTCACATGTTTTTGCATCTATTTGTAGATGTGCGTTTCTATAATTTGCATTGTCTCGACTTTCAGGGCGCCGTAGCATAAAATGTCGGGGTCGAACCACGGTTACCATATTTTTACAAGTTAAATATTTTAATTGATTAATCATGCATACAGAAAAGACAACAATCATTCTCAAACCAAAACGAGTAAATATGTGCGGCCAATTTGCAACTTATGTAGATTCTTATTACCGAGGGGGCGTTTCGAATCGAATATTTAAATAGGATCGAATAGTAAATTATTCGAATCGGTCAAACGGAAATTACGAATCACCGCCATCTTGTTTATTTTTTACCCGCCAATCGCTCATTTTTTATTGAAGCCATAATTTTAAAATGAAATTCTGACTTTTTCTTCCTTCCCAATTACAATCTTTCAAGTGTTAGAGATTCGACTCAAAAAAATATTCGATTCGATTCTGAAATATCATTCGAAAATGCCCAGCGCCAATTATTATGGATGGGGCATACATGATCAGGTACAAACACATTGCGAAATACTAAAATAGCGTGTAGATTTTTTTGTATTTTTCAAATTATTTCTTGTCCCATCAACTTAAATCAAATCCCATCCCATCAAATTTAAATTATATGTTTAGCAAGTCACGAAAATATGGATTTTTGATCATAATTCTGTTGTAAAAAACTTCCCATATAAGGAGATCAAAATCATGTGACAGCGGCCTGATGCTTTCTGTCCAGGTCGGATTCGAGACGATTATAATGAGCAATGAGTGGTAAATTAAATGGAAAAATTTGGTAAATGTTAAACAAACGAGGTTTTCGTACCATACATATCATAGCTTGATTTCAATCCAATGACACTGGCATTTTAGTAACAAGAATCATTTTTATGACAGTATAGCAACCAATCTTACTTATATGAATAGCGATGAATTTGTTTTTAATCTGCAGTGGTTGTTATTAATTATCATGTTTAATTACTTGGAAGATTTATCTGGATAATGTCTAATTATAAAGACGTCATAGCCTCGACCAATATGGTCAAAAGATCAATTGATGTTTATTTGTGTGTTTGCATTGAAATATACAATATAATCCAAAGCTCAGTAAAAAAAAAGCGCTAACGCAGATTCGTCAAATCTTTACAACTTTCCCGGTGGTATGGAATCGCGTATACAGAAGGACTAATACGACGTTCGCGCTATTACCCTTTTCAATGTTTCATATCATTATCGAAAACCGTGTTTAATGATGCAAAATTTCACCATAGTCTAAAAATTCTCAGGTGGGAAGGCACTGTCGTTCAATCTTCAAAAAGTTCGTTAATCTACTGCCACCAATACAAATAAGTGAAGTTATTTCTTACAATAATACACCTGGGATGACGATAAAAAGAACTAAAAAATACACACCATGGTTAACGTTCGGTATCATTTTTCTGATACATCACCTGAAGAATAATTGGATTTCTAAAACAGCATTCCCTTAAATACCGTAGACATTGAAAACCTGTAAAAAATATTTCCCATATTTTTTCCATAAAGCGCAATTTAAAAAAAAATTACAATTTTTTCGCAGTGCGAACTTCACATATCATTGCTAAATTGCCATCATGCCCATGTCATATGTTCCATAAGATTTCTTGTCGGTATGCTACACAGACGCTACATGATGTAAACAAAATTGAAAAAAAAGTCAAAAGCTTTATTGCTTTATTGGAAAATGGCTTATAAACGGCTATTAAATTATCAAAAGAAATTTTGCTTTCTATGTTAACAATATTTGTACAAATACCAAGCAAATTCTGCGATAACTAAGGCTGTGATGAATGACTGTACATCACACTTACACAATGATTACCGTGGTTTTATAGCAATAAAATCTGTAGTCAATAGAATATACTGTAAAAGTGTAAAGTGTTCTTTTCAAGTACTTTCTCTACTTCATTTCGTATCTACAACATCGGTATACGTGCGCAAATATGAGAAGTTGATGTTTCGCCAGAATTGTACATTCAATATTGAGTAATTAAGTTTCATTGATGAATATTTTCTTGTATCAGTCAAATTTTCCCACAATCTAAAATTCATTGAAATCGAATAGGCTAATAACAAAATTTCGATTGAATTTTTATGGCGTCATATGCAACGAAATGACGTCACAAATTCCACCAATATCTAGTTTGGTCCAATGAAATATCGATTGTATTGTATAACACATCATTGAATTGACGGTGTATATTGACTTACAATAATTGTGTACCATTTGGGTTTAATTAGTCGCTTTGGGCGGTCGATTTGTTCAATTTATTTTGGTACGTTCTACTAGGAGGCCTATTTATATATTCTCTCCATGAATGTCTGAAATACGAGGTTTCCTGACATTGTGTTTGTTACTTGACCAAAATTGTCGGTGGCCCAAATTAGTAACAAGCTTTAAATACGGTTCAACTAATTTCACAGTTAAAAATATTTCAAAAATCATTACATTATTCAGTACACTCAGTATACTCACCTAATAATAGTGTGTTAATCTTATATATATCATGTTTTTTTTTTATTAGGTGAACGATATACCGGATGATTTGGAACATATTATAAAATTTTGTGCTTAGCGTTCAAGATTACCGAATTTTTTAGGTACAATCATTCGCAAACACAAGTTCAAGTGTTAAATAAATGTTCTTCATTTTCAAGTAATCAGGCAATTTAAATTGTTTGTTTTGATGTCACCCTGAACAATAATTAAGATCGAATTCAGAGAAAAATGAAAATTAATATTTTAACAGAAAAATTTGAATAATTTTTTGATTCTTTAAAAAATCACATTATAGCAAGTAACTGTGGGTGTTGCACTAATGATAATACGACAAAGCAAACCAAGCACCTTGTACAATACCGCCAATATCATATAGATATTGCCCGTTGGGCAATTCAATCTGGCCGTCTAATGCTGCCACAACTGAACTAAAATCAATTTTTGATGTCTAAGCTATTGAATAGCACAAGAATTTGTTAAGATTGTGATTAAATTTAGTTTTGGCACGAAGCCTATTGTTTTCCATTTAAACTTTTTCAACACTGTAAAATATTGTTCATAAAATGTAACTTTTTACCTCACACTTACATGGCCCGGCAGTCTAGGGGGGCCAAATTTTTTGGCCCCTGGTTCAAAAACTTTGACCACCCTCGAGTTGAATATACACAAACTCGGTCACAATTCTTTTTTGTATTCAAAATCTTAGTACTATTCCATGCTTAAACAAAATCAATTTTTAAAATTAACAAGTTAAAAATGGCTACCGTGACTTACGTATGTATACCTTAACAGTGACTCACATTTTTTCGACAATAACCAGGAAACCATTTAATACAGAAAGTATAGTCAATCAAAAATACTAATTATTATTAATTTGAACTGGGTGTGAGGTCGAAATTGTTGATTTGTTTCAATTGCATCTGAATTTGCAATTAAAAAGCTTTTATTGATTCCTTGATTCGCGAATTTTGTTGAAAAAAACTAGGAATACGGAAAAGTACAAGTTTTTTTCATAAATATTGCATCAGAAAACTATCAAAAACCAAATTTGGGATGGGATACGTTATTTAAATGTGGTAGAGAATAATAGGAATCGGGATTTTTATCACTATATTGCATTGACGAGATTAGCGTCTGAATTCAATTGCATATACGAAAAACTAAATATATGAGCACGAATGTCGCGATTTATAGAGCCTCTTTAATCAAAACAAACAGAAAAAGTTTGGGTGGTACATCGGAATCCGGGGAAAATTGAAAAAAAATAACAGTAATCGCATTTTGGTGACTTGTTTCATCTCAGATTACTAAAAAATTAAACCAATTCGTCCCTTTTCAACACCGACCCTTTGAATCTACATGTACACTGTAAGACTATAAGAGGCGTTATTAATACAGCGGAATTTCATGACCGCATGACTAAAGTACGCCAAACCAGTTTATTGACCTCGAGTTTGGGGTTCATTCGTGATTCTGAAATGACAGATCACTTATTGTCAGTTTCAATTTTCTGGTGATTAATAACACCAGGTTACATGCAAAGGTGTCTTAATTCGTTACCCACGTTAACAATGAAGATCGTTTCTTTTTTTATTTATGTGTTGTTGTAAACAAATTTGCTTGAAGATTAATCGGTCAATATCGTTTTAACAATTTCGATCTCCCAAGTTGTCTAACTATAAGCAGTGTCGAGTATAATTACTAGAATTTAACTGTAATTCAACTTAGCGAACACGATAATTAGTGACGCTGTTGGGTGGTGTTGATAGGGAGCAGCTAAGGGCGAAAAATGAAACTGTTATAGGTTTTATGCATAAACAATATAATACCGTGTAATTGAACTCAATGGAATTGTAATTCACCCATTTTCTGTTCAATATATAGCAATTCTTTGTGGAAATCATTTTGAGCAAATAACTAACTGATACGATGATTGGTACATAGAAGTTTTAATATAAAATATTTAGGGAACAGGGTGACTAAAAAGAAGCCCAGGCCTTTTACTGAAACTTTTAGTTACAATCATTCACAAATAGAAGTTCCAATTTTATAAATTCCCTTCATTTTTGTAGCTCTATGTTTTGGATTACCATGTATTATTGATAATTATGAAGAACATCTCGCGCAAACAATATTAAACTGTCCAAATCGTGTTCAGGATTTTCAATTTTTAGTCATTCCCACAATCAACCGGGCCATCATTTATATAAATTCCTATTGCAAAAGCATCGTTCCGGTTGCATTTCTAACAAAACGTAACGTTATATTTAGATACCCGGTCCTGGCAATTGACTGCAGTGTCACTGGATTACCAAAACCAAGACTGTGGTGGAAGCGAAACGACGAACAAGTTATACCTGGAGACAGAATACAAATATACAGACCTTCACAAGGAGTACTCCGACTCAAGCTCCAAAATGTGAGTGTAAAAAAAACCTATGAAATTTTTTCTGTTATATATATCCGAACATTTCCTCACCCACAGTGTTTCCCTGTACTGTAAAATACTACTTGCTATAGATGTACAGCTTATTATAAATGCTTTCATACCGCTTCAGTAAGAGCGTACACAACTTAACAATTTATATACTACTGGACATGAAATGAACTTACGGATGGATTTATTTATCCATATTGTTGTTGTAAAAAATCGACATTCTTCGCAAATAATCGACGATCTCAAATATTCAGTATACCTAAAGATGGAAAGAGTCACTAAAATGTTATTGCTTTTATTTTATTTTTCAAATTTTTTCTGAGTCCCTATGTGAATTGCTACGACGGTGGAGCTTGATTTACAATTTTGCTTTGAAGCTTTTGAAATATCAGATAATTGATTTCAGTATAAGCTATTAAGGTTACGGTATTGTCTACTGTGTTTAGTCACTGAACCTTCGCGTCCATATGTTTAACTATAGCTCTCTTGTAATTTGCAAACAGTACACTATTAGCAAGTCTTACAAAATAAAACTTTTGTCAATTGGCATTAAAATGAAACATCTTAAGGCGACTGATGATTCGATTAAGGTAAACCTTTTCTGGAGCGATAAGACAATTTGACAATATCACCAGATCACAGATCAACTGAATAGTTAGTCAAAATGCCAGTAATATAATTGTTTTTGACAAGCATAACGAAATAGACAAAACACACCTTAATTAGCCATTTTTCAGATGAACATAGAAGGGCATATTTGTCCGGTTTATGTGTTAAATCACGTACCCGAGTAATTAATTTAAAACTACCGTCGACCGTAAAATTGTTTGTCAAATTTAACATACAAACTGTACTAGACATATTCGGGTCAAATTCTAAACTATAGCTGTTACTTATGTTCCATGCTTGCTTTAGTGAGAATTCTTCAAAGTCAATTCTCGACATTCTTCTTGTCACAATGAGTCGAGACGTTAGTCACGATTTTATCGAAAGTTTCAAAACAGAAGCGTTAATCGCCACCACACCTCACATTCTAATGCAAATTTAGTCTCAATGATGAGTTAATATAAAAAATATATATAAAATGCTGTACGAAAGAGATTATAAACAGAGAAAGACAAGTCTTTTTCAAACCCTGAGATGGTGGACATCGGATTTGCACTCAAGATTTTCCCTGCGATGGCATCATAGTTAAGACTAACCATTTAACCAGTAAGCCACCGCGCCAACGAATAATACTTATAGGCTGTCATTGACATGTGATGTGTGGCAGGAAGCACAGATTATCACCATAGATTAGTTGTTCAAACGTTTATATTGGAGACGCTATTGTCTAGCATTACTTCCGACTATAGGGATAGGATTCACATGCGGGGATTATATTGAACGACCGAGATTCGCACATATTTAAACATATTTAATTGATTTAATTGAAGAAATTGTTTGCCTTAAAAGATTCTTTTAAAACTTCTGCGCTACTAACTGCTTTGAAGCATGTTATAGGTAACTTGATTCAAGAGTTCGGGTTTAGAATTCAGATTTGATTTATTTAGCCACAGGGGTCACTGCCCGATAATCAGCTTTGGTTTCCCGCGTCTTCAATTCCTCGAGAAAACTGTATGCTTATTTTTTTACTCGCATTTTGCATACGATTGACTTTTATTGGTTGGAAAAAATAAACTTAACTTGACTTAAAATTTTTGGTTGCAGAATAAGCACCGACACATTAAGGTGGACTAACAGTTCGAATGCACAACCGTTGATTCAGGAAAATCCCATTCTAAATAGTTGGATTTCATATAATTTGTATAATATCTTTTAATTATATTTGTATCAAATTAATTTAGTTTTATTGTTTTAGCGTTTTACCCATTGTTATGATATTTCGAAATTTCAATCGAGTCAGCCCCATTTTACCAAAGTTTTAATTCTTTTTCCCGCATCACTAATTTAACGATCATCACATACGATTCATTCGAAACCGAATTGTTTTAGAAAATTTTCTCACATACAAAATAACTGAAGAGTTAACGGCTTCTTGAACTTATTTATTTTCAGGTTCAAGTCGCAGACGCAGGGGAATGGGCATGTCATGCTCTTAACGCCGCAGGATATACGCGTCGCGCTGTAAGAATCTTAGTCCGTCTGCCGGAACCAAACAGCATGGCTTTTTACCGGAAACCAGTGGACCAGTATGTCAAAAGAGGACATACAGCTATTTTTAACTGCGAGGTATTTTAATTTTTTATTACAATTTATTTTAAGAAGATAATATGTTATTTGTCGTGTTCTTCACACTTCTATTCAAATGGAAAATTGATTTACATGAGGTGGTATTCATGATCAAATAAACAATCGTGCTAGATTGCATTTGATAAAGCTTTAATAGACGATTCTTTTGCGGTCAGTATTCATTTTAATACAACTGACAAAAATACGGCACACAATGAGAATGTATGAATTTAAAACGTACTGTACCAATTCTGTGACGTCGGATCTCGTGGCGAATAGAAAAGGAAAGTATGACGTCATAGACACTTCGATATGACGTCATAATACCATTTTCAACGGATTAACGGAGGAAAATATATTTCACTCTCACTCTCCTTCATACTCTTGTGCACTAAGCTCGATTGCCAATTTTATCAAACAATCCATTTATGTAGGCACGTACGTAAATGGGCTAACATAGCAGATTCTAGAAAAAAAATGTTGAACGCATGTAAAAAATTCATAAACCAATGAAAGATACAATTTTTCATTTACAACCGAGATAGAGTAAAGCTTATAAAACTTATAATAAGCTTATCAAGCAAAAGGCACGGCTTTTTCTTTAGGATTTCAATGGAATGCTGTCATGGAAATATGTGACCATTGCACTTTGCAGATTTATATATATATCTGTTTCGTGACGGCATCTATGGCCCCCACCACGCCCACCAGCATTCAGTTACTTGACTAATGCCATTGAGTCTATTGCTGGCATACACCGTATTTCACGGACCATAAGACGTACTCAAAAAAAATATTTTTCCAAAAATCGATTGTGTGCCTTATTAGTCGGTGGATCTAATGTATGGATTAGGTAGTGCTTTGTGTTTTATTAGTACTCCCTTAGTATGTGTACCAGGTTAGGGTTAGACCATAATTTTGTTCCAATTTTCCCTATTTAAGTGCTATTACGAGTCGGGGAATGTTTATGTTAGCCAAGTGAATATATATACCTCCTGACGATCGGCTTGCCTCCCTTTACACAACAAATTCGTATCTTCAATTTGGTACACATACTTCTGGATCGCCTTTCATTTGCTACTCTGAAAACCAGTACTTGTACCAGTTGCGTCTTATTGGCCACTGGAGCAATTTATTGGACAAAACAACAATCTTAGTAATTTGTTGACTGTGCGCCCTATAACCCGATGCGCCTTACGGTCGGTAAAATACTGTAGTGTAGACAATAGACAACATTTTCAATTATTTCAGTTGAATCATCTAAAGTTCGAACAAACACAAAAATACTTATATTTTGGCAAGATATTTATTTTCAAGTAATTACAAACCACATATATAAATATATGATCCATTTGTAGGGCTTCTAAGTTTTATGCCTGGTTCATCTTGTTCATAGATAGCACCTTAGAGAGACAATCGACAACCTATTACATCTATTCAGCAGTGATAGTTTATTTTGATACTATTTCGCACGCGAATACAAGGTTTTTCATGTTTTGTATGGAGTTTTTTAAAGACTATAATAACATAATTTGACAAGAGTGGACACGCTGACTTTGCTTAATTGAATTTTGCTCAAAATGAAAGAGACGTATTCCAAGCTATCTCACAGTGTGGTAAATTAATCTCCTTCAAAATTGTGGAAATTTACCCTTAACAATTACCGTAAAGTTTTTTTCGTAATAAAAGAAGTAATCAAAACATCCATTATATCCCTATAAAAATTCTGATTGTTCACTAATATTTTTTGTATTACTTTATAAGTAGTAATGTCCCAGCTGTTGTTGCTTTGTGGAAAAAAATATCGGAAAATATTTGCATTATTCAAATTCTTGTGGATTCTGTAACTTGCTATACTGGGACTTGCACTAATGCTACGTTTCCCAACTGAGGATAGACTCTTTCCAGGGGCGAATTTTGTTTTAAATTTGCTGTAGTGTTAGTAATATTCTTTAGCTGTTTATTATAACTATAATACTTATTTGTGCACGCATTAAAAACTACTTAAACTGTATAAAAACCACAGGCCTAGTTGCGCATATCACTAGCGAAGGAGGAATTAAGGCTGCTAATGTTAAATTTGGAGAGAATTTAGGACACGCCTTTCCAGCCCCGCCCCGTTTTTTAGTAGAGAATAATTTATTTGACAAACTAATCTCTCGTTCAGATACTGGAACATCATTCTATGAATCTTAATATTACCTGGTTAAAGGACGGCGTTCGTGTTGATATCGGTGAAAAACGAAAAGTTGTAAAACGTTATCGTCTTGTTATTCGTCAAGTTCGAGATGAAGATGCAGGAGTGTATATGTGTATTGTAACAGTGCGAAGAGGTGGAAGAGAACTCAAAGCAAAAGCTGAACTAATGATAAAAGGTAGGTAGACGTTTTCGTAGAGGCATATCGATATACTGAAATAAGATTCTGAACTTACGGCCACAGTCTTTGTGTTGGAAGCTTCGCTACAATTCTATATGCTACACCCCGAATGTACGGCTGGGCTGGGCATTTCGAATCAAACATTCGAATTGAATAGTAAGGTATTCGAATCGGTTCAGACGGGAATTTTGAGTCGCCGCCATCTTGTTTTATTTTGTCCGCCCGCCCGTTTTTAAAATTAAATTCCAACTTTGCCTTTTTTCTTCCGAGTGAGTTATTGTTGAAATGAGTTTCTTACTGTTTGTGAACACTCAGCGAACTGCCTGAATGATAGATTACGTGTTTTGACTTATTTTTGTGTCTGAAAACCCCAATAAAACAGTCAATACAACTACATATCTTCGAGGTATTCGAGATTCGATTCGCAAATAATATTCAGTTCGATTCTGAAATCATCTGATATCGATATCGAAAATGCCCAGCCTGACGGCTAAATGAGGTGATTCGTGAGTTTGGCTCGACCTTGAGATTCGTCGGAATATAAATACTACGTCCATACTATATGGTGTTATGGTTATAGCTATACAGAACACAAAATGAAAATTTATTTTAGTACGAGTTTACCTTACCCTAAACTGTTCGTTTATTTAAGCGCTCTCGGGAATTGACAGGAATTACCGTAACGTCTTCTGTTGAAATTTGAAAAAAAAACGAACCCCCATATAACTAGGAAAAATAGTAGTTAGTCAATCCCATCATTATGTACTGGACATTTAAAAACGATGTAGTAGTTGACGGGGAATATAGTTATTGCTGTCTCAACTACATCAGAACTAATAATGCAGATAGAACTAATAAACAATTCTAACGACAACAACAAGCTTTAAGCACTGAAAATTTCCAAGCGATTGATCCAGTAGTTGAAGAGAAAAGCGATTTTTTTCACGGCAACAACATAATAACAAAACTGTCCATAGATCCACTTCGTGACCATTGATGTAAATGGAACGGAATGAGAATACATTGGAGGATGGACTTTTGCATCAGTCGTGGTTAAATGTTAATAAAAACAGTTTTATTATAAAACATTTGGAAATTTGTTGCCAATGATTGTAAAAATTGGGTTAGACATGTCGAATGCATTACGAAAAGAGATTGATGGTAATGTTAGAATACATGTAAATATACTACTTCTTCATCTGGGCATAAGCTATTGAATTAATTTTTCGGAAAGTATCAAACTGTATTTAAGTATCAAAATATTATATTGTTTCTATTTACATCAAGCAATTTTTGGTCGTAGATTACAGAAATTGGTCGTTTGACTAGACTGTTTACTATTTCTGAACTTGGGTAAAAAGTAAATAAAAACTTACAGTAATTTTTTTAATTATTTTTTGCGCGTATATACCTTGCTTTTTAAAAAGCGTCGTTAGTTACCTCAAACAACAATGAAAAACAAATATTCTGTCTGGCTGTCAGACAAACACATTAAACAATGAATGTTATCTTTATACCACAATAGATTAAGATTATCGCAAATTTTTTCCACAACAATAAAGCCATCGTCTTATGATGCGTAATTGCTATTTATAATACAGAATGTCATGCATATGCGGCAAGAATGATAATCTGGCGTAAAGAAATGCCTAGAAAAGAAAGTTACGATTTTTGGCGTACAATATATTTCTTGTTTTCTATTATCAAATTAACTATGGTTGTAGCGTGGTTTTGTGTGAACATGCATAAGCCATTAAACACGACATGTGGTTCAAAAATTTTTAATCGTGGCTTAATAATTAAAATATCTTCAAAAAACAATGAATTTTTTTGTCCTTTTTCACAATAATGTATTCAAATCTTCGGAACGAGACTAACTGGTATAACCACAATCTGATTTGACTACAAAAATTTAAATATTGAAAAAATAGACAGAAACAAGGATGTTATACAAGAATACTTATTTGTATCAGATTAACGGGTAATACAGCAATGTTACCATTACCACAACACAAAAGTCTTTTTGTTTCCATATATGTTATACAAAAATATTTGGGCTAAGGTTATTTTCGATATATAAAAAGATGTCTGTTAATATGTTGATTGACGTTAAAATGTTGTTGGTGTTCCTATGGTGAGCGTAATGTACTTTGAAATGGTTATGAAAGTTTCTTGAATGAAACTAGAATATTGTCATGGTTTTATTATTAATATTATTATGTGTTATTTATGATTGTGAGCGACAAAAAACAGTATAGTTCGATTATTTTAGGATTATTAGCTTTGTTGGATTAACTTTTTAAAAAGATATTTTATGAGCAAAAAATAAATCAAATATACAAGGCGCAACAAAAAAATAGAGAAAAAGAATCCCCGTACGTCAGAACATAACAATTTTCTTTTATTATTCTAATTTATTATGGCATTACGGAATATTACAAAATAATAAATTTGCTTAAAAATAATTTTTGAAGAATTATTTTCCCTAGAAAGACATGACAAAAAAATTATCAAGTTGTATATTTTCTTAGAAAAGACAAGATATTAAATTGAATACACAGGTATATAAAATCTTATGTTTCTCTTAATTAGAAGTATACTTGCGATTTTATGACGCGCTGATACCTATTTATCACCCTGATACTATCTCCTTCAAATATTATTTTAACTGTTGCATGCCGATACAAAGCAATATTAAAATAAAGAAAAGTGTTTATCAGACGATTTCATAGGAATTGGTATTAAATACTGGGAACATCTTAAAATGTAAAAATATATAAAAATTCGAAAAAATCACAAAGTTATCAAAAATGCATCAGACTAGAAAACTTTGTTGGAAGATCACGTGAAGAAGTATTACCTAGATTCTAGAGATTCATATCAGGTGATAAACTACAATTGTGGCGGACTCATTTGTATCACAATAAGTTAATTTATAGGTCAGCTTTCAAAATGGAGAAAATTTAGATGAAACCGTCAATTCTTCACACTTGTGTACAATCCGGGTTACAAATGAATCATTTGATTAAAAACCACAAAGCATATAATAACGAAAGTTTGACTCGCTCCAATATTTTTCTTTGTCTAATTTTGTGGCATTTGAATATGTAGTGAGTTTTTACTCCCTGACACCTGCTCGTATTTAAACTCAAAAATTTTGATTCTGAGTTCCAAACTCTGTTGGTATGATGTACCACAACTAATATTTTTATTATTCAAACTGTTGGTAAGTTGCATCCTATTAGTCATAATAATCGCCATCATCCTATCTTACTAAAAAATCATATTTTTATATTATCTTCGACAAACTATGGAGAACGAATGAGTCTCTGAAGAAGCCTTTTACACATTTACCACGGTGAAAATGATGTTTCTTGTCCATACTAATTTTGTCAGGAATGTTAGGAGAACTGTGTAATTTAAGCTTTCTTCGCGAGCAAGCCTTTTTTCTATAATGCCACTCATAATCATATTATAGCGTGTAATAATGTTCAAAAATCTATTTTGAGCATAGATATTATTTATTGGATGGTATACGTAAAGCAAGATAATTGTTAAAGCAACATATTTCTGAATGATTGGTAATACAAATGGGTTGCACAATTACTATACTCAAATAAAAGTATTTTTTTTTTATTTTGAAACTGCTTAGCTTCCCCCATTTGTTCTGATCAAAAATGGGCAATCATAATAAACTTGTTGACATTAGTCGAAGTCGCTAAATTTGATACTATTTTTTTAATATGTGCTTTATTTATACTCTTTATATACTATATTATATACACTTTATTTATTTTTAACGAAACATTTGCTGCATTTCTATCTGTTACCTCCCAATCGATATTCCGTATACTTAATTATTATAACACGTTATTTGGGCAAAATATCACAGCTAATTCTGTTATTAATCTCGTTATGGTGAAAATGTGGGTTGCACATATAATAGACTGTTTCATGTTGATACCATAACATGAACTTGGGTGATGAAGCAGTGTGCAAACAATTAGTCAGTCTATAAAATGTCATTTGGTAAGATGTATGGCAATATTTAAAGTGTCAAATTTCACAAGAACGTTTTTTCTCTTTAAAAACATGTCGAATATTTTAGGCCATACTTAATCCAAATCAATTTAATTTTGCTGAAAAATAATCCGCAGAAAATGAAATAACAAACTCAATTTCTGGTATAGAATACTGTTCAAAATAATATACAATTTTTATTTGATTTCATAGTGATTAAACCGATGTCTAAATTTGCTAAGACCAGAATTCAAAATGTACAAAAAAAAAAAAAAACTGTAAAAAACTAATTGTATAATGGGGGTATAATAAATACCTGCTGTATTGTAAATGAAATTAGCTGGTAAAATTGCAGAATATCTTATCAAGATAATACCTATTTACGACAGCGCAATTATACTATAAATTGTTAGAGCGTATTACAAAATATACCTTTATTATTGAATTGCAAATAACGAGATTCCAGAGTGTGTGATATTTCATGGCTGAACCTATAACATTTAAATGGTATATACTGTGTAGTTGGTGATAAATATATTTAAATGTACTGCACCAATGTACTCATCCGTACCGTCGTCCCCATGGTTTTAGGCTAATGGCAGCCCTGTCTATCGGTAAGCCGTCTTTTAATTGCGCGGCAAAGTCGTGGCCCATGAAAGGGGGTATGTAAGAGACATTCTCTCATGAAGCATCCAATATCAGATACTGAATCTCACCTGATACAGTCAAGTAGGGTAAAGTGCGCGTATAGAATCATCTGTCAAACGATTAAATTTTTATCTATTAGTTCATGAACTTTTAAAAACATAACTTTGACGAATTTTAATCCGTTAAAAACACATTAACGTGTTTCAATTCTCACACACGAAGCTTTGTTTTTAAATTGTAGAAATTTCGACTCTGAGTAATATGATAGATTATAACCATACTTCGGATAGTAAATGACATAATAAGCACTATTCAAATAGGTTCAAAATTTAAAATCAGTAAAAGAGTTTACATGGATTTTCAAAATTGTTAAGAAGTGATCAATGTCTAACAATATCAAGTTAAATATACTTTAAACAGCAACATACCATCTGTTAAATAATTTCCATACGTAAGGAGAAATTCGTATTTGACTATACGTTATACTTATACAAACTACATAATCTTACGAACAGTTTGAGCTTGAAAACTTTGTGTTAATGGACTTTGATGACTTCCAAAGTATCGTTACCACCCTGATAAGATTTCGTCAACCAAACTCTCCTTTTCTATTTCAAGAATCAATTTTGTTGTGCTATTTCAGAATGTTCTTGAAAATTGTGCGATCTTAGTATGAATTCAATTAATAATAGTTGGGCTAAAATAAGAGAAATTTTTATGTAAAAACCGTTTTGACTGTCAAAGGGTTTAACACAGCAGATGAGAGTGAGACTCAATTTTGTATGGAATTGTTAGGTTGAACCTTTTCTAAAAATGGTCGTTCGTTCAACTCATCTTCAACGTGACTTATAACTTTAGGCTAAAAAATCTAAAAAAACAAAGCGGGATCATTCGTGAATGGTACGTGTGCTGTCAAGATATATTTCCTATTATTCTCGTACAATTGTGTACGTCTTATTTTGGTCTTTTAATTTACTTATATTATTATAATAATCAAGGTCAAATGTTGCCGTGGTCAGACTGGTCTCCGTGCAGTGTGTCGTGCAATGAAGGATTCATGTTCAAAAAACGAACATGCACAGGAATTCCTGCAAACGATAGAACATGCCACGGAAAACTTGTGCATATCAAGAAATGCAGCACTCAAGTTTGTCCAGGTAATTTTGTTTGAGGTATATAACAAAATTTCAAAATTTTTCAGCAACTCCATTAAATAAAAATTGCATGATGCATTCTATCTTAGTAAAACATTTTTTGCATATTTCTATTTTTCGTTGAATGACCGATGGACAATTCTCACTCCATGCCCGTCTCTTGAAATCTAAACTACTTTTCAGTAAGCGGAAGAAGAATTCGGCTCGTCCATCTTTCCAAAGTGCAAATTTACATAAGTTTACCTCCAATATGATGACTGTTTGTTTAAAATAGATAAAAAAAAATGAGAAAACTCACCACAAACTTCTAATGTGAGCTTGTTATTTGAAGATTATTAGAAATGTGAAGAAATTTTCCGTTTTGAGACTCTATATCCTAGAAGGCTCTTGTTTGAAATATATTCACTAAAAGGCGTCCTTTCTTGAAGGGATTTCTCCAGCGTACAAAAAAAATAAACATAGGTTCTCTGGGATAAAAATGTGAACTCGAATTGCAATGCGAAAATGACATATTATCACAAACTTTAGTAATATGAATTATGTTGTGAAATTAACGTTGACAAAATTTACTTTTTTGTATTTTGAAGTGACTTGTGACTTTTTCATACGCGCCTTGCCACGCGATTTAAATTGTTTCAAATGAATAAATTTTATGCATTTATTCTTCAAGCTCTTTTATAATACTCAGGTATATGCTCAGCAGTAGGGGATCCACATTATACTACATTTGACGGAAGACGATTCAATTTTCATGGAGATTGTGGATATGTTTTATCACATGATGCAAGCGGAAACGAATTCAAAGTAAGCCAGGCATAATAGCACTGCTGTTAGGTTGAAATAACAGTCCACCATATTGAATAAATAGCCGATCGGGTACCAAGATACAATCTTCAATCTGAAGCAGGATTCTGAGGAAAACATGATATTTTCCTTTACATTTTACAATATGAAATCAAAATAGCAAAATAAAACTATTCATCATTGTGATCTAGTGTGCAAAAGACAACAAAACAAAAGACAACAAAACACTCGTAAATACCAAAATTGGCAGGCTTAACTCGAAGGCGTACACAAATTCTAGTCAAATCATCAGAACGGCAAAGGATTTTACAATCACAATTATTACAGGTCCTTCTCTACAACGGAAGATGTGGACCTCGTTTAAGCTGCCTCAACAGTGTGACCATAATTTTATCTCTAACGGGATTAGCAGCTGTTGTCGATATCCAACGTGATGGATCGGTGACTGTGAACAGTGCTCATGTCACTCTGCCGTATACAATTGCTGGCGATTCACTTACTATTGACAAGGTAAACTGAAAGGTAAAATATGTAGAAATATAAGTGATGTGAGATCGGTTAAACGGAAATAAAAAAAAATAACAGTAACTTTATTGCCCGATATCTCATGTATGACGGTATAGGATTGTACATTGCATATTAGATCATTTCCGCCGTAGGATGTAGCCTACTGGTATACAGCAAAACACTTCAAGACATAAGAGCAATGCCCAATTATACGGACACGAAAGACAAAACAAATCTTCTAGATTACCGGTAGCCTACCTCCAGCTCAACAAAAAACTCCCGTCTTCGAGTTCTTTACATTTCACAATAACTCACCGTACCTAGTCTACATCAATCTACTTATCGGTATCAAATAATTTCCGACTCTCGCGTAGCACATGTTTTCAAAATTAGAACGGAAGATAGCCGTTACGTTGCTCATAAAAACGTGTTCCAACGAATGAAAAATAAAACAGCGTATTTTAGATATAAATATTTTAGAAATATATATCAGATCTCATGGGGTTCTTAGGAAATTCAGAAACGAAGAAAAGTAATAGTCCCCTACCGACAACAACAATCTTTAACCACTGGAAATGCCAAATAAATTGGTCCAGAAATTGAAGAGAAAAGCGATTTATTCATAACAACAATAATATAACGAGAATATCGGTCGGAGACCGAAGATTTATCGATCGAAGGTCAGAGGATCCCCAAAACAGCGCTCTTACTTCATAGTGACACCGTGTGTCCCATCACTAATTAATTATTAACTCGCTAATTATACGACATAATTCATCGAAAATCAATAGGCTTCTGATCCGAGCTATGATTAATGCACATGCAAAATTAGGAGCAGATTCAACCTCGTTTTCGTGAGATATCGCGTGCATCTAACAGACAGACAGACATACAGACATACAAATACCTATCAACATACTTACCGATTGAAATTGATAAGTAAAAAGTACTACATCCGACAAGATCATCAGCAACAATACGAAAACGATCCGTATATATGTACACTTCAAGTCCAAAAACAGTATAGTACTTTACGGCTCTACCGCGACATCCGGAGGTTGGGCATTTTCATATCTTCGATTGATGCGAAAATCATCTGCTAACTATAATGCAATATGAGTATTAGACAATTTTGGGAGATTTGTTTACTTATTTATGTTACTATACTTTAAAAAAAAATTTCTCGCCTACCGTGTACTGTATATCGTCAACTTTTTCGTATCTTCATAAATTCCCTGTTACACAATTCAGTTTCTAAATTGTTTTTCAAATTACTTGAATTCTGAGTTTTTTTGAAAACTGTTTGAAAACAATTCACATATCTTTAACCGTTTAAATATTTTCACACAGATTGGTTTGTACATTGTTTTAACTGCTGGGAATGATTTTGAGTTAAAATGGGCTCTACCGCATCGCCTCTACCTCACGATAGGTCCCAAATACTTCGGTCGCACACAAGGATTTTGCGGGAATTACAATGGGGATCCAACGGACGATAATATTTTAAGATCCGGTCGACCTGTGAGTTCAGATCTCGAATTTGGACTCAATTGGTCTCTGTCCGAAGGCACAATTGATTACAGGTTGGCGAATTTAATGTTATCCATTTTTATTATTTCCTATGTGCATGTTAAGACTACTAATACATCCATATAATGAACACTACCATCTAGAAGCAGCATAGATTCATTTTATTGTATTTTTATGGGATGTATCAAGTAATCAGAGTCCAGTGTGTCCTTAGGAACAAGATGGCGCACAACCTCAACCCTAACCTGATAAACATACTATTTTCAGGTTGTGCGCCATCTTGGTGCACATACTCCAGAAGCTCCCAAAAAAAGTACATAGATAATCAGTTGAATGCCCTTGTTCATCAAAATAGGCCAAAATTATTAGGCTTCAGTTGCGACACCGAGTCATGCCTCAACAAAATACCAGAAGTACGACGCTGAGGCTTATATGAAATATTGCTATCCTTAACTACACTGCCTTATTTAAACAAGAAGCAATACCCAAATATTGGGCACGAAGACCAAAGATCATATATAAAAAAAATTCCTTTAAATTACAATAGGACAGTAAAATTTTAGGTAAAATATCAGACAGTTTTGCAAAATAGTCCATATACACGTTTCGTGTCAACAAAATTATATTTTATTTTTTTTATTTTGGATTCCTGAACAAAATATAATATTACAACTCAATTTCAATTGTAACATAATTTTTCTGTTATATATTTCACAGCTGCTCTGTATTTCGACAACTTTCTCGCCCGTGCGACCGTGATAAATACTTGAGGGAAACAGCAATTGGAGCTTGTAGCTTTCTATTAGACCAGTCTTCATTTGGTCCTTGTCATAAAAAAGTGCCACCGGGACCATACATAGAATCATGCACGTTCGACGTGTGTAGCACTTCAATTAAAGTTAGTCTCCTTTTACAGAATAATTTACCAAGCATGGATCAGAGATGAAGCGTGTCGTCGAGGTACGCTTCATCTCTAGCCCATGCTTGGCGAAGTACTATAAAATTCGACTTCAGTTTACATTTTTTTTATTTCTAACAGAGAACGAGTATATATTTCTGTGTTGCATTATCAGCATACGCAGACGAATGCCTTAGAAAAGGAGTTATATTGAATTGGAGAACGGAAGATATTTGCAGTAAGTGTAATTTGCTATTATATTTACAGTTCTTTGTCACAATGGTCGGATATCTAGCTTGTAACAGTTTATTTTACGACTAATTGGCCAATCTAAATCTGAGAGAAAAAGTATTCAGCACATATAGTGGATTTCAAGACAAAATGACGGATGTTAAAATTTGAAAAAAAAAATTATTTGAAGCTGGTTTACTAATCAAAGTTTGAAGCAATTTATAGTACCAAAGTATTTTAATAAAAAGTTGAGAAGGTATTTGAAAATATACAGTATGTTATCTTCATTTTTCAAACAATTCATTTTTTTCTTGTTCCGTCTTTTTGGGTAAATTCCTCGTTATTACATAATCACTGTTCCGCATTTGATTTGGCTCACCGAAGTGTTTTGTCCGACCTACTTATGTCTACTGAAATTACGACTATAGTTTTATGGGTATAAATTCCCGTTGAAAATTTCCAAAAAACACGTCATAATGACCCCGATTGTTACATCGTGCTTCTTATTATTATATAAACGCTAGCTGTTGGACTAGCTTTATTTTTGAGCCTCCGGCCCAGTAACCAAGTCTATTACCTGCTGTAACTGGCCCACTCAGAAAAGTAATTGCCCATCTCTCTTATACTTGAATACCAGCCTATTCTACCTCCCAAACCTCTTAATTAAAACAATTAATTCTTCTTACAGAGGAGCATTGTTCATCCGGCAAAGTTTACAAAGAATGTGGGCCGAGATGTGTTCGATATTGTCCCGGCGTTATAAACGATTCCGGAAAAATATGCGCCTCTAATGAGAGATGTGTAAGCGGATGCCACTGTCCCGACGAGATGGTTTTACACGAAGGAAAATGTATAAACTTTGAACAATGCCCGTGTGTTGACGCTGGTACACAATTTGCAAACGGTACAAGTCACAACAGAAATTGCGAGAAATGGTATGAAAATACTAATAATTATGTAGAATTGTAGATACTAAATAGGCTATTCAGTATTGTTGGAATTTATGTGTTCAACATAGCTCTAAAAAAGACTCTAGACAAGGGTTTAGGTAGGATTACCGAAAAATAGTACAAAAAAATGTAGATAGGCTATGATTCAGTATTGTTCGAATTTATTGTCTTCAACATAGCTCTGAACAAAACTCTAGATAGGGGGTTAGATGTGGTTACCGTGAAGTGATAGAAAAAAATGTAGATAGGCTGTGATTCAATATTGTTCAAATTTGTGTCTTTAACATGGCTCCGAACAAGTTTTCAGACAAGAAGTCTAGGAAATCAGTTTATAGAGAACTGCTGTATTTTTGAGACGAATTGAATCTTGCGGTTTGGAATATAACCTGCTTTTTCATTACATCCTGTTTAAGATGTACAAAAAGAAAATTTAAAATATAAAATTAACTATTGAAAATGAGACAACGTAATGCAATTTACTTTACTATGTTGCTGTATTTTGTTTGACTGCACTTATCTGAATCAAGCAAAATATCTATACGATCGTAATTCTGAGGTAATGTATATCAGGAGTGTGCAACAGGCAATCAGCGGGTCACAACCTGGCCAGCCAAGCCTTTTAATGTGTCCCTCAGATTTTTCCACATCAAGCATAAAATCCTAATTCGACAGTTTATGTTTGCTTACGCCTTACATGGATAAAATACACAATTTTTTTGCGCTTGTCGTTAAATCTTCCGCTATTTTGCCCGGTGCATTTATTACTGCGAGCCTAAGTATGTTCTCTTCTCTTGCCTTTCGCGCTAAATTTTTTGTGTGGCCCTGCTAAATGTCTGAATTTGGTTATATGGCCACCGACAAAAATGTTTCACAACCTGATTTAGATATTGCTTTTCATTTTTTGGGTGACAAAAGAGCCGCTGTTGAATATTTTTTACAATACAATACAATACTAAATTTTTTCTTAATCGTAAGCTTTTATTTTCCAGCATTTGCTACAATGGACAATGGAAATGTTCTTTCAATAAAGATTTATGTGAATTTCCCTCCTCGCTCATTCGTACACCAGTATCACAGGTAAAAAAAAAATTTACGATCCATATTTATTGTTCAGTGTACATTCCCAACTATGACTTCCTTTCTCTATCTTTCTGCAGATTGTACCATCGGGATACTCTGTGTCATTTTGTTGCGAAGCTGCTGGAATACCAACCCCAACTGTTGAGTGGTTCAGAGATGGACGTTTAATACCTCCTCAAACTGAGTCCGAAGATGACCCAAAATCTAGCGGCCCTGTCATATACGGACACTCAAAGGCTTATTTGACGATGAAAAATATAAGCAAAATAGAGGAAGGGATTTATACTTGCAAGGCTTCTAATTTATTAGGATCACAAATGTCGGATCCGGCTGTATTGAGAGTAGTAGGTAAGTGGAACTTATCAGTGGCCGTGATGGCAAGCAAACTTCTGTAACAGTTCTTCAAAAGCAAAAACGCAAAACAAGCATATATATACCCTTTTTGGCGCTCCAGAAGTTTGTGTACCAATATGGTACTAGGTAACTAATTTTGTTTGTCTACTTACATCAAGTTATGTAAAGGGACTGAAACATATGGGCAAGGGGTTTATTCACTTGGCTAACACGGACAGTTCCCGAACTCGTAAAAGAACTAAAATACGGTGAAAAGGAAAAAGTTATGCTCTAACCCTAACCTGGTACACACGATAGTACCCCTTTTTTGCATGAACTATCGAAGATTAATTTTTTTATGAGACGTTCTCAAGTCCCCAGTTCGAACAAAATGTTGTAAAGCTGCCACTAATACATAAGATTTTTTTTTTTTTTTTGCATTCAAAAATACTCATATATTTTACAGAACCATGGACTGCGACATGCAATCCAATACCCAGCAGAAGAACCCTGAATTTGCCAGATGGGTGCTATGTAGCCAGATCCCGAGGTATTAAAATTATTTCTTTTTCTCGTGATATGATAGAAACGTTTTATTTAATTAAAGCCTATATTAGAATCTTTTTTACAATTCAGGCTAGGTCTTATTTTCGGGGAAACACGGTACTTCTTGTATTACCAAGCCTTCTCTTGTCTCATAATATGTAAGTAGGAAATGAGGAAATTAATTAATTTTCTGTTATTAAAATTTCAGAAGACACACTCAACGTTGGGCAATGCATTGGTCTTCCCTGCTTTTACGATAATCCAGAATTAGAAGACAGCCACAGAAGATCATCAAGAAAATGCGGAAGAACAAGACAATGTTGTCGCCCCTCTGTGACGTCACCAGTAACAGTCAACTGTAGTCATATGTTGTATTCCGCTTCATTTGTCGTCACTACAGTACAGAAGTGTGCCTGCGCGACATGTGAAGACAGGGTTACCGTTGTAGAGGGGGCATTGAAAACTGCTATAACGGGTATATTCTTTTTCATGGCGTTTCATCTTCGCGTTGAGCTAGGCTTTGGGAAAGTAGCGCTTTTTTCAATTTATTTTTAGAGTTTTAATAAATCCGATGTAATTTGATGTGTGAGATATATTTGTGCAAATTTTAGTACTCTCGTAGTATGTGTACCAGGTGAGAGATAGGCCATAATCTTATTCCGATTTTCCCTATTTTAGTTCTATTACGAGTTCGGGGACTGTTTGTGTTAGCTAAGTGAATACACCCCCTGTACACAACTGGATGTAAAGTAGGTGAACAAAATTAGTTATCTCCATATTGGTACACATACTTCTGAGGCGCCCAAAATTTAGCTTTTTTGTTTCATTGCTATTTAATCTTAACAGTGTGTGTTAAGTGTTTTCACTCTTATGCTAACATAGGAAGTGATATATACACAGATAAGAACGAAAACACGGTGAATGCAATAAAAGATGTGCTTCTGTAGCGAGTTATCCATTATTCCGAAATCACTCCAAAATGACGTTTTCGAGCATAGGATGTCGAATACATAGGATAAAGTTTAATGAATAATAAACAGAAATTTTTATAACATTTCAACCTTCATTTTCAGGCGAACTACTTCGCCACGTCAAAATAATGCACCAACTCAGAGTAGTAGGTTACACATCAAGTACTGGATCGTTTCGTATATCATTTGCCTCTTTGCCTGAAGATATTCGTTACGTAACTCTTACCTTTGATGACGTCATATTTAAAAGATTTCCTTCTACAGTCAAAAATTTACCCGTTATTTTTGGTGACGTCACAATCCACACCGTCCAAGTGAATGGAAGATCGTACAGAAAACGGTTTGACGCTAGTTTGGGACTTAAATATATGTTCAGGTACGGGAAAATTATTAAAGACATGAAACATTATTTTAGAGACTAAAACCCCAAGAAGTGAATGTCTATTATTTTTTTCGAGTACAAGGAGGTTTGGTCCAGTCTAACCCTGACATGGGCAAATTAAGGCCCGCGGACTAAATCCGGCCCGTTGGGTAACTCAATTTTGCCCGCCTGATGCTGCCACAACCAAACTAAAACCAAATTTTGATGTTTTAGCTGAAAAAAATAGCTGAAGGAATTTGTTGACATTGTGATTAAATTTAGTTTTGCCACGAGGCCTTGTTTTCCAGCTCGCATGAAACGATAAGTCTAGGCTAGCTTTATAAACCAGGCCACAGTATAACACAAGACATTCAATTGTTTTACTCACTTCAAAAAATTATTCATGGCGGTCATAAACGTAGGGAACCGCTAAGTTAGATATCACTCTATCATAATAAAATCTTCCAATCGGCCTCAAAATATCCTGTTGATCTCTGCCGCGTAACATGTTCTTCATGCACACATATTACATATATATACCTAAAATTGTACCCACTCCCAGATACACTGTATGGATCATTTGTGCGATTTATCGTGTCATGTTCTTTTTAATGGAACATGGAACCAACCATCTAATTTCAGCAGTGCAAATTTACTTTACGATTAGTGTAGGCTAGGATTCACATATTTATACCGAATGAGAGAAAACCGATAAAACAACTTAATCGTATGGCGTACCACGGCCTCCCGCTGGTTACCAGTACATGTTGTGTATGGGATTGGTTATCGAAGTATTTGTTGCAGATGCATGAACTCTTGATAGTGAACGAAGACGACCACCGGTAACGTGAACAAATCCGGTCCGAGTGCGGTAATCCTATCGCACATATTTATCCCCAACGGGATTCAAACATGCGAACCCAACCAGGTAGCGTAATCAGAGATACTGCGTGTATTCCTAACGCTTAGCACGATGCGCCACACCTCCGGGTAGTAACTAGTTTACGCGTTGTCAACCCTCTTGTTTAATACTAAACTAAATATGTTCATGTTTATTAGCAGAAGTCCGTCATCCAGTAAAAGCGAAAGACTGCGTCTCATTATTCCTCCGAGTTCTTTGATATTACAACGAGCTCAAGACCCGTTTATCGGACAAGTAGATGCTGTTATCAGTATCGTACGAAGAGATTATAAAATTGACGAACGAAAACTTCATACCGTTCCAGGAAATTTTGTTGGATTGAATCTGCAAGGATCGAAAAAGATTATACTACCTTCGTGTAAGTGCATTTGTAATGGCTCCCTTTTATCCCGTCTTTACTATTAAACATTGTATTTAGTTTAGGACTTCATATATTTATCTATAGAAGAAAGCCTATGGAATGATTCATTCATATGCCAATCGCGACCTACCAGTCAGTTATTTGATATGTGTATAGAAGTCGTTAACCAGTTATCATGTTGTCGGAGTAAAGGTTCAAATTTGTTTGATGAGGTTGGTCTGGCTTGCAGTGAGTAGCTAAACTGCCATACAAACTTGAAAAATCAAACATCTTTCAAATTATATGCAGGAATCTTGCTCCTCTAACTATTGACCCGCACTTGTACCGCGCTGGTTTACACTCCATTCTTCATTTTTATAGTTATACATTAAAAATATTACAGATATATTATCGGTTTCTTTGTACAATCGATTTGGACGAGCATTGGAACTTCTACCAAAAAAGCCAGCCACCTTCCTTGTAAATACGATTGCTTTTGGAGAGAGAATTGAACCCTGGAAATTAGACGATTTGACTGGTCTATGGAGAGAAAGAGACACAAAAGTTGAAATTGAACCTGCTTTCAACAAGCGAGGAGAAAAAGTAGGTATCACATACTATGACTAACAGTATCCTGCAGAATTGCAGTTCTTTGCATAGCCTATTTCAGGTAATGAAGTCCCATTCCAATACAGTATCCCACTTACAATATGACTAGAGATAGAAGAAAGCAAATTTTCGTGTGATATTTATCTCCTTTTAAACTGTCTTAATGTTGAATGAACTGATTTAGTAGATGCAAAGTTAAAATAGGAATATATATATATATATATGACCTATCGACATTAGAATGGTCTTTCCCAAAACTATATTGGACCTGACAAGATAGGATTTCCATATTTATTTCGTGGGAGTGGAAGGCCGATATGACGGTTAATCATCTGGTTACCAGGCCATATCGAGAATGAGACTAGTTATTAAGTTATTTGTTTTCAGATGCGTGGGCTTGGTGGTAGAGAAAGCCGTAACCGACTATAGGTTATGTTAACCGCCCTACGGCGACGAAAAGCCCAGCAATGCTCTCGCACATTATTATACGTGATTCGGGTCATGGGTGGGATAGCAAACGTATTACTAACGATTAACACGGTACGCCATACCGCCGAGCCACTGTCATATACATATACCATACGTAGTTTATGATTTTTCTAGCAGATAGCTATTACGCTTTGGTGTGAATAAACAATACCCAAAATAGTATGAAAAGTTGTAACCGGTTTAATGGATTGGGACTGGGCTAAACGGGATTGAATTTTTCAAATTGAAATTATATTTATCATAATGCGTTACAGGTCCTGCAACTTTCAGCAAAAATTCCACGACTGGATACTCCATGGGCTTTGAGCGACAGTGAGCCGCCATGTTTTGTGCGAGTACGCGTGCTCGATAACAACAACAACACCGTTTCTGGAGTTCGTGTCATCATGAAGACGACGGACGAACTTCCTGAGAGTTTTCGAAACGGACGGCGGTCGCTGGATGGAGGTATAGCGCAAATGCAAACTCTGGTTGAGGGTCTGACCAGAGCAACAGACACAAATGGAATATGCTTGCCTGTTGGTTGCAAGAAAATTGGTTATATTACGGCCTGGAAGCAGGGAAACGATTTGTCGATGCTTGCACCAGATGTTCCACACAGAGAAATGGGCCGCGTCACAAGCTCTTTGCCACATTTATATGGGATTTCAAGTGTTGTGGTACAAACCTCTGATCATTTTAGTCTTAATTATTTAGCCGAGTTTGACCAAGAACGTGAACCGCCATCCGCATTATATTTTCGTCAAGAAGAAGATTGTAGAAACACCGCTCCTGACAAACGAACTTACGTCTTTCGCGATAGAGACATGTTACGAGAGAGCGATTTTCGAGCCGCTTCTAGAGCCGGGGACAGAATCAAAGCTGTTGCCCCTGGAGACGGACGTTTACGTCACAGTTCCTCCAAAACAAGAACTTTTTGTCATGTTAAAGTATCTGTGACAATTTCTGATCAAGCAACACTTTATCGGGCTGTTCCTATGGTAGTGGAGGCAGTTGCGTTTCGTCATCAAAATGGCTCACGAGAAATGACTATTTTAGGCTGGAGTAAAGCAAATTTCAGAACTCCGACATTCAGGTGAGCATGTAGTGTAATAATCAAAAGAAAGGACTCTTGTTCGGCCTCCGGGGCTGTTTTAAAATATGTTGACATATTTTTTATAAAAATTTCAAAGTCTTCGAAAATATAAATGCCCAATTGCATTTTTTCACATTTATGACAGACAAGGAAAATCATGCATGTAAGAACGCGTACTTCACAAGGGGATGCGTCTTCTCGTTCAGTTGTAAAGTGGTGTATATGCACGCACAACTATATTGCTGTCACAGACTTGATTAAGTTTCCAGATATAAACAGTAACAGTCATTGACACTTTTATATAACACTATAACAGAGTGACGTAGACGTGATTGTTCTGTATTGTACCCTAAATTGCACAATAAATGTTGCCGTATACTCTTTATCAAAGCGTTACATCATTCATATTCTCGAGAAACGTCTTTATATTTATTATTTATTTTTGACGTGTTATTCCTGAGACACCCTAAAGTACTAAAAGCTCCCACAATAGGAGAAATTCATTTTACAATAAATACTATTTACTTTCCTAACTATCGAAATTACGCCTGTTATGTAGTTTACCATAAATTAAGCTATAAGTATCGCCGTGCACTCTTTATCAAAACCTAGGGATATCTGATCAATTGAGCTCCCAATAACACCAAATCACTTGTACCTCATCATATATGTTCGGACTTGCATTACACGAACTCATGCGAGTTGAATATGTTGGTTTCGTTATTGCATTTTTGGCACCATTTTGCGTATAATGACCGTTGGGTCAAATTGCAGAATTTGAATAATCACGTTCGTGTCAAACGAGGTAAATAATAACGCTTTACCTTTTCCAGGAGACCGACATATGGATATGCGGGAGGCCGGAGAAGATATCGCGCAAGAGCAAGGAAAGCAACCGAAGAAATTTGCGTCGAATATTTATGCGGAGAAGAAGAACCAACTGATTTTGTTTACATTACCGTGAAGCCTGAACCTGACAAAAACACGGGGAGGCGGGAAAGTCGTCATCGACCAATTGCGTGCGAGTTTATAAAGGGCGTAAACTTTTCTGATTTAACTAGCGGAGTTAGACTGCAAGTTCGTCCAGATAAAGACAGTACAACTCGAATGTCTTTTCCTAAAGGAGGGTATATTTCGTTACCTCCTCGAAAAGCAAGTCGAAGAAAAACTACTCCATCAATATCTTCCATGCCCGAAATAGCCTTTCCTGCAAAATCATTCATAGAATCAAAAAATAAATGTGAGGCTTCGCGGGGCGACCGATTTCTATCTGCATGGGTAAAATGTTCGTAGCTTCTAAATATCACGGTGAAATAGAGCAAAGTCATCGTGCGAAAGAGAGGCATGCAAAAGAAATGGTGACCGCAAGATGGTGTAAAAGAGAACAAAGATTCTATGGCGAAAGGTTTTTACGAAGGATCTGGTGGTCATGGCAAGAGCAAAAACTCTGCCTGTATTTACCCGATGTTGCTAAAGTAACTACAACAAAACAGTGAACCAAAGATCTGAAATGTCGCTCGCGAACGAAAGCGTGATTAAAAATGTTTATTAGCGGTACTTGCCTAACGCAACCAGTGTTATATTGTGCTTTTCTTATTATATTTTTTAAGCTATCGCATTTCCAATCGCTTTTGATTTTCTGGGAGTGCGGGGTTTGGCTGTTTGTCGTTTTTGTATCAAGTAAATTTTATTTAAATTTCTCTCCTACTTGAGGATCATCGGTAGATGTAACAAACATCATTCTGCATACACAATATCTATACATATAAGAAATCGAGAGCCTCTCCTTCTATGTACACTACGCTAGAAAACAGTAAATTATGTTATTCATGAAATTACTTTGACAAAACGTTCAGCATACATGCCTGAAGTTGAGCCAATAATGCATGCGCACAGTAATGTGTAGAATTTAGATTTCATAACTGTAAGAAAGTTTGTTTTGCATTTTGTAAAAACAAAAGTCAGGAAGAGAGCATTATATCCGAATGTTTAACGAATATATGTGTTCCAAAACTTGCAACAATTAGGCTTTCTGCTGCAATTACAAAACTGTAGTACAACACCATAAGCTATTCTTATTTACTTTCAAACTCCCCGAAACGTCTATCGTTCGAAAAATAGTCCCTCAAACAACTAGTCTCCTCATTCAACATTCGAGCTAAACTGCTGTAACAACACGCTATGATTCAGCTTTTAGCTTTAAAAGTCCAAAGTTGTCTTTCCTGCCTAATTATACCCAACAGTCGTAAAATTCTCTACCCATACCACAAATTCCATAAAATGAATCATATCGAACTGACTTAAACAGTATTACACTCTTTGTAAAGACATTTACCACTGCTTTCAAACCTTTCCATTATTTCTTTAGTGTATTTTTGATCTGACATTCCTCGAATTACTGCATTACTGCCCGAATTTTTATTATACATCTTTTTTACTTTATATCATTGTTCTCCAGTTCACTTTCCTATTCTTTAAATTGTATAACTATTTGTTGTTAGCATATGTATGTTTTACAGCTTGTTCTATTGCAAAACAAAGTTATTGTGGCAGTATTTTTGTGTATTTTGATAGCAAAAGATGAAGACATAGTACTTTACCACTGAGGCATATGGATTTCTATCTAGCAAATTGCAAATAGAAGTTTCAAACATAACTAGACATCCTGGGATAGCACATGAACCGCAGTACTGAATTTTGAATACGGAACAAAACTGTCGCACATAAGCTGAATTTGTCTCACTGTTCAAGGCAAAAGATTTCACTAATAAGTACAATGAATGTAGGTAGTAACATATATCCCAAAATCCACTCAAAATATTATGATAACAAACTGAAACTTCCTTAGCTATAAGGCGTAAAAGTCCCATACCGAGGAAGTATATCATCAGCAAACAATTTAAAAAAATCAGTTCTCCAAAGCAACATTAAAATATACTTCAACTACACCAACAACAAATGTTATGTTTTCTTTCTTTCCAAGAAAATTTGAACTGCAGCATACAAAAACTTACTTCTTTTCTGTGTATATATTTCAATAGCTTTGGATGGAAAATAGGGCTGTGCTTATGATAGCGAAATTCATGAGAAAGGTGATTAGAAACCACGCCCACAAAACCTAATTTGGAAACCCTGCGGAGTATGCAAGCGCCAAGTGGCATACCTGTGATTTAATGGCCTGTTTGCGAACAAAACCATACAAAAATGTTAGATTCTTTCTCAGGTAATTTTCATTTCAATCAGTTAATATCACATGGTCGTGCTAATCCTTGGCAATTCCCAATTGGCAATTTGTTTATTACATCAACAAAGCATGTTATCAAAATAAGAGTCTGGTGCTACACCTCAAGTCCATCAGCCGCAAGTTCAGTGAACTACCATTACATCAAAAGACATAGGATTTCCTTAAAGTCAATTCTGGGAATCCTCTGTTTCTGATTTCTGTTCAGTTGGTTTCTCTTCTGAATCCTTTTCCGATTTCTCTTCAGCTTCGGATTGGTCAGTTTTTTCTGTTGTACTTTTATGTTCTGTGTCAGGTTCCTCATCTTCATTTGTTTCAGCTTTATTATCGGCCTTTGAAAAACGAGAAACTCAATTTTCAACCATGAACCAAATCAAATTAGTCACGATAACACCTATAATTCAGACCCAAAATGGCGATGCTCAAATATCCCTGAAGGTTAGACGGCTAATATGGCCACCATAACGTCATCAAAATGTCAGGTTCTGAAAATTTGAATTACATTGGTCCATTGTATTCGAAGGAAAGCAACAACAACCCCAACTGGAATAACAATTTTGCGAAACGAACCAAACTGGTACACCTGGTTTTTTAAACCAACAATAAAATATGTTTTATCCATATTAGGAACTGTAAATTTTCCCCAACAACGTATCATGCTCTAATATGCCTACTGAATGGAATTCAGCATTTGATAAGGTGGATCGGAAATCTAATATTGATACAAATGCAAATGTAGGGAATAGTCAAGGACTAATTCCACAAAAGTTTGAAGGCGGAATTCTCTTAACTACCACAAAATCATGTCAGACTATGAGACACAAACATTATATCACAGTAATCACCAATAAATTGTTAGTATTATACTCAGCTTGAGTGTATAAGATTGAAAACTCTAAAATGCAAACAACCTTCGATTCATTTGTAATTGATTCCTCAACTTCCATCGTTTCTTCCTCTTTATCTTTCTCCTCTTTTGTGATTGAAGGTGATTCTGTTTTAGATTCGGATTCTTCGATCTGGATAAAAATTGGAATATTTCTGATTAACATGCCCTATGCATAGGTTCAAATCTTGTGGGGAAAAGTTACTGTATGTGGAAAAGAATTGCTGACTCCTCGTTGTCATAAGGTGGTTCACACTTTGGTTGGTTGGTTACATTACATCTTTCTTCCTACATAACTCATAAGCTGTATATATACTGCATAACACTGAACACTAAATCGTAATTATCTGTCTGTATAATGATATATGTGATGATATTCGAACCCTTATTATTCAAATTAATATTTTCTGATGAATGATGAAATACAATTTTTCTTGAACAAAGTGAAAGTGATTTATTTATAATATTTACATTAAACTTAAATTTACTTTTAATATTTACCTTGTCTGGTGTTTCCTTCTTATCAGTAGTTTCTGTAATTTCCTCACTACTTTTCTTTTCCAGTTCCGTTGTACTTCCAGTTTTTTCCTTTTGTTCTTCTTTTTTCTAAAATTGAATTAGAATTAAAATCTTTCTACAATCAGAAAGCACTTTAGTAGAAGTACCCGAACAAGGCCCTGTAAGGTAGTCACTGATATTTAATGATGAGTAAGGGGCTACTCTTATTTTTGAAAGTTTCAGAATATTTCTGGTTCAGCATCGCCTATCAAATTCATTACTGTGGGTGAGGTGAGGGTGTGGGAGATTTCTGTTTCCAAGGAAAGCACTTCCGAAATAAAACTTACAGATTCCTCTGCTTTTTCTTTTGCGATTTTCTCTTTTCTAGCTTCTTCTAATTGTTTTTGTTGGGCAGCAGCATTTTGTTGTTTTTGTTTGTATTCTTTATAGTATTCTTGTGGTGTAATTCCGCGTAACTGTAAATTAATATTAACAATTAGTAAAATACAATTATTATCTTAAAGACAAATGATGAAACGACCCGTGGAGAAGTGCCAATTTTGAAGTGTGTACAGCATGTGAAACAAGTTTTCAATTTAACTTAGGTACGCGCGAGTAATTCATATCCCCCTGCATTGCAAAGCCTAAACCTGGGTCCTATTTATTATCTATGCCTATGACGTTACAATGCCCTAACAGCTAGCTTGTGCAAAGCAAACAATGCATTCCATAGTAACCAAATTTTTTGTGCCGAATTATCCGATTCCACCCAGTTATTTGTATCTGACAGTTGCACACCCCTGGTTTAAAATAATCTAACGAAGCATAAATTGAAGATACCAGTGTGCAAACAAATATGTGAATATAACCGAAAAACAGAAATCAAGTCAGCATATCAAGATTTTTTCATATTTACTATCCAAAATATTTTACATAACAATCATCTCAACATGCCGTCAAGTTACATTGTGATGAGACAGAAACACAGCCTCACTAACTCCATCCATTGGATCATTCAAACTTACCCTTTTCATTTCCTTGCCAAATTCTTTAGCTTGATCAATCCACTTTCTCTTCTTTATGATGTGTGATTCTTCAAGATGAACAAGTTCAGTCTCAAGTTTTTTCTACAAAAATGGGAAAGTTCTGATAAAAAATATCTCCCAAAAACCGCAAAAACAAAATGTCAAATAAAACAGGAGACAAAAAATCCAAAAATCGAGAATGTAGAACATTGAATATGATTAAATAATTCAGATTAGATTCGTATATTCGATTCACATCTGTGGTAGAAAAAAACAATTTTTATTGTCATACAAAAATATAAATAAATCTGATTACAGGAATATAGGCAGGTAAATCAAAGGCTCAATGATTATTTTTCTTCTTTTAATGTTTGCTGTAACATGATCAGATCCTTATCTATTTGAGCTATTATGATTTTTCATCAGTGTACCACAAAGGCAAGGGTCGACAATATTCTGAATACAATATTCCCTGAATACTTGATGTTCAACAAATAAATTCGCAGAAATCATTATTACCGTAACTATCAGTTGGGGTTACGCGAACCTAACTACTCTTCCTTGCTCTATGCTTTCGCACAAGTGGATCTGTATGTGTATAACACAACGATGCTGTAGCGAGAATGTTCAAGAGTCTTGCTGCACACTAACACAGATGTATTCTGTATCGTTTCAACCATTATAGTTCAAGCGTTATAGTTAAATAATCATTATTAAAATATAAATATTGAACTTAATAATGCAGAATATTTCTCCCATCATTGTGTCAATATAGTTGGGATGAACATTGTTTCATTAATTTTCTATTTTCACAGCATCAGTCTGAAATGCTGAAAACGACAAACTTTTCCAAATTATCCCCAAAACCAAGAATTTCCTATACCGTCATAACCAATTTCGAATGGATTCGAAATCTTTAAACCACACTTTTTTTATATGACTATTATTTCATGCCTTTGCTCCGAACAACACACTTGTTCCAAGATAATTACTAATCGACATACTTGATGTAGCTCTAATGATTGCACTTGATTTTTCAAAACATTTAGTCTTTGCGATGTCACCACAACACAAGTACTAGGTACATGTACTGCTTCACCCAATATATCGTTGACTAATCGATGGTTACGTTGGAATCTAGCAGCTGCAACATGCTTCACAGAGTAGCACATATCTGAATCCTCTGCAATGAAAAGTAGTATTTGCTAGGTTACTAATGGGTGGATAGCTCTTGTTAATAAGGAAAAAAACAGCGCTGTGCTTAGGAGGTTCTGGGGACATTGGGGCAGTTATAGTTCTTATGACATACGCTGTTTGTTTGCACAAACTAGCTGACAGGATGTTGGTATAAGCTTTGTAATGCAAATAGATTGTAATTACTCGTACATTAAACTGAATTAAAAACTCGTTACGCATTCAAAATTGGCACTTCTCCACAAGCCGCACAAATTTTCCTTGTGGGCCGCATATGATCTATGGGCCACAGGTTGCACACTCTTAGCGTACACCAAAACTTTGGTCTAAATTTAATTTTTCATAGAGTTTATCGCTGACTTAGTTTGAATTTTTTTCCCCAATCAAAGCATAATTCCATAAATAAACCTTCATCACTGATCCAAGTAATTGTATTTGACATAAAAATAATTCTTACTTACCAACAGTTTCATCAATAGGTTCAATGCTCATATAAGCATCGTCTTTGTCTGCTAATCCTTCAGTAGCAGCCATGATTGCTTCAGCTGAAAATTTGAAAAATCAGACAAATATTAAATTTTTGAGAGGTGATGTGCATAAGATTTGTATTTATATAGAGAAGAGAAAGGTGATATGACAACTTTATCAAACGTTGAAAAATGGCGTCAGGAAATCAGTCTATGTTGGGTAGGGTAATAGGGTGATTATGGCACCAGATTTGGCTCTTAATGCTCCATCCAGACATGAGTGATATTTAATAACAGCAATTGCGGTTATTGAAAATATGAAAAATGGAAAACGGGCCATTTTTTATATCTCATAGCCATAGGACTTATATAGTTGGGCCGAACTAAAGTAGCATATCTAGTTACGACATTATAATAATTGGATGAAATATTTCACACAAACCTCTAGATTTCGCTTGTAGATATGTTTGATATTCTGGTGATAATTGATATGCCTTCAACAGTTCAACATGTTCCACCTGTAATTGAAACATTTATTTAAAATGCATTATAGTTAGGTAGTATGGCTCATCGTGCTAAGCGTTAGGAATACGCTCGCCACCGCACCTCTGATTACTCTGCGTGGATTCGCAGGTTCGAATCCCATGCGGGGATGGCTATGTGCGAGAGGATTGCTGGACTACTCACCGCCGTAGGGTGGTTCACGTAACCGCATCAAGTCCATGCTTCTGAAAATAAATAAATAACTAATCCCATACCTGACATGGAATGGTAACCGGGTAAGAGGCAGTGGTTCACCACATTGTTAAGCTGTCTTATCCACTTTCCTCTCGTATAAAAATGTAAATCCCAATCCTAATTATAAGAAATGGGTGAAAACAAAGTGCTTTCCCCACATAACAGAAGTTAATGGTTTGATTGAACTATATAAATTGTGCAAAAAAGTGGGAGTGCGATCCACACATAACAGTAGCTAACAGGATCGATTAGGGTTTTATTAAACAAGGTACTGCATAAGGTTAAGCATAGTGAGGGAGGAATAAAAAGTTCCAAAATAGGCAAAGGGAGGAATTTAAAGGAAAAAGGTTGGGAACTACTGAATTATATCATAACTTGATCCCGAATACCATGAAACTGCATTTGAGCTACCAAAAACTTCAAAGGTCAAAGGTTAGAGCTCAGAGGTAAAAAAAATAAAGCTCCAAAGTCCCTGTGGTTTCGAATCAGCTTTCTGGCCTTGCATTTCCAGTTTATATAAAGAACCAACTTTTGCAATTTCATATTCATCCATATATTGTTGTCGCTCAGTTGCTGGTAATTCTCTCCACATTTGTCCAATTATTTTTCCAACTTCCCACAATTTTAAATCTTGATTTTTATTCTGATTTGCTCTCACATCATCCCACACCTGAATTGTAAAAATGAGAAGTAAAATAGATTGAAATTCAATGTTAGTGTTCAAGTAAATAACTTGAAATTTCTGTATGCTTTAAGAGTTATATGGAGCTTTGTCCCCAATGATTTGAGAGTTCACTCAAGAACTAAATGAGTAATAATCTACTACCTTTCTGCTATATCTCATGTAAGGCATCAACGGCTTTTCAGGTGCTTTTGGTGGCTTCGGCAATGCACGCTAACAATAAAAAAATTAACACAATTAATATAAATTTTGATACGAAGACCGATATAATAGTATTTCTCAAAACCATAAAAATGGATAAAACTTCCAATGAGTCACAAAAATATTACTGTAAAATTAAGATTACGACAATACCTACGAAGCAATTTAAAATACACTAAATAAGTGTAAGTCCAGTTTTTTTTGTAGTAAAACGATAGGTGTTCAACCTATCACAGTAAACAACATACCCCAACAGATCCATGTCTCTTTCCCCCAGTTTGTGACAGATTTCCAATCAGTAGTCTAGTATTAGCAGGATGGCTGTAGTAGTTTTGAAAATATTGATTCGAACCAGCAGTCTGAGAAGTACACAAATATAAATCTACTTAACAGATACATTTTATACTCAGTTGAAAATAGGCTTTGAGTGCAACAAAATGTCCTTCATACTTGAAAACAAAATAATAACAATATTCAAAACTATATTTCAAGCATTGTATGAACTTTTCTGATTTATCCATAGGAGTGAAGCAAGTAAATAAGACAGCTCTATTATATGGCAATGCACTATAATTTTTCGACCTGTTATTGATAGTCTAGGACGGGCATTGCAATAAATACATCGACTTGGATGGCGGAGAAAATTGTTCGTCAAAGACCCTGAAACAGCAATGAATTCAGGAACTCTATTACACATGCCTATCCAAAACAGTTTGTATTGTATTATTGCAAATTGCAATATTGTTTTATCTTATAAACCCCCAAAATAGAGTTTAGTAACTGTTTTACACAAGCCTATTCCCAAACAGGATCCCAACCTATGAAATGAACCATAACAGAGGAATCAATATCAATATACCAGGTCGTAATAGACATTGCTTTTCTTGCGCTCCGTACAATGCACTAGTTAAAGATCATGATACATAATTTGGAGGAAAGCTGGGCAAAAAAGTACCGTATAATAGCCCCATTTTATTTATCCTATGTGAAATGGTAATCATATACAGTGGTAGCCAGGATTCAAATCTGCATGCTTATTAGTAACTTGTTTCTTACACAAACGGTCAAGCAGTAGACACGGGTTGACACTGATCAACACACCAAAAAGTAATGTTAAAAAAATAAGAAAACAACAATATTATGCTTACAGCTGCTGCAATGTTAGGTAAGATGTGACTTTGTGCTGATGGCATTCCTATATTTTCACTTGAAGCAGCAGCAGTGATTCTTGTGCTTCTTCCTGCAAATACATATTATAGTTGAAATTCAAGGCTGTACAAGACAAAAATCATCAACCAATACATATCGTGGTTGATCAGCCAACTCCCAATCAGGTGACACACTCAGATACCAATGACAGAATACACCATGGGAAAAAGTCTGAATCTATTTCAAATCTCCTTATTAAAGTAGATTAATTTTTGAAATAAATAACATTATCTTAATCTAACACATTTGTAGACATTTTTCATCATTTCAGATATTTTCAATTGCATATAAGGCTTTCAAAACATGATCACCATGTTTAACTTACTTGACATTGTAAATGGTTGAGAGATGACACAATTCAATTAAATATTACCTATTATCAGATAGCAGAAAAATTTATCTACAAAAATAAAATGTGCATATGAAAGTTTATATTACTAAGAATACCCACAACGTAGATATATTAGAAATCTATCATGAAAGAAGTATTCTGTTTACCAATAATTATGGATAAACATATCAATGCTAACTACCAATAGTCAGAATTCAAAAACTGCTATTATTTCGGATTATTGAACACCAAAATTTACATATTTATTTACATATACCAGAAGTATAGATGGCATAACATATATTGTTGATGTTTTGGAATTTGGGGTGTTAGTAGTATTAATTTCAAAGATAGGATAAAACCAACTGGACTACAGACAAAAACTTAGTATGTGCCCATGGAAATACAAAATATCAAAATATGAGCAGCTTTCCAATCAAAATAAATACAACATTGAGAAAAAAAGCATTATTCTGAATGTTGGCAAGTATGAAGAACAAGAAAAACACTTCGCAAATTTCCAGCAATGTCACATTATGGAATATAAAAGTCAAATTAATTCGTTATTATTTCAGCATTCGAGGTTTCCTTACGATACCAAAAAGTATTACGGTAGATAATGTAAAATGCCAATTCAAAAAAATTAAAATTTTAAATCCCAAATACCGTAGTTTTTTTCCCATGTAGCTCACAAATTAAGCAATGCATGACAAAAGCAGAAGAGATTGTTTCATAAAAGAGCATTTTTACTAGAGCAGAAATGGTTTGATAATACAAAAATTGGATTTGGATATAACTGAAAACAATGACATTGTATCACTGCAATTCGTCAGAATCCAAGAAAAAATCACCCGTATTAAATTTTATTACATCAACAATACATTGTACACAATTCCGATAAATTTATACCCTTGGTGAATAAACATAAATTAGAGAAAACTTCATACAAATATATACACTTGATAGAAACGTAAACATGTTTAATTGTTTGGCTACTAACAAGATGATTCATAATTTTAGGATATTATATTACAATAATCCAAATTCTAGACGTTATATCATTCTGAATATTACTACAACATCCATATTATGAATACATAATTTAATATTTTTTAATTCCGGAGTAAAACAACATGAAATTCTGATAACAAAATGGAATTCCTTTCGCCATGATATGCCTTAGCAATATTTGTACAATAAAATTTTGATTCATTTCAATTTACGACTCTTTTGAATGGTCTAGCACCCGGTGTTCGCACTCTTGCGATTGGTTTCTGAGATTCTTTAGCAGAATTAGTCCGACTTCTAGGATTTGTATTTCCGATTCTTTTACCACTAGGTGGACGTGGAGATATTTTTCTTATAGGACTTTTAATACTTGGTAAATCTGCACGAGTAATTCGAGTATCTTTCTCCAACTGACGAATTTCTTGCTCAGAAAAACCAACATTTTTATCTGGAATTGGGCTTTCTGGTATAGAAGTAAAATAATCAAAATCATCTTTAAGTTTCACTTCTCCGTTACCTATAGCAGTCGAAAATTTATGCAGCGATTCAGTTATTTCTGTGGTAAGTTTAGCATAAAAATCCGGTTTATTCTGAGTGTCTTCATCAATATTTTTAGGTTTTTCATTTCGAGATTCCTCCTCATTGTCACTCAATTCTTCCTCGTCATCACTCTCATCTTCATCCGAGCTGAGGACGCAATCAACCGATTTTTCATTGAGAAATTTTAAATTTGGCAGTTTGTCACAAATGTTTTCAACATGATTAGATGCTTCTATACATCTATTTCCAGTCAAATTTAATATTATCAAACTATTTGGTAATTGTTCAGTAACTAAATTTTCGATACAATTATCGCTTAAATCAAGAAATCCCAAATTTGTCAAGTCTTTTACTCCTTTCACTTCATTGATCTGATTCTCAGCCAGAGTTAAAAATCGCAAATTAATCAAAATGGAAAAGTTAACCATTTCTTGTATGTGATTACATTGTAAATAAAGATTGGTAATGCAAGGCAGAAAGTCCAGCAAAGGAACAGAAGTCAATCTTTCTCTATCTAATCTAACATGAGTAAGATCAGACAGCTTTTCAACTAATGCATCGACATCAGTGTCGTTTTCTATTTTCAGAGTTTTCAAATTTCTTCGTACTACCAGGCCAACAATATCCAACGTAGGATTTGACATTGTAGATTTTGATGTTTTCAGATCCAGTCTTCAATTATTATCCATTATATGTCAAAGATATAAATCCTGTTCACAAAACATATCAATCTTGAAAAATCTCATCTTCGTCAAATGTGTAGTATTTTAACTAAATCATTCTATTTTGTAATCTTAAACAATAGACACAAAAAATTAGACAACATAGCGCAAAATATACTGGTATATCATATCTAGTTCAATATTTTGATAGCTTTTGTTTGATCAAAAGTTTGGATTTATATTTCTAAAATACATTAAATTCCATTTATATGATACTAGAAACAACATTCGAATATGCTATTAAGTATACCGGTACATACGGCATATTTGTCTATGAGATAAACAAGACAAAAATGAGCCTAACCTAGGAGGATAAATTTCACACTTGATACAACTAAAATCAAAGAAAACTTGGTCATACATTGAAAAGAATTGTAATAACAAAAGTTGGAGGAACATTTTTGAAAAGGTTTGTTGTTCGTTTTAAATCCTTTTAATTACAATATAATCTTAATATAACAATATGAAATTCCTCAGTTCAGCATTGATAAGTTAGACCAGAGTTATATAAATATTTTCAGTCAACAAAAAAAATATATTTCAAGAGATTAGGCTAGCTTGATGGTGTCAAAAGTGAGCTAATTGTGTTTTCAACTTCTTTAGACGATTGGTTTGCCAGCGATGCACTATATTCCACTCCAAATGGATGTCGAGCATAGACTTTCGGTTCTATGTTGCTACATTCTCGGATAAGGATTGGGAAACCAGGATTTTCTTTCTTGATTGCGACATATCTATTCTCTACAAAATCTCGAACCCCTTGACTGGATGATGACTTCTGACATAAATGTATTCGAAGTTCGCGAATGTGCTTTGACAAGTTAACAAGTTGCTTTGCCGCCATCTTTTATCCTTCTTTGGATCCCCTTGAGGTGGATCATGCAGCACAAACTGCTCATATATCTGTATATATATTAATATTGCAGAAGCAATAATAAAAAATGAATATAAAAAAATGACAGTTTTTTATATGATATTTCCACACTATTCACACCGAACAAGGCCCTGCATAAGCAGCTATTGCAGTATTGATAGGTCCGTAGGTGGGGAGTTGCTATTTTCAGAAAACAAAACGAACTAGCCTACTGAACTATGTATGAGTAGGACTCTGATCTGAGTAGGGAGCGGTTACGTGAACCGCGCTATGGCATTGAGGAGCCCCGCAATCTCCTTGCACATAATAAAATGAATTTACGGCTGCAGGGTGCTAATGCTTTATCAAAAAACATTCGCCTGTCTGTCTGTAGTTGTGCAGTCGCGCATCTAGCGTTACCGTACCGGTAGTGCTCTGACTCAAATCAAACACAAAATAAATACTATATAATATATCTGGATAAATATATAAATCTGACAAAAATATCTGAATATTCGAGAAAACATTTTGCGATACAGCTTGCTTTGTCTGCTTGTGTGAAAGAAAATATGCGAACGCTTTGTGCAAACTGATTCATGTGTGAATGCAGTTTCTCGAGAACAGCATTTACGAGAACAAATTTTCGCGAAAACGTATTTTTCAAGAATGTATTTTTGTGACAAAAGAATGAAATCTCGGACAACCTACTTTTCTGTAAAATTATGCAAACGAATTTTGCAGAATTGCGGTTCCGACATCGTGACACTGGACAGAAGTTTGTTCTCGCAAAGCTAGGTTCTCCCCATTCTTTTTTTCGTGCATCATACAGTGAAAGAAGATCTCTGAATAAACTAGAAAAATAACCGAAAATAGAGATGAATTAACGATATATAGTATGATCAAAATTTATCTAATAATTATCTTGCCTGCAGAAAGCATCAATAACAAAACCAAGAAGCGTGTTGCAAATGTCGTGTTCAGCAATTTTACTTGAAACAAAATGCGATCTGAATTATTACATTCCAACTCTCTAGATTCAATACGCCAGATCATTAAATACCGTAGGAGATAAGATTTAAAAAATTGGTAATTATAGATATTAAGAGAAAACGAAACCTCTCCTGTTTCTACTAAAGTAAGATAGGACCTCGTTGGATAGGACCTATAAAACCAAAAACGATAATAAAAATCTCATTTGTCTCTGAAATTTAATTTGAAAAAGTGGTGCGGCTGCATGAGCTTGTCCATGTGCTTTAGCGGGAAAGTTTTGTCGACAAGAAATGATAAATGTTCGATATCCATTATGGAATTTATTATGTCTTATCTGTATGTAATGATTTACATTATTATAAAAAAAAAGAGTACATTTATTAAAAAAAATGGTATTGCAGCGTTACGGTACGGTATTGGTTATCTCCAAACAGTTAGGTACGGTACAGGTAGCATGTGTCGGCTGTCGCATTGTATTTCTGTACCGGTATTTTGGATATAAGATGCGATAGGTTAGGTACAACAGTACAATGCAAGGGTATATGACATTTGAGTTGTGTTATAGAAAAAATCACGGTATCTTACTAGCATATTCATATATTTGAATATCATGATAATGGTACGGTACATTTTATAGTTTCAGCAGTTTTGTTCTGTATTTTCAAAGCATCCATTGGGTTTTACAATGCGATATAAACAGTAAGTCAGTAACACAGTAATAGCGTTTTATATTCACCCATTGTTTACACTGTTATGACGTTAAATTTGTAAAAATTCATTCAAAATAAATTTTTGAATTAAAAAACAATTGGAATATTTTTATGATCATATATATTTATATAGCTTCAACACTTAAAATATATCGAAAATATAAAAAGTGAAACATTACATACAGATATATGTTGTAGGTCAGGGGTCAGCAACCTTTTGTCGCTCGCGGGCCAAAATTAAAGGTTGCAAGTCATTGGTGGGCCGCACATATTTTTAGAAAGTTAAAATCCGAACAGATGGCCGATGAATCACATTTTTCACACAGATCAGAAGTTAAATTTTGAGCAGCGTGCAAAGACTGATCATTTGAATATTTTCTCCTGCCAATAAACCATTCGCACTCAGCATCAACTTTACTGCGTTTTGTTGCCATTTGTCTAATTATAATTAAATTGTAGGCTCATTAAACGAGTAATCGTGGATTATATATTTGTGAGGATATAATATAATTCAGTCTCAAAATAAACGCAAAGTTACGTAAAGAATATAATCGTCAAAACCGCTGTTTTGTTACTATAATTCAGTGAAGCGTCTCGGGCCGTAGGTTGCCGACCCCTGTTGTAGGCTATCTCATTCAATTCATTGATAGTAATGCTATGGCCATTTACTTTTTTCATATGTATTCAGTAATTCGGTCCTCGAGTGTAATGATTGAGAGAAATACTGTTTCTGTGGAAAAATAGGTTGGCATCATGTCATTAGTTATAATAAAACCCAACGAAAACATTTAAAACCCCAATAACTACTCGATCTTCGTTTAATATGCTATAAATTAATCCACTGGTTTCCGTGTAGTTCACCTGAAGTCAGGTACCGGTACTTGAATGTGATTGGTGGGAAAATCTTTACTACCGGAAAGTACCTACTTTAACCACCATACTGCCATAAGATGTGGCAAATTCAGTAACGTGATTGCATGCTCATAAACTCTTTCACTCAGAAATAAGCTGAGTGATTGTCAGATTGTGTTGTTGCCAGTAGTGGGATTCAGCCGGTTTGCACCGGTTCTATAGAACCGTCTCACAGAATTTTATGAGTTCAGCGAACCGGTTAGCATTACTGAAAAAAAACATGACTTTTTGTAACAGAACCGGCTGATAATATGACATTTGTGTGATGGAACCGGCTGACAAAAAATTTGAATTCCACCACTGGTTGTTGCCTAATCTTGAATCTAGGTATTAATCTAATTTTGTGGATTTTTTAATTAATGCATTGCTATTGCTAATTAATTCGAATTTTATCTTGACACATGGCAGCATAATCACCACCAGCTGATCAATTTTTCAGTCAACAATTGAATAAATACCGAAAATTCCCGATTGTCTGCTTGTGTCTATAATACTTTTTAATTCTGTCTCTATAAAAACAGTTTATAGTAAATTGATAGATGAATTTTCATAAGGACTGCCACCATGAACAGTTTCTTCAAATTAGGGAGAAGGCTATCTAACTGTTCTCGTGAAATTAGTGTGTTTTCAACCTCCCAACCAAATGGAACAAATCATGCTTGGCATAAAGCCGTCTCAGAAGCTGAGAAAATTGTTGGATTTCCGACGTCTTTTCTAAGTTTAAGAGCTTTATTGAGTGACGAGTTTGGTGGACTTGCATTACACCTAAGAAAACTGATAAGCACCAAACATCCTTTACTAAATACAGCAAGAGGTATCGTGTTCGATTCTAAAAATTATTTACAAACAAGAGGATTGGTTGTATTACTTATTTCAAAAGCAGCTGGAATCACAGATATAGAAAGTGATTTTACCTCAACAGAGATTTATGAAAAACAACGTGCTTTGGCTGAAGTTACTGAACTAATTCATGTTGCATTCCTCGTCCATAGAGGCATTGTGGATGTTAATCAGATTGTTGGGAATGTAAGTAAAACAGATATTGACTTTGGTAACAAACTTGCAGTATTAGGAGGTGATTTCTTACTTGCTAATGCATGTACTGGCTTAGCAAAACTGCAAAACACTCAAGTTGTAGATCTCATGTCAACATCGATTAAAGATATATCAAGTTCACTTGTAATTCTACCAGAAAGTGATTCAGTTTGTGATGTCGAAATGCTTTCGGGACTTCCTATGAACGAAAATAGCTGGAAAGAGACAGTTCACCTTTCAGCTGGAAGTTTATTATCGAATGCCTGTCGCTCAGCGATGTTGCTTGCATCGTCAGATGTTAAACTTCTCGAATCTGCGGAAAAGTTTGCGCATCATCTTGTACTCGCTCAACAAGCTCGACACGATTCTTTGAGGTTTGATACATTAGAAGCCTTGGAACAAAAACCTAATTTTTGTTGCCTTTGTTCACTGCCTGTAGTATTACTAGGAGAACAAAATGGTGGACTCGAATGGATAAAAAAATTTGCTATTGATGAAGGTTTAAAGAATGTTAAAATAGATGTTGAAAAATTATTCCACACTGTAAAAAATGATCCAAATGCTTTGCAACAATCACATAAATTGTGCGCAAATCATGTTGATAAGGCTTTAAATTATTTGCATGTATTTCCCCAAAGTGAGTCTAAGGATGCTTTAGTCAATATACTATTTTCTGTTAAGGAATAGAATAAAACTGTATAGAATATAAGCATTGGTATGAAGCGATTGTTTGAATTATGTCATCGTTATTCCTTTCTTATACGGAAATCACACCAGACGATTGTGATAAGAAGCGATAATATTTTCACGACAATAAGGCAAAATAATTCTGATTATCACCAAAACGAAAGTTCCACAAATGACACGAACACTCATGACCATGAAGAAACAAGAAAGTTTTCGGATTTATCTAGCAATTGGTGGGATATAAACGGTCCAATGAAAGCACTGCATTCAATGAATAAAGTACGAGTACCTTTCATAAGAGATTGTTTGATCTATGAAGGATATGGAAATGGAGAAATATATACAGACAAACCTTTGAAAGGTATTGATATACTTGATGTTGGATGTGGCGGTGGTATTCTTACTGAGCCTTTAGCAAGATTAGGAGCCGACGTTGTAGGAATAGATGCATCAGAGGAACTGATTGAAATTGCGAAAAAACATAGACTTCCAGAACTAGAAAACTTGCAATATCTCAATGCATTGGTGGAAGATATAGCTTTAGTGGGATCTTTAAAATTTGATGCTGTTGTGGCGTCAGAAGTTATCGAACATGTTTCAAATCCACATTCATTTATACAAACTTGCTCGAGTGTACTCAAACCAAAAGGGTCCATGGTGATCAGTACTATAAATAAAACTTTACAATCATATCTTCTTGCCGTCAACTTCGCTGAGCGAGTTTTGCAAGTTGTACCACGGGGTGCTCATGACTGGAATAAATTTATAGCGCCAGAAGAAGTTATCGAATATTTAGATCATTGTGATTGCTCTTTTAGAAAAATTCATGGTATGCTATATAACCCGTTTTGTGATGATTGGTCGTTTGTTAGTAGTACCAATATGAATTATATTATTCATGCTGTTAAAAGACAAGATATTGACAATGACCAAGATAATGATATAGATTGAGTAAAATAAATTTCTGGGTCTTACAATAATGATTAATAATTCTGTTTTTTTGTTGTTCATTTTCTTTTATATCATATGATTTGATATACTTTTGGTAAAGAAATGGAAATGAATTGGACACTATTTTATCACAGTGGAACTAAATGAGATTTGTCACCTTTCAAGATTTTGGGAAATCACATTTTCGTAAATTATAGATCTATGCAGCCAAACCCAAAAAGGACGTGAAACATTCACTAAAACTAAAACAGGTACAGCTTTAATACCCAGACCAAAACATGGACGGTGGTCCATAATGACAGAATCCCAAAAAGACAATTTTAAAAAAATGTGATATAAGCTACTTTGGTTTTACAGTGGTGAATTTTTCTAATGTCCAACTTAAGGCCTAATTTTACTTCAAAGTTCGAAATATTATATTTTTCTGTGTACTGGCTTTTATTAATAACAAGCTATGTAATGTTCTGGAATAGAGAATTCAGAGTTGATATACAAGAATGATTGTGTGTAACATATCTGTTATTAAAAAGTAGAATCATAAAATTTTATTTTCGCATTCACAAATACTCAATATTCTTTGGCTTAATCTGCATCTTGAACAAAATGTGATGGCATCCAATTTCTATTGTTTTCTACAGATAATTATCACCACCTTATTAATAGTTTAAATACTATTGTGAATGTATGCTTCTATAGTGGGAAGAATTTTTATTATTTCAAAGAAGATCAACCACATACATATTCAGCCAGAATTCAAAGGATTGTATCTTGATAATTCAGTTGTATCGAAGTAGACTCTTATCAGCCAAGAAAAAACGTATGACTTTTTTGACTGATCCAATTTTGGCAGAAACAAAATCAGAAATTTTATCTATTAACTCTACACTCCTACATAGATGCTGATAGAAAAGGCCCATAGAAATCATATTTTAGTAAATGGCTATAATCATGGGTTGAAATACAGTCATTCTGGGACAATTTTAAGGCCCCAATGGATGCCATAATATAAGCGTCCGTTCAGTCGAGGGCAATCAATAAACTGATTAAGTCACTTAGACTCAATTTTTCAAAAACCATCTCAACTCAATTTAAAGAATGATTCAATAGCAGTGGTTTGACCACACAGATGAAGTCCTACTCAGTATCTCAACTTGAGTTGTAGCAAAATGATATCTATTCCAGTTAATTAAGATAGGTAAAATGTTACCCTAAGAAGCATATGTTATCCTTTCATAAGATATTTATCCAACCAATATGAAATGATTTTTCTCGGTTAAGATTAAGAAATCATGTTTGTAAAGTAGACTGTGTTTTTATTTCAGTACTCGAGTGTCAAATCCCGATTGCGTTTATTCAGTGTCGTTAAAAAATGTTGCGATCTTGGATAGGACTCTTAGGTAGGCCTAAGGTGATCACATCTCAACTGTTGAAAAAGTCAAGATACTTATCAACGGCAACAAATGATGAACTTGTTGTCCAACAACTTGATGGTGATGACGAGGGAATTGTTGTTCTCGGTTTAAATCGACCTAAAGCAAAGAATTCATTCAGCAAAAGTTTGAGTCAAAAACTGACTCAAGCGATCGAGGACTTACAGTACGAGGAAAAATTAAGAGTGCTTATCATTAGAAGCATGATCCCTGGCATATTCTGCGCTGGAGCTGATTTAAAAGAAAGGGCGACAATGCCACAAAGTGAAGTTGGTCCATTTGTATCTCGTCTTCGAAGATTATTATTCGACATGCAGAACTTTGCAGCACCAACCATTGCTGCAATAGATGGCGCTGCTCTCGGAGGTGGTTTAGAAATGAGCTTAGGATTCGACATGCGTATTGCTTCTGATAATGCTTCATTGGGTCTTGTGGAGACCAAACTTGCTATCATCCCGGGAGCTGGTGGAACGCAAAATCTCACACGACTTATCGGAACGAGTATGGCAAAGGAAATGATTTTTACAGGAAGAGTCGTAAAGGGAGAAGAAGCAAAAACCCTTGGTATTGTGAATCATGTTGTCAAACAAAACGAAAACGGTGATGCTGCGTACTTGAAATCCCTCGATTTAGCTCGTGAAATTCTTCCTCAAGGACCAGTAGCATTGCGTATGGCAAAACGAGCAATAAATTGTGGCTCGGAAATAGATATTTCTAATGCACTTGCCTTTGAGCAAGCTTGTTATGCACAAGTGATCCCAACCAAAGACAGAATTGAAGGGCTCACAGCGTTTAGAGAAAAAAGGAAGCCAAAATATACAGGAAGTTAAAAAATTCTCGTAATCACCACATTTATTGTTTTATTTTATTTAATTATTCGATCAATATCCTATTGTTTGATTGCCATGCATGTGCCATAGGTGTGCATTCCACCACACTTTGCCAGCAGCAAGTTTTGACTTGTTACTCTTACTTTTTGCCAAACCATTCTAGTTTAAAATCATTATTAGATTAATGTTGTACTTGATGCTGAAAACATGCAATTCGCCATAGGAGTCCTCACATTGAAAGTTCATTGTAATCATGTCATTTTTATTACCCCTCGTTTTTGAAGCGCATTTGACTGAAATCGTTATCTCAAGCATAGACTTCTATTGTTGACATTTTGACTCCAGCCCAGTAAATTTCCAAGGTTTTCACCAGCTGTATTTTGTTGAGATTCAGACTCTCATGAGATTCAGACTCTCAATTACGTAGAATTAAAAACTTCAACTCTGACATGAATAAAATCTTGCACTATCTGACTCGACCACATATTGAATTAGAAAAGCCCTGATACTGGAAACAATTTGTGTGTTGAAATCTAGAGGTTGATTTGATATGAATATTAGTAGAAGCCAAATGGTTCTGCTATCCTAATTTATTGTTTTGAAGCATAGATTATGTGTATTAGAGGTGAAGTTTGTACTGTCAAATTTCATTCCATTTGAGTATATATTTTTTTTCTGATTGCTCATGACAAAATGAAAATCGTGACACTTTGTTGAAAACTAGGTATGCGTTTGTCAGAAATTACTGTTGTCATAACTCATAATAAATATTATTATTATTGGCAAACTAGTTTCCGCCTTTGAAAAATTATTTTGAATATTTATTCAATTTTAAAGCTTGAGCATTACTAAATCAATATTTAATAAATAATGATATGTACTAAATCATTATGTACACCATGTGTTTTCTATATGATGCTGTGAATTTGAATATTATATTATATAACAATTCGAACAATATTTTTAAATGACTGAGAGAAATTGATAATTTTGGTTGATTAATTTACTCATCTTAAATTATTCTCTATGATTTAGCAGAATTATGTGGCGCCTAGTTTACTGTTTAAAAATAAGCAAAAGTGAAAATTATTTGGGCAGAGTTCTACCTTCTGGAACAGGTGTTTTACAATCAGTAAATCAAGATAGATATTATCATGGAAATAGGAAATTCATGAAAGTGAGATCAAAGCATAAATCAAGGAATCTTTTTGCACCCGTGGAAAACGTTCACGCCGTTCGCAGGGGTGAAAGATTCAATAGAAGATACACTGATAAATATGGAGTCAGATCTGATAAATTTGTCCCACCTCATAAATTACCTGCCCCACGTTGGAATTGGGATTACGACTTGACCAAAAAATCTGCATCAACATTGCACGGTGTTCACTCTGATAATGTTGTTAAATTCAATCAAGATATTGTAGATAATAACCCACTCAAAGATAAACAATGGGAATTGGGAACGTGGGAACCCTGGTCGAAAAGATGTGGTGCTGTTGGGATTAAGCTAGGCGTACAATACATGTGGCTAAAAGATGGTACCTGTGTTTCTTCAACGCTCATTCAAATATTAGATTGTCATGTTATTAAATATTTTTCAAAAGAAGAATACAATGGAAGAATTGCTGCTGCACTTATTGGTGCAAAAAATGCTAGTCCATTCTACAGAGGAGAGAAATATCATCAATTCTGTTTAGATGCTGGTGTACCAGTCAAGGAAAAATGTTTTCGCTTTCTCATTACTGAAAATGCCCGTCTAAAACCAGGAACACCTATTTATGCAACTCATTTTAGAGTTGGCCAAAGTGTAGATCTTTTAGCTAAGTCTATTGGTTATGGTTTTGCGGGAGTTATGCAACGTTGGCATATGAAAGGAGGCCCTGCGTCACATGGAGCTACAAAATGGCATAGAAGAATAGGATCCCTTGCAGATCGTTCTGGACGCGTTGTGAAAGGCAGGAGAATGCCAGGGCAACTTGGTGGCACATATGAAACAGCGTATGGTCGAAGAATTTTCAGAATCAACACAAGATATAATGTTCTTTATGTGAAAGGAAGAATCCCAGGGCATATTAATACATTTGTTAAAATTTCGGACACTTGTAATAAAAAATTACAACCTCGAAATGAAGATGAAGTGTTAAAACATATTGGTCCATTTCCAACTTATCAACCTGAATTAGTTGATGAAGAATTACCAGAAAACATTTATGATGATTCTGTTTTTGATTTTGATAATCCATCTATCGTGTTAAGTGAAGATTCTTGATTGTTATTTATTTGCTTTATTATCGATATCGCAGAAAATTGAATCGCTCTCCCTTGGTAATTTTTGTTAAAAAGTTTTTATTCTCTGATGAGATTTTTCTGTAATGTTATACAAATTTATCTTCGAAAAATTTGATGTTGCGAACGGTTGCATTTAAATTTGATCACTTCATTTCAAATTTGAAAAAAGCAAATAATTCGAGTATGCGACTCATTTTCCCATCATAAGTAGCAATTTGTAATAAAAATCATAAGCTGTTTTGTGTAATGGTACGCTTCTCTTTTTTTGGCCTAATGTTATATTTAAAAATTGTACATTGAATTGTATAGCTCAATCGCTTGACAGACAAGGTCCAAACGTTTTGATAAATATTATTGTGGGCATGTGATTCGTAATTTTAACCTATAACTTTTTATAATATAGGGGCCCAATTCAATTTTAACACTATCAAAATCTATTTCAAAAACATTTAAAACTCTAAAATTCAAATTTGTCGCTCCCAGTTTTGCAGTGAGACTTATTAACAATGATTAGGCATTACCATAAAACAATCATCTTGTGAATGACAATAATTTTGTGTCGCTTTATTTTTCTTTTCAAACTTTGAACCTTTTTTGTATTTCAGCTCTGCATCATGTCAGTAATCATAGAAACAACGATAGGTGATATTACTGTTGACTTATTTCTTAAAGAGCGTCCCCGAACTTGCCTCAATTTTCTGAAACTATGCAAAACAAAATATTATAATTACTGCGTATTTCATTCTGTACAAAGGAATTTTGTTGCACAGACTGGAGATCCAACAGGTACAGAATATTAATAGCAAAGGATTGCTACCAGGCTTATAGTACCGTAATATGTGTCGTGCACAATTGGTAAAAAGCAGTGGAATTGCCTAAACTATATCCGGTAGTTTGCTTCTTAACAGTTATGCATGTATCACAAGATATGTTGATGATTTCTCTGTTATTGTTTGTTTCCCCTCATCTGTTATTTTACATTTATATATTAAGAATAAGGGCTGTTGTATTGAAGTAAGCCTAGTTTCACTGGATACACATTTTCAAATTTTTTAAGAGTCGAAAATCTGAATTCGTCGGAATTGCAGGCTTTCAAAGGTGCTAGAATAAATCAAACTTCCAAGCTTGCATACGCCAAAGTTTTCGTTAAAATATTCGGCTCTGCTAAGAATGCTGTTTTACGATTTGAATTGTATCATTATTGATTAGAATACCTGTACTTCCTGAATGAAAGTGATGTGATAGCCACGTTTACGATCTAAAAAATAAATGTGTCATATTTTCAAAATATTTGCAGGTGCTGGTAGAGGAGGAGAATCTATATTTCAGTCACTTTATGGAGATCAAGCAAGATATTTTGATGCTGAAGTAACTCCCAAGATAAAACACCGAAATATTGGTATGAAGTAGACAATATAAATAAACAAAGTTAATTCGTTCGAGCATGATTTTTTGTTAATAATTGATTGATGTTAGGGAAAAAATTTTCTAATTAGTTATTTAAAATCCATTTCATTTTTAAAGAGTAACGGCATAAATACTTTGTATTGCAGGTACAATTTCAATGGTCAATGATGGAAATGGACAACACGGTTCACAGTTTCTAATAACTCTTGGTGAAAATCTGGATTATTTAGATGGTGTCCATACTGTGTTTGGAGAAGTTGCTGAAGGTAGATATGACAAGCATATCAGAATTTACTTTTCATTCGAAAATGTCTTTCTAAGTATTTTTTATTTTATGATAGACCAAAAATTAGTTGGGGAACATTTGACAGAATAATGTTTATCTAAATTAGTATGAATTAATAAATTTAGTTTCTTCGTATTCACAATTGTCTTGAAGAATTTTGTTTATGGAACAGACCCATTTTATAATTGAAAAGAATATTTTGGAATGTATTCGGAATACTAAATTATTCTGCCCGACTTGTTTCTAGCATTTGATGTAATGGGTGTTATCCAGTTTTAGAAGCTTCAAGCAAACTTTTCATTATATAATAACGTAATTATTGTAAGATTATGAATAATGTTTGTTACCTTGTTTTTATACAGGATTTGATGTTTTAACTAAACTAAATGAAGCATTTTGTGACAAAGAAAATCGTCCCTATAAAGATATACGAATCACACATACAGTTATATTAGACGATCCGCTGGATGACCCGCCTGGTAATGATTTATTGCATCGCTACCAGGGATGGCCAATACCGAATAGTTCACTATTTCGAATACTTCGAAAATAAAATCAAGTAATAGAAGCCTATCTAAGTGTATGAAGGAATTTCCATACAATAGACAATGGAATAACTGCTATCTATAACCTGGCTATATAACCAGGCATTTCATGTTTGGAGATTATTGCAGTATATATTTTATATACTATGAAATAATATCGGTCAGTTTACCGCACATTTTATGTCCATAGATTATCGATACAACCATGAGTTACGTTGAACAAAATTAAATTAATACGGTATGACATTTTAAATGCTGGTATCGGTCACGGATTGAATTATTTTGCGCAACAAAAAATCATCCTGGTACGATACTTTCAACTATCGCTATCAAAATTATTTGGCAGAAAGCGGGTAAAAGTATTTTTCCTAAAAAATCGTCTTGTTTTTTCGACTTGCAATTGCAACTATTCATTTGACATCGTAACAATTACGACCATAAATAATTGTCAAATTTTTGACGTAATGGAAATGAATGTGTAAATAAAAGCCTCGTACACGAATGTCGGCAATGTCCACTCATGCAAACGTGCAAATGTGTCGCAACACGCACGGTCGTACAGAATATAAACAATCAAAGTGACGATTCTATTTCATCGTCATTACAATACGTGAGAAAGTGTAAAGTGTTGTTTGAAGATTCCGGTAAAACGAAACACCGTGTTTACGGCAAAAAGTGGCTACCATTCGAAATTATTCGAAAATCAGCCGAAAAGGTATTCGGATACTTTGCTATTCGAATAAATTCGAATATTCGATTCGTTTTGAACAACCCTGATCGCTACTATTGATTTTACTACACCCCTAATTCATTATAAATACTAATAAACGTATCATTTTTGATAGAAAATATGGTACCTAAATGAAAGTTTTATTTACAAAATTATATCTTTCTCAGTGGAAGGCAGAATAGGTATCGTATAATAAAATTCATGCAGTCAAGTCCTACATTTTGGTGTGAGGGCATAAATTTTTTTAATAATTTTTATTTTGAACTGAGTTGTATATTGTTTATCTACACTTATCTACAACCTCGTAGTAGTGGTTTTTAATCAGGGTCCTGTGAGTTTACTTTTTAATCCGAGAGACTATATTATTATATGTATATTGTTTCAATATACCAGTAATCAAACACATGGTATAATAATCCTATAATAAGTGTGTTTTACTAGTGTTCATTAGCATATTTTATGTTAACGAAGATAACATATCGTATCATATAATATATGTATAATCAGTTGCAGAGGGGTTACTTGAGTCTCTGGAGTCGGGAATTTTTATTCGGGTTTTGCTTCACCAAAAAGTTGAAAACCACTCCCAACCAGTTACAGTGTTCGTAAAGTTTCTTGGATTGAGAAAAAGTTTTATTTTCAATTTTCTCACAGGTTTGATTATTCCTGATCGTTCCCCTGAGCCGACGAAAGAACAACTTGAGAGTTTGTTGAGGATCGGAGCAGATGAAGAAATTGATGATACAAAAGGATTGACTGAAGGGGAATTAGCGGAACGCGAGGGAAAAGTTGAGGCAGAACATCAAGCACAGGTCACAAGAACTATTTTATTTCCATCATGTTTATGATAGAAATTTCAGTATCGAGGAAGGATATTAAGACAGTTCCTGTCGTCACAATAATATATTCGCATGTAGTTGGTATTGGAACAGCTGGCTTGTTATTTTTCTTTATGCACAGTCTCTGCATTATATGAACATAGAAAAAAATGACATCCATGCAAAGATTTGGTTAGGCAACATTCAACATTGTAGAATTTGCTTTATCTGTAACGTAGAAATAGTATCGTCAATTCTAAATTACTTCACTAAGGACTAATTTTTATGCCCTCCCTTATCCAAAATAAAATATGTTTCTGATGTTTTGATATTTTTGTGTTTTTGAAGGTTTTAGAAATCATAGGAGATTTACCAGACAAGGATGTCAAACCTCCAGATAATGTTTTATTTATTTGTAAACTCAATCCTGTTACAACAGATGAAGATTTAGAAATAATATTCTCAAGGTATAATATTCAGCAATAGTGAACTATCTTTTCAAATTAAAGAAAAAAACAATCCCGTATGTATTCCTGTGAAAATATCTGCTGACTATTTTCAAAGTAAAAGTTTTTAGTATAAAATTAGGCAGTGTTACATGGAATTATAAATTTTTTAATCCAAAAAATGACTGGCGACACCAATCAATTTTTATAGCTGTAATGGTTGCCTTTGGCATCATGGACTACTATTGTGTTCTTAAATTTAATTAACGACATTCCGATGCATTAGACTATTTTATAGGTTATTTATCAAGTTTAATTCTTTAATTTACTATAGCTCATATGTGTGGCTCCTCCAGGGGTTCTGCAAGTTTACACTCAAATCTGAGAGTCCATATGAATATTGTTTAAAAATGTAATCAAATGCCCATTATCTTTGCCGCCATTATCAAACTTTTGAGACCATCTTATTACGCTTGCTCGTACATTTCTACTTACAGCCTTGCAAGTTTGGCCATGAAAACCACTGGCCAGAGCCTCATTCAAAGTTTGCAAATTCTTTTATCCACTGTGTTCTGTTTTGATATGATCATTATACCGATTAAATGTTTACGGTAATCTGTTTTTAGATTTGGTAAAATTCTGTCTTGTGAAATAATAAGAGATTTCAAGACAAGTGAATCACTACAATATGCTTTTATTGAATTCGACAAACCTGATGAATGTGAGAAAGCTTACCTGAAAATGGATAATGTATTAATTGACGATCGTAGAATCCATGTCGATTTCAGTCAGTCAGTTTCAAAGATACAATACAGAAGAAGTGTAAGTTTTATTCATCACATATTTAACGAAACGAACACTTTTGTGACCAGGGGTGTGGATTCTAAGTGAAAACTTCATACTTTTACTCGTGATCACAAAACGCATTTCTTTTGTATCATACATACAAGCTTCGTAGCTTGAAGCGCTTTTTGGAGACCCTCAACGGCCTCAAGACTCATCATGAAAACCATGATTTCCGGCCTCTGGCATGACCCCCTAGCTCTTACTCGGCAATCAGCAATTTTGGAACCCCCTATTGGAAAATTCATGATCAAGTTCACTAAGCGATCTTAAGGGTCTATTAAGGAAAGGTTGCATAAGCCAAAGTTTTTGTCACAAAAATTTGAGCTGGAGTCTTTAAGTCGAACATTTTTACGCCGGGAGTCGTGAGTAGGAATCAATTTTTCTTAATTGTGAATTAATTTTTTTAATTTCAATTGTGAATTTTCCTGGATTCCGTAGCCCTGTTCGTAACAAGATTATTTCATTTCATGCCAATCAAAAATCATGCAGTAGTTCTGAACCCTACATTATTTATTGTCATATACTCAAAGAAGATTATGTATAGTTTATGGAGTATGATATGTGATCATTTCTTTCTAGGCTATTTATAATTCACAAGGTAAAACCTTTAATGTGAACTGTCTGTAAGTACTTGGTTGCCTGATAGTTATATGTCCTCGGTAGCCAGTTTAGTTGATTACCCAGAAATACATTGGGCTGTTGTTTCTTCATAAGTACCATTGAAACTGGATTTGCAATTGTAGTATGTCGAGGCCCAAAAAGATGCATTGCCGAAATAACACATTGTCTTAATGATAACTTCAAATATTGTTTCAGAATGATCCAAAACTTGACACAAGTGGAAAGAAAGATAAGGTATCGCATAAAAATTCATCACCAGAGCGAAAACACAAAAAGGAACATAAGAAAAGAGAACGAATTGAAGAGCAACGTGGACAAAACAAAAACTATAGATCGAATGGAAGTTCTGACAATGAAGTTCGATGCGGAAAGCATCGCAAACGGCGATCACATAGTCCACATAAAAAATCATCAAAGTCTGTGAAGAAACACACCAGGTCACCTTCACCCAGAAAGAGTGAAAAACATTCAAAATATGAAAAAGATAATTATTCAAGGCATCGAGATGACGATTCAGGTTATAAAAAGTCAAAACATAGGAAAAAGCACAGCAGCAAATACGATTGACATATTATTGAATCTGGGTAATTACCTCTCTTACTTGGCAGATTACAATGCAATCAGATGAAGGATATAGGCAGATAAAGTCATTGGGTCCATGTTTTGGATAGCATAGCATAAATAATTGAATTGTGGAGTAAAGCTGGGTATGAAATATGAAGCATTTTGTGGAATGAACCTATTATTATGTCGGGTTAGTAAAGTTGGGCATCCCATTGTTAAAGCAATTTTTGCAATATGTTTTACCTCGTTCCATGATATTTTTACAAGCATTCAATAAAGTTTATCACTTACGGGAATATGGTAATAACTAACTACTGAGGCAGCATTCCATGTAAGGGATATCTTGTGTGCTTAAAGATGATAGGAACTTTTTTATTTGACGAAATGAGCGTATTGGATCTGTATATCGCCTTTTAAAATGGCCGAATATGTTACTGCATAATCTTGGAAAGTAACAATGTCTATTTACATGTCAAACCTCCATAGGGTACATTTTAGGAAATGACACCTTTCACCCTTATACTATCCAACAGTAAAACGTCATAGGCTTGAGAAGCAATTTATTGCAGTGACAGAAGTAAAAATTGAAGAATGAAAAAGAGAATACTGTACAATAGGTAGTGCTTTTATGGTTGACTGGTGCAGCATTACTTGTGATATACGATTAAAATTCTGGTGTAAATAAATTTTATAAGATATAACATACACATTGTCCCGCTTGCAAGATTGGTGAGAAATAATATTAACAATTATATGATGGTGTAATGTCAGTTAACTATTGGAGCTTCATAGAATTATAATATTCCTACAAAAAGCCAACAATAACAGAATAGAATTAGTGACTTGACATTTTTTGAACCACAAACGATTTCTATTTGTGGCTACCACAAAATATAAACCAAACTATTCAATCAGCTATGAAAAATATGTTTCCAACAGATCATTGCACACTATGTGACATGTGGAGTTTCGTATTTTTCAAAGAAATATTGTTATCTATCGAATCTAGCAAGCCTTCTCCTGCGAAGTTCTTCTTGATGCGAGTCTTCTGACTGAATATTCCACCCATAAGGTGGAGCAGTTGATTCAAAATGATCAGGTGGGGCTGTTGGATGCACATACCCAGGACCGTCTAAATCTGGATATATCCGGTTGTGTCCAGTTCGCATGCTTTCCTCCATTGCTTTTCTAATTTGTTCACTCTCATCCATACCACCTGTATATCTGTCATAGTCATTATCATCGGCCCCACGTGTTGTCCCTGAATGATACCTGTATGTAGGCTGGCGACTCCTATTTGATATCATACGAAATGGACTAACTGGCAGTTCCATGATCCATTTCAATGGTCCTTTTACATATGCAAGTCCAACAAGAATACCAGCAAGATGGCCAGTAAATGAGGCATTGGGTACAATTAACTGAATCAGTACCAGCTCAAACCAGCATGCATATCTAGAATTAACTGGAATGAAACCCATGAGTCGTTCTGTGCCAGTTGGCGCCATGTAAGTAGTGACAACTTTGACAGCAAAAACTACTCCAGAAAATCCAATAGCACATTGATGAAGATATGACATGTCGCTAAGAAGATATGCCAACGCATAATTCAAATAGAGCAATATCAAATTTGTACATATAGTAAATACTCCGATCATGTATAAAAACCAAGCAGAACCAACAATGCGTTCCAAGTATAATCCTTTATATAAAAATGATATCATGTTGAAATACAAATGCCAGTCATCACCATGGAAAAATGCACCTTTCAGCAGTCTAGAATAGTCACGAGCATACCAAACTTCTCTCACACTGATACAAACACTTTGCCATGTGAAATCTGGTATGTACATCAAATGAATGATAACATTTAGTGCAACGGTTGCGAGAGTTGTTGGAGGAATTCTGAATGAGAAAGAAGGAATTTTAGCCAATAAAAGAAATATTATTATTTTAAGTAATTTCACTAAGTATAAAAAATTACAAATATGGAGGATGTAATTTCCAATATTTAGCTTATGCTAGAATTTTATTATGTCCAGTCGAGAAATACATGCACATATTTAGGAAAAATAATTGACATATATTCAAAGAAAGAGGTATAATATAACCAGTCAAACTAATATCTGGATATTCTCCAAACATGTCGCCAAGTTTGAAAAGACAATTATTATGTAAAAACAGTATTTATTACCTGTCCATTCCAATTTGAAATAATTGGAAAATCAATAGTAACACGCCCATTTGAGAACGTCCATGTGATCTTCTACCAAACATGTTTAATCCTAATGTCAGATGGTGAAATAATAAAAGTCTACGATAGAGTTTTCTATTTTTCAGGTGATGTACACTAATCTTTCAATCTTTGATAAATCCGTAGCACTGTACCCGGTACTTGAAGCAGTTCTTTCTCGAGTACTTTGATTCGTCAGCTCTGTATGTAGCAACACGAATTCAGTTCTGTTCTGTATATTCGAACTTATAGCTCAATTTATACCAGTAGTAATCCACTTCTCAACCCTCTGGTGCAATGCATTAAACTTTAATTTGGGAGACGTGTCCTTACGATTTTGATAAGGTTTGTTCCACTCAAAGTGACTTTGGTTCCACTTTATTTGTTTTTCAATTAGGGGAATTCCCGGGAATGTTCTGCACGGAGTCAATATAAAATTAAAATATATTGAAATACGACTTGTTTTGCACTGATCAAACGGGTTTACCCAGTATATATTTACGGTTTACCATACAACAAACTAATTTTCTAATCAGATAAACTGGCAGGCACATGGATTTGAATGAAAAAAGGCATTAAGAGGCATTAACTCTAGACTCGTGCAAGTTTGTAAAAAAACGACACCAGGAGATTAGATTATTTTTAAAGTCTCTGACAGCAGTCTTTAAGTGCTACTCATTTAGAATAGGATAAAAATTCCATATTTATCCCGGAGAGTGGAAAGTCGATAAAATGGTTTATTTATAGGGCGACTCTATCTGACGTCGTTTGGTATCCGCATGTCGGGTGTTGAATAGTTAAACAGTTGTTTCAGATGCATAACTTTGCGAACAAGGGTGACGACAGAGTAGCCATCACTGTACCAATTTTCATGACCTTTTACCGATGATGCCAGCGGCCCAGCACTGTTTTTTCTGCTGTTTGAGGGGACGCTCGTTGCGCTTTGTACTTGCTTTTGACCGTTTGAATAGTTCGGTGTGTGTTAGCGCTTCCTTAAGTACCGCTTCCTCTCTTTTTTTAATTATAGATTGAATACAGACTAGCTTGTGTATCTTTTATACATACTTGAGCTGCTTTGGTATACAGAATACTTTCACAAAAATCAGAAAGTGCTACTTTAAAAGTGATGATACTGGATGCATAGGTAATGCATTTTCTCATTGCACTAGAGTACGCCGAAGCACCATTTGCCTGATATTTGGGAGGTAAACTTTTCACAGGAGACGGGTTACATACCTCGGAGCTAAGAAATGAAGTACTTTGCAGGGTAAGCGTAATAAACTACAAAAGAAATTTCACTCTTGAATAAATACCAATCATATCTTAACAAGAATGTTACAGTTGGAAATTAGGAAAAAGAATGAGCCGCCTAGTGTTTGGGACTCTGCTGCAAAAATAAATTCCCTCCTGCATGCGGAATCTGCTGACTGGATGATCAGAGGTGCAGCCTAGATAGCATGTGGATGCATTTTTAGCATAGTAGACCAGGGGTGCCAAACTTGAAGGTTGCAGCCCTTGACGATTTACAATAATTGCAATATTTTGTAAGGTTTTTTATCTAAATGTAATGGATTTTTCAAACCTTTCAACGTGAGAGTGATTATTCACACAGAAAACAACAATTTACAGAAAGTTGATTTGTATAAATTGCAATAATAGTGATATGCAAGAAATTAATAAGTAAATGGTATTTGAAATTTAGGAGAATAACAAAACTGTTGCGACTGTTCAATTACATCAAAATATATCAAAAACTGTTTACGGCCCTTGGCACAATTCCCAGATGATTCATTCATTCATTTATTATTATGAGTTGTTAGTATATTTCAACGCTATTTAAGATCAAAATTCAGCAATAACTTTCAACCTTATTTTATTTTAAAATTGGTCCTTACCAAACTAAGCATTGATTTATGTTTAAATGTTGGTTTACTTCCTCATGGTTCTCTAAGTGCCCATAATCTTAATTTTAATTACATTTAGTTACCCATCATTTTCGTAAATGCAATGATAAATTTTTTTAATCACATCTGAAATGAGCCTCACTGATATTTGTGGTTCTAATTTTTCCATCAATGTTTATGCATTTTTACGTCATACTTGATTTGAGATTTCAAATTTATTTATCAAATTTATTTCTTGCCATTGTTGTAAACTGCTTGTCTGAGGAAGTCTGACTCTGGTCGGACGAAACGTTACAAAAATACATTTGTGTTAGTGTGCAGCTGGACTCTTTAATTGGATAGAATAGTCATGTTTATTCCAGCTACAGTATTCTTGCAGTATACGCATACGGATCCACTAGCATAAAGGCATAGAGAAAAGATAGGAAGTTAGTCTCGCCCAACCCAACTCACTTCTAAACGGAAATATATTACGCCACGCATATCTCATTATGACACTGGGACACATTATTCCAGTTACCAGTATAGTCTGGATAATTTTCCTCGGTGTATATATTTGGTTTTCTAATAAATGCTTGTGATAAATTTCATATGATTTGGTGGAAAGTAATACATATGGTGGAAACAGATCAAAATGTGAACTAAAAGGAACCACAATTGAAAAACGGGATATCATATTCTCAGCACAAAGATTCAACGATATTAAGGCAACACACACATTCAATAGCCAAGCTACGAGGACCATAGTCCCGGGTGCCGAGCGGCTTCGATTCAGGCATAAATACGCGTTCTGCGAACCAATGGGACATGTTGTTGTGAGTAATTAGTCACCAAAGCGTTGTTGAAAATCTGTTGATTAAGTACGAATTTAATCCTCACAATTTTCGTCAGTTACCGTGGCGCAAACGTAGCGTAGGCATATGGTAATTGGTAATACATAGTTCAGAGGTTCGAATCCCCCAGGTAGGTGTAAGGAAATGTAGTAGATGAACGCAAGTGGGAAATGTAGATAATAGTAGAAAGAAAATAGCAAAAGGGATCCAGGAAGCCAAGCATCAGACAGATGGCCAGGCCTGAATGATAGAGGAACATGATATGAACGAAGTAGTCAAGGAGAGAATCCAGAGAGCGTGTGGCAAGCATAGATCGAAGGTTCTAATCCAAGGTAGGTGCAAGGAGATATAGTAGATGAACGCGGGTGGGAAATAGATAATAGTAGAAAGAGGCAAGAAGAGAGCAAGATGGATCCAGGAAGCCGAGCTTCAGACAGATGGGAGATGGACGTGAGACCAGGCCTGAATGATAGAGGAACATGATATGAGCGATGGACGGAGCTCATAGGAAAAACAACCAAATCAAAGAGCGAGAGCGCTTCAGAAGGTTGGGACAAAGGACAACCGGGCCTGGAAAACAACAAATCAAAGAGCTTCAGAAGGTTGGGACAGAAGACAACCGGGACTGCTGTATACTATTAGAAGGAGCCAGGGATGGAGGGAATGAGTAAAAAAACAACAAGGGATTCGAAGAGCAGGATGTGAAATAGGAAGCAGGTTATATGAACGAATGAAGAAGCTTCTGGATAGAGAAGAAAAAGAGTCCACAGAATGAGAGAAAATTAATTATTATACGAGAACAAAAGAGAGGAAAAAAAACACAAATGAGCAGGAAGGAAATGTGACAACTAGATGAACAAATGAGACAAAAATCGAGTCAGAGAGCGCGATCTGGGGGCAAGGAAAATGTGATAAATATTATATGAACAAATGAGTAGTGAGTGAGCCTGGAAGTAAAACGAAACAACGGGTACGAAATTGTTTCCAGGAGAGAGGAAATATGAGTAAGAAACAACGAGGATTCTTCTAAAGAGCAATTAAGGGAAAAAGCTGAACAAAAGAGAGAAAGGCCGGAAAGCCCTGCAGAAGAGCAGTTAAGGGAGGGGGGAAGGAGGAAGAAGAAACACAAATGAGCGGGCGAAAGAAAAAGGTAAGGCCGGGCACCGCAGAAGAACAGTAAGAGGTCAGAAACACAAATGAGCGGGCGAAAAAAAAAGAGAGTTAGAGGGCCCGGGGGCATGCCAAAAGCCATCCTGTGGCTGAGAAGCGTGTTCTGCAAAAAAGCAGAAGATATATATATATCATCGCGGATGAAGAGTGACGAACACTCCGGCGAGATTGTGAAGGATTTGAATCGAAGGCCAAGAGGATCTGGAGAATACGAAAAGGAAGAAGTTATAAAATAAGTTGAAACAACATGCGCGCACGTTCAGCCAACACAAGCCTTCAAAAATGACACGGTGAGGCGCTAGCTAATTCAATTCATTTTTAAGCTTGTTATGTTTAAGAAGTTCAAATATTTTTTTGTGAGAGGTTTCTTCAGTTTGAATACGATACCGGGATGAACAACAACAATCGGGTGTGGAGTCTACGGCGGTGAGGAGTCCAGCAATCCTCTGGCACATACTTATCGCTCGAATAGATGCCGGCCCACGAATGGTAATCGTAGGTGCGATATGTCATGTGACATTTTCTATGCAATGTCAGCTTAAATACGACATTAAAATATTTAATTGTCTATAACTTATACATCATTTTGTGGAAATAAAATTTCTCTATCATCATTTGGATAAAACATTGATACATACGTGGTGAGTGGGAAATCCCAAAACACCCACTTTGATCTTTTTATGTCCAATCTTTGTATTTAAGAATAAAAGCAATGTCGTCAAGCGCATTCATAACCATCAGCTCCAGCACTATTCACCACCCCCGTACAAATTATTCAAGAATACATATCGATGTCTTTTTATACGGATACCTATTTCATAAATTTTCGGAATTGAAAAAATATGGGATATCACGAGAGTGCGGGCGGGAGTCTGAGCCAGTCTAGTTCGGAGCGAATGACGAATTGAATTTGAAAATGAATCTTGTAAGCCAAGTCGGTCGAGGCGAATGACAACTCCGGCGAATACGCCTCAATTGTCTTATGGATGTATGGCCAAGACATGCACGGTTAATTGATTTTGAATGTAAAGTTAAATTTGTAGACAGCTACCGGTACGGTAATTTTTGAAATAATGCAGTGAATGGAAAACGAATAAAAGTAAAACGTTTAGAAAACCACCAGACAGGCGACAACGGAGATGACATTCAGACGCTTTAACTTCACAAAACTGGAAAAGGAAGACAGGCAAGATAATTACAAATTAGACAATAACGGTACCCTAAAAAAATTACCCGAACAAATTGTAGTCTACACTAACATTTGATAATGTTTTCTGTTTTCAGCTATATGGTTGTATGCAGTGGTGGGATTCAAATTTTTTGTCAGCCATCACACAAATGTCATATTTTTCAGCCGGTTCTGTTACAAAAAGTCATGTTTTTTTTCAGTAATGCTAACTGGTTCGCTGATCTCATAAAATTTCGTGAGACGGTTCTATAGAACCGGTGCGACTTGGGCACTTGGCTGATGGCTGAATCCCACTACTGGCTGTATCGGTAGGCTACCGGTATATATATAGATAGATAGATATGGCAATTACTGAATTATT